CTTTCAACAGCGGTTTTTCTTTTTTAAATATTTTAAAAACTGAGTTCGTTATTGGAGCACGATAATTTCTTCAGTATATTTATTACTGATCAGATCAAAAAAAAAATAAATTCCACATAGAAACAAAAGTTTTTTTGGTAAAAATTAAACACAAATGTATTTTGTTGTCTCTAACCTTACAGATTAGAGATTCCAAAAATGGTACCACGAGAAAAAAGACAATTTAATCATATTTCAGCCATATTAAATATTAAAAACCAGTCAAGATGGAAACAGGGAATATAGCTGATATAAAAACAGTACTTTTATTCAGAGTTATCCTTTAAAGCGCAATCGATGTTATCACCACTCGTTTCTTTCGCCACATTTCTAGATCTATGCCACTGTTATTGTCGCGCATTCTAATCTAATTTCAAATTTCAAAAATGCTGCATCAATGAGCGAGGCAATTATGGGTAATAGTAAACTACCCATGAATTATGGTACGACTAACAAAGCGGAATATCATCGAATAATAAAACTGAAGAGACGTAATATTGAAAGGTGATCAAAATATTCTTATCATTGGGCATTACTCCCATAAATGTTGTTCAGTAACAGCATTAGGGCAGTAGCTTAGCAGAAGAATAAAATAAAACTAATAGGAAATGTGTAAGGTCATCAATTCAATTAACCCTGAAATCAAAAAAATTACACACAGAGAACTCACTATAGTTTAAAATAGTTGTAAGGTTGCGTAGTATTGCCAGTGGAATCAGTAAATGATAAGTCCTATATTTGAAAGCATGGGTAACACATGACATGATTCAGATAGGTCAACTTCCGACAGAGTTGTAGAATGAAGGACACTTGATAAAGATGTTTGATAGCAATTAATTGTACAAAATCTAAGCAAAGCATTGCAGATGAACTTTTCTTTTAATTTTTAATGAATACGAAGTTTTTATTATAATAAGAAATGCTGAGTAAATAGATCAGCAAAAGATAATGAAATTCTTGATTACTAGATCTATCTATTTATCACAAACTAACCTTAGGTAAGTTAGTAATGATATCTTAACGAACATTCTGTTAATAGAATGTACAAACAAAATAAGGTATAAACTGGTGTCAGAGAGTTAAATAAACGACATAATTCACCAATAATCATCCAAATCAAATACTCCAGTACTAAGTCAATACATGCAGAACTGAAATTGATCTCATCTGGTTAAAAGTTTAAGTTGTGAATTTCATTTCGAAAAAAAAATGTCCAAAACAAAATAGAGGGAAGGATGATTAAAGGAAATAATACTGCCAGCTCCAGATCACGATAATGAAAGTGAAAGGAAATGATCTAAAAATGAGAAGAGCAAACTGACAACCGAAGGTGATTTCTAAAAATGGATTGAATGAAACTTACCTAATAACCTTTCACCTGACCGGTGGTGCAGTTAGGGGTTGGAATTTGACGATGATAGTGGCAGCAAGAATCATGACCCAAATCTGACTTCACCGAATGTTTAAAAAGTTCAAAAACGGACAGACCAATTTTTCCTACTCATTTAAATTATTGCTTGCGGTGATCAGATTATTGGAAAAATTCGATAAGTAGATATTTATGTTTTATTGATCACTTTAAAATAAAAGTTGGCCTAAATTATGGACACATTTTTGAAGTTAACTTCAATATCAATTACAATATTTACACCGATTTCAGTGTAAGCAACCCAACACGCTAAAAATTTTATGGAACTATTTCAGGTTTTCTCTGCACTTCCTATAACAATCTTATTTTTTATTTTTTAACATATATCAAAAACAAGTTCGTAACATAAATATAACTAAAAATCAAATGTCATTTGAGCTCGATATCTACGAAAATTTATTTAAAAAAAATTTCAATGTTCGATAATAAATCGAAGTCAAAAAAACAATTAAGTTACGCGATGTAATTCAAAAATTCATGAACTGGGCCTAATCAGTCTAAATTATTGGTTATAATGTTGCAATATCTAGAATTCATCTTGTGTATTCATTACTTACTGCGATTTCATGTTTGTTGTTAAACTCACTGCATGCTTAAGCTTATTTCACGCTCGAACTTGTTTCATGTTTAAGCTTGTCAGGAGATTCATCCTCTAGAAGGAATAATCTTTAATTTGAGTGTTTTATACAGTAGGTAAAGCGGTCTACGATGAAATATAGTCAGTCATACTCACTCGAATCACTTACTTTTTCAATTTCTGCATTAGCAATCTGCAACATGTTTCTAATAACCAAAATGACAAACAATTAAGTAATTAACAAGAAGCTGGAAAATTGCTTTTTGAACTTATTATCTAGAAGTAAGCTTTTGAGAAACTTTGTTGATAACTTCAGCATTCCGTCGTAAATAATTCATGTGAGAACAAGAATTGAGAATTGATAAACAACATCACAGCAATGTTTTAAAATGAAATAAATTTTAAAGTTAAAAAGACCATATATTATCTAAATCGAATAAAAGGATTTAATTAAAATTCTATCTGATATTTGTTTTTTTTTTCTTTTTTCATATCTAAGATATTCCCCATTGTTCTCTTCAAAATTAGGTTACTAATATAATAATTTCAATTTCTTTCTTAATATAGCTCTTTGTCTAATGATACAGTGACTTCTATTAAATCCAAAAAATGCTAATTTTAGGTTCTTCCTCACATCACTTTTGATTCCTCGAAATTTCTAGCTTTTTTTTTTTTTTTTTTCAATTAATACAATAAGCACAACTTTATATAACTCCTGCAACTTTCAAGAATTCGCATCTTGAGAATTCTATGACGAAGTGGGAGTTATTCCATTTTTGTAACTAGGCGCTATTTTTTCAATTTCTTTCTTATAACAGCTTTCCTGCCATTTTAATTGATCAGTAATGTTCACATTGTTGTAATTTGTTATTCATCAATTTATTTTGCTTGTTTTTTTCTTCGACTTACGGCTAAAGTTATTATTTCCATAATTACGAACTGATTATACAAATTCTACTTTGACAGGGAGATGGTGTTGAAAAAAAAAATCAAATTATAATATGTTGAAACAAAATTGTATGAAAGCCATAAAACTAAAATCTATCTTATTTGAACATTCCTTATACAACAAATGTTCCAATCTCATGCAGAAAATCATTTAACCAATATTTATCTTTCAATTTTAACTCGAATATGTGTAGAAATTTGCTCCCAATTAGATTGTTTACAAATTATCAGTTCTTTATTTAGTTGATCTTTTGTTTTGCTTGTCGGTTGCTTACTAACTCTAAATTATATTCCAATTTGACTAGGTTAACAGTTCTTTATTTACCTAACCTCCTTTGCGGCATGTTCGCTCCCGCTTGTAAATCAAGCCTCGTTATGTGTTAATGCTTATATGATTAACATCCATTGCTGGGTTAGGATTAATAAGCCTTCAATTCGACTACTTATTTTCGGCGCAATTATACCGCGCTCTTGTCCAACCTCATCCATTTGAATGTTCCTAGCTCTTCCTCTTCACTTTATATTCCTAGATAAACTTTACAAAATTATCAGTATATTGTTGCTGCAGATATAATTCGTGTGTCGTGGTTGTTAGCGAATAAAAGTGATTATAACAGACTCCTTCTAAATGCATTCATCTAGACCGCCTGCAAACCACAAACAAGAAAGGTTTGTTAATAAAGATCTGCAATTTTTCGACAGATGGCTAACCTCAGATATCTTGCTGTACGTTGACTTACTATCTTAAATTTTTTTATTTTTTTCATATGATTCATCCGATTTTTTATTTTTTCATATGATTCACACATTGCCTCTGATTTACTCTCACCTTCAATAAATTGCTATCAGTTATCACCTGCCATCTACCAGCTTCTATTTCCATCATTTATTTTTCTGGTATCAAATCACCAAAAACATTTACTTCTTTCATCGTCTCACCAATTTTTTTACATTTTAATAAATAATTTAGATTCACAAGCAAAAACTTTTCCAAGGTTGTATATATAATCGTCTTGAAGTTTACTAAAATATTTTAGAGTTTTCCCTCCGTCGATGTCGATCGAAAAACATTCTTAGTATAGTTAATGTCGGAAAATTAACCTTTTGTTGATAACAGACTTTGATCTCTTTCCTCTCAAAAATGCCTCATTTTTGTATATGCAGATTGAAAGATTCAGGAACAAAAATCGTGAAACAACACCAGAAACATTACTTAAAGCATAATTTAATTCAGTTTCCAAATCTATGATAATTTGAGGACGAACATTCATTGGCCAGTTTGAGTATGATTTGAAATTGTTATTATCAGATACTATCAAATGTAATGTACTATCAAGTGAATACTGTCAAATGGAATATAAAGGACTTTTTTCAAGCTTTCTCCAAGAACTTTTCTGTTTATGCGGCCTAGTTTCATGGCCATAGAATTTCCAAAATCCTACACATCTAATAAATCATTAGGAAAACAATAGAGTGAGTGCAATTTCAGAATATTTCATTCACCTTCATCTTCTCATATTTCATGCATACTATTTCTTCCTCTTTGCACCACTTATTTTCAACAACAAAACAACAAACTGTGAAGATAGAATAGTGAGAGTGACTTCATCCAACAGACATTTTTAAACTTCAAATTTCTTTGAGAGTTCTTACCTTCTTCTCGTTACACGCTGTCGCTGCCATTATGATGAAGGAATTACTTAGCTTAAAGCTTCCTCTCAGCACCTCATCGTTTACTTAGTTAACGTTGCACTTTTTTACAACGACAGTGCTGCTCTCTCTCTCTCTCTCTTTGTGCATTGCAGTAGTAGCAGCAGCAGTAACAGCTGGTTAGCCTGTCTGCATTTCAGGCAGTGTTGCACCAACAACAAAGTAGTTGAAGTGAGGTCGAAAGGATCGTTGTCATCTATTCATCTCTCCGATCATTCCTTTGCTCACCTGGTCAATCAAAGAAAGAAAGGTTACTTCTTTCACAGCAATACTTCTAACTCGACTCGGAAATCCAGTATGGATCAACGTGAAGAAGTCGATGAGTCGATATCAGTACTCCATACCTATCTCCCAGGTATCTATTCCATATATAAAAGATCACTTGCTTGGCTTACGAATCACTCATCTCCTTTTTCTTCGTGATTAGAAAATTCGTTCTGAATTCTTTTAACAATATCTGTTTGCTTAATAAAGATAAAATCTTGAAGAATAGATTGACAAGAGGTTTAGACTAAGCAATCATACATGAATATAAGCACGTAATAAATACATCTTCCGGTTGTTTATAATAAATCTTTGTAAGCACTTTCCACTTAGTTTTCCGGTAGGGAAGACAAAGGTAAAAACTTCGAATAAGTTCGAAAATGTTTCCTTTGCTTAATGTCTAGAATTTTGAATTATCCAACATCGGATACTAAGAATATCGTCTAACACACTTTACGATAATTCGAAGTTTACAAAGTAAATAAGTGAAAATGAATATTCTAAGATCTCTAAATTCAAGCAAAGTAAGCAAAGAGACCTTTTAATTTACTGATCTGCAATTTCTAACAGAAAGCTAAACTATCAACTTCCTCACAGTTTAATATTTAATTTTAAGCTAAATATAACATATAATAACACTTATTTATTTTTTTTTTGCATTTTTAGCAGATCAAGCTTCCTTATTATAAAATCTTTCTTCAGATATCTTTATTTTGAACCGCGGCAGCTTTGTCTTGACATAGAAACAGCTACAATAATATCCCGAAATCTGCGAGGATGCAAAGAAACTTTGTGACAAATAAAGTTACAGTTAATATATATAAATAGAACGTTCAGTAAAACTAATAGGTTAACCTTAGAACCAAGCTTCTAATATCTGTCTTGAATTATATTCAAACTTTTCAAACTTCTGTTATGTCTTTTCAATGACATCTTGCTGAAAACTATTCTATTCATTTGTTTAAATAATGTTTATTTCGAATAATTTAAACATATCCTTCTTACTACTACTTCTAACAACGTCATAGTATAAGAAATTTTATTTTTTCTACTTTTCTATTTTTTTTTTTATTTTCTAGTTTTTCTATCTTTTTCTAAGTTTTTCTATTTCTGACTATGAGTGTATCATCGTTAAGCCATCCTCTCTTGACTTTATAACATAAAGAGAATTTTAATGCAAATTTTATTTCTACACTGAATATTTGTTGTTTAAGCTTCAAAGCTAAGTTTCAAGAAGGCTTTATGACATGTTGAAAATATAAATAATGAAATAATAGCAAGAATTTATTTCAGCTTGTATATATTCCACTTCCTCTTTGTAATGCTGCTGTTCTGTTAACTGTTGAACATATCACGAGCCTTAAGGCATACACAAAAAAATTATCGTAAACTAAAACATACATTGCAACATGCAACAACAAGTATTCAGTAATTAAGGAAAGTTATTTGAGTTTTCTTAAAATTTTTGTTTTTAAAGTTTCTTCCTAAATTTTTCTTTTCAAAATCTGTTGAACATTAAAGCATAGAAAAAAAAACACATTATCTGCATAAATCTGCTTATTAATTAATACTCGGATATCGAATAATTTTCAACATTAACAGTAATCTTTGCAACAGCTTTGGTTTTTATGAAAAATTTTTTTTATTTTTTTTGCTGCTATTAAAACTTTTTTCAACAAGAAGTGAAGTCTTCTCGAGGTTTACTTTCGTGGATGAGTATGTCCATTTTGTCAACAGGAAGTTATTGAAGAAATGGAAAATTTATTTTATCTTAGTATTTTAAGATGGAAAATAAATGTCAGTAAAAGGAGCTTAAGAGTAAGGAATTATGCAAGTGACTTTACAATACAGAATTCGATAATCATTTTTCTATTTTGGTTCCCCATATCATTTGCATGTATTTGGCATCGAAATTTAGATTTCGATAGATTTCGATGCTCATCATTTTGCAGATATACAAAATGCTATTTGTGAAGAGTTTCAAAGCGCCGAATGCAGTGTGGAAATGTCACCTGAACTCACCAAACCGCCCTTCAACTGCGCATTTCATGCATTAGGCAAAAGAATTCATTTGCTGCCATCAGGCTCCTTGATACCGAAGGATTTTTATCAAGTTTCTGCCACATTGGTAAGATTTCGCTACTTAGAAATTGTTTGCTATTTGCTTAAGCCGTTTTCGATAAAGTTTAAAGGCAAACTGACAGTGTGAATTAAATATATGACAGACATATAAGCGCATAAATGTTTTGGCATATATAGAAATAAGTTTACCAAATGGCAGCGAAAAATATCTTCGGATACATTTAGGGGAATCTTAGATTCATAAAAATAATACCAATTGTTTGTTTTAAAAAATTTCTTTAAAAGTAACTCGATTCCAGGGTTATGACTTTTTTACGAAAATATTCCGCTATTTCTCCAATTTAAGTAAATATCATATGTGAACTAATTCTGTCTCATAACTCTATAGTTATAACAAAAGTTAAGCTGTTCTCATTTACATTTTGCTTGCAAAGAAAATTTTCTGAAGAGAATCATCATATTGGTATCTCAGGCTTTACTAATGTTGTTCATAAAGGAAAAATAAAATAAAGAAGTTAGAGTGGGTAATGGACGAAAAAAATGATAAAGAATAGATGTTTCTCTCTTTTACAATGCAGAAAAAAAATATCACATGAGATTGCGTGCAAACGGAATTTCATCATCTGTGTAAACAAGGAAAAGTTTTCAGAAAGTTTCTCTGTTTATTATTTTTTGAATTTCAGGAAGGTGTGGTTGTCACAGATGGCCTTGCCAGTAAATATTTACATTTGGTGCTGGAAGGTGGTGATAACTGGAAATCACCGCTGCAAAAAGTTTTCAACGAGAAGCTTGGAATCAATTGGTGCTTTTTAGTTATGGAACTGCAGTCAGGTATTGCGCAATTTCATATGCTCCATGCACAAACGAAACCGACCAAAAGTTATTCAGACTGTATCATTCTATGGTTAAGTGAAGTGAAGCAAGCACCAGCATCACAATCATTACCGAAACCGAAAACAAACAAAAAAATTGTTAAGAAATCATTTGCGGACAAAGGCGTTGACGATACAGAAACTAATGGGAAAACAACCATAGTGAAAGCGATCAAACATAGCAATGGACAAAAAATTGTTCGTAAGAAACTTGCTGCAGCAGTAGCAATCGCACCATTAACAACGGTCCGAGTTGCGGACAATGATACAAAGATAGGAAATGACATTTCCGTTAATATCAAGAAAATAGTAGTTTCAAAGGAACGAAATTCATTAACGAACAGCAGAAGCGATGAGAATTATATAAATGGTAACGGTTCGACTGATTCAGGAGTTTCGCTTGTTGATTCGGACATCGAAAAATCAGCAAAATGTACAAAAAACAATGAATTGGATGAACAGGAACGCATCCCATCGATGAAACAAACAGAATCAATGCATGGTGCTAAATTTGCAGTACCTCTTTTAATTCCGACATTTAAAACAAATCTAAAAAAGACTGATGACGATAATACTACTGCTATCACTAATACTTCTGTCATATGTAACGCATCAACATGCCACAGCGACCTGCCTGCATCATTCACAATGCGCCGCAATAAAATCAAATACGAAATGAACAAGAAAGTGGGAAGAATTCCGGAAGAAGAGGAGATACAAAAATTAGGAGACTGGGAGAGGCCAGTTGTACAATTAACTAATGGTCATAGCATATCAGATCGTTACTTGAATGGACGTAATTTGATGACTCAGATGAGACATTCCGCACCAGTACACATCAACTTAACTTTTCCGAGGAACTTGTCTAGTGGCTTCGACAATTTGCCAAGGTAACTAACATTTAAAAAAAAAAGATCAAGCTATGGTTGAGGTATTTCTCACTGGTAATGAAAGATATGTCACTGATAGATGAAGCCAATGTACCGTTCATTCTATATTCACTCCGCGATGTTGATAAGCGAGCAACCTTATAAGCCTTATAAGAGCAAATTCTTTTTAGTGTTTGTTTTTGAGAGTTAACTAAAAAGAAGGATAAGAAGACGATTAATATTTTACAATTATTTTTTATTTCATTTCTCGGGAAATCAGAAGAAACAGTCTCAAAACGTTAAGCTCAAGGTTTAGATACAATTACAACTAAAGAGGTAAACAAAAATATACATTCGTACACTTTAAAGGCATTTAAAAGTACGAGAAGCAGCAATATTTTATAGTAAAAAAAATTGACGAAATCGATATTTCATTTTTCGGAAGAATGAAACAGATGGTTTAAGAGACTGGGACCTTATTTTGGTGGAAATGAGAAAAATAGCAAAGAAGCTATTTGGAAAGACTTCCTGAAAATCCTTCTCTGTGAGCTTTCTTTTCTAATTTATTAAAAAAGGAAAAAACTGTGAGAGAAGAAGCTACGAATAATGCTATGCAATGATTTTAACACAACTGGACCACTTTCAAAAAGCAAAGATCTTTCAAATAATTTCAGTACTTTTAATTTCTTTTTCTCTCTAGCGGTATGCCTTCTATAGATCAGTAATAATGAAATTTAAATCAGATAGATGAATGGTATCTCAATGATACTGAGCAAATTTATAAACATTTAAATTAACCTAATCTTATTTCCAATTCTAAAAGAATAATAAATCTGAATTTCCATATTTCAGGCTTCCTTCCAAAGATGATATTTCAACAACACGAAGATTTGCCGATGAAGAAATACCTCCAGTACAAGTACTTCAGTTGATTCTTAAAAAGTTTTCCTATAAAGAGGTGAGATGAATTTCATGAAAAATATTCATAAAATGTTGCATTTAAATACTAATGAAAAATATGCATAAAATCTTGAGATTGAGATAAACCCATAAATTAAGTTCGAACAAGAGCTCGTTCATTAAATAATTTTATAGCGGTCAGAGAATGGATGGATGTTTGTTATATGCACGGACTAATTGAATATTCCATGAGTGAGATCCTTTAATCTGAAATGAACATCAGATTAAAGAAACTTATCATTAGGAACAACTTTCAACCTTTTTAATTATTGCTACTATATGTGTAAATTTTACAATCGGTAGTTATTTATTCAAGGCAAAAAAGTCTACAAAGATTTATTACATGAATTTGAATTTATATTAATAAATACGAATTCATTGGTAAAATGAATTTCAGTTAGGTAAACTGAGAGAAGTTCATCCGCACTGGGATGAGCTGTGCGGGCAAGCACTGAATAGTGGTTATCATGAATTGATTAAAAAAGCGGATAAATTACTGACGGATTGTCAACGACGTGTACATTCTGAACCCGATCTCCATGACGTACTGTCTATTTTAACTAATGTACAAGTGCAGATTCTAAACCCCGTCGATATATTACGTCCAGCTATGGATGAAGGTTCCCATTTTATTTTCTTTACTGAGAATTAAGTACTTAATAATCAGCAGTAATTATATAAAAAATGACATTCACCGCCAATTATGCAATATTGCTACGGTCAAACTTATTATTTCAGGTGTTTGTTGCTTTCCGTACGGTGAATTACTCGATCAAACTTTCCATATAGTTGGAAAAGCAGAAGAGGTGATGGAAGGTAGAAAAGATGTAAGTTTGATTACTAGATAAAAAGGACCTTTATTTGAAAAGGGAAAAATAGTAGTTTGCAAAATTGATAAGTTTGTAAGTGTTCATCTTTCTTGATTAGTGTAGTTAAGTCACCCAAAACTTTGTTGGATCTTTGATGTCGTATATAGTTACTTTCTCATACATATGTACGCAGATATTAAATGCTCATTTTGAGGAAGAAGAGGAAAAAGGATGTCTTATATGTAAGGACCTTCTTATAGGTAACAATCAACTGGAAGTCAGTAGCTGAACTGGCAAGACGTGCGCAGTTACATTACAGATCAAATTTAGCAACAATTATGGAAGAGAAATTGGGCGAGGTGATCAGGCTGAAGGCATTACAATCCATACAAAGAATAGACAGTTTCATGATCGATTCGACAGTTAATAAACTTGAAAAGTTTGTTTTTTTGGAAGTGCTTGATGGTACTTTCAAATCAGAAGGCACTTGAACTTTCCACGTAAATAAATTATGTGCAAATTCAAAGAAGGAACTCTGTCAGATTCATGCATGAATATTGATTAATTTAAAAATAGAGTTCTTCAGGTATTCTTCTGTTGGCAGTCGTTGAATCTATTAGGTTTATTAGTCACAGATAATTAACTGATTTTGGTTAGAAGCGAAATCCAGTTTTTTTGGAAATTTCCTATATCCACGTTAAAGTAGAAAGCAAATTTGTGAACTGGAAAAATGGCGTGAAGAATCCATACTACCTGTGTATAGGTGAAGTAGAGATGAAATTAAGGTTATAGGTCCTACTGAACTATAGACACACAAATTCAAGGAGAGAAGGATTTGTCAAAGCCGAAAGACCGATATTGCTGTTGGAAGAGTGCTTAGAAGTAGAACGTGTTAGGATATTGCAAAGAAGATTACAGGATTTTTCCTTTCCTCATTATTGCTTTCAGCATAAATAATCACCGTCTGTCTTTTCTTTGTGGGTGAATAAGCCCATTTCTCCTGAAAATGCAAACAGTTAAATAAAAAAGGGGAATTTCCCAATACTGATTTCAAATTTAAAACGCCAAGAAATGAAGTGAAAGCTGAGTAGGCGTGTATTCTAGTTTATTAACTTTCTATGATAAATTGTCGGCCATATCTTAGATAAATAGGCATTATCTACATTTGGCAGTATTACACTACTCGATAATCCTTTCGTGAATAAACTCCTCAGTGATGTAAACATTATAGTTGTCTTGTATTATTACAGAGCAACCCATATGGCACGAGATGAATTGGAATGGGAAATCGAGCAACTCAGACATCAAAATACCCAATTGAAAAAGGATAATCGTGAACTCAAAAAGGACTGTATGAGATTAGAAGCAAGAGTGGAAATCATCGAAAATAAATTCAAAACAATGGCTCGATTGCTACAGTAAGCGTGATGATGGTTGAATTACTCTTTACTGTGGTGGTGTAACTGCAACTACAGACTCGTTTCTTAAACTTCGATCCACTAAAAGTGGGTCGAACTGAATCTTAATCTTAAATAGAATATAATGTTCCTGCTGAATACGCAAAAAAAGACATTTTGCTTCCAGGCATGCAAATACTTCATTTTTTATAAATTGAAATCTGAGATTTAATAGATTGATTCATTAAAGATGTATTTGCTGCTGACTAATATGTATAAGTTAAAATACTTTGATACTTTCGTTTTAATAAAATGTTATGTTAAAGGCTGGCGAAAGAATGAATTTCTTGTTTCAGAATTACAGCTATGTGGAGCAAGGAACCTTACTTTAGTTCACTAATATATTTCATTATTCTTTAAAAAAATACAGCCACTGCATTCCCTTCGTTACTATCTTTCTGTAAACATAAAACATAGTTTTAAATTTACTGAACCATTTCCAATTGCCAATATCTTGAAAACTATTCCCGCTCCTTTAATGAGTATTGCAACCATTTTTTCTTGATACCAATCTAAGTTTATGTGTTTATTTCAATGTGTTAATCGACATACTTTGCCTGCTAAACAGAATTTGCACAAAAGTTAAAAGTCACAAAAATCGGCACAAAAGTTAGAAGTCCTACCCTTTCCCTCTTGAAGTTGCTTCGACGAGAAATTTATTCCTCATCAACTTTTTTTAAATACATTCCCGAAATGTAGTAAAAATAGAAAGTTCTTTCATCGGAGTCTACAGTCATGTAGAAACTACTATGCCTGTATAAAAAATATGTGAAAATGAGCTATTTGCACAAGAGTGGAACTTCAGAAAATTTTCATTGCATTTGATAGTCAATGGACAGTTTCAAATCTATCTCCATATCAAAGAATTCTCTTAATCAGAAATTATAAAATCGGAAAACAGTTTATTCAGAGGTGAAGTAACTATGTAGTAAGTTAATTTAATGGATCAGAAACTGAAATAGGCTAAAATTATCCAGTCAGTTTCAAGAATAAGAAATTCCAAAGCTTAAAGGCTGGAGTATAATCTAAAAACATAAAGAACCAATACACTACGTTTAGCCTTCCGATTTTAGTAACCCAATCAATTGTCCCTCGATTGCTTTTCAAGCTTTTTTTACTACAAAAATCAAAATGTCCATCCACTCACCAATCGATTTTTTTTACGAGAAAAAATTTGCAAAAACTATTAGAAACATGGGCAGTAAAAATATCAACAATCATTTTTCGAATTTACACATCTGTCGAATTTACACATCATAAAAAATAATCCATTACTTTGGAATGACAATAACTACAATCACAGTCTGATATGCACTATCAGCAAGTGAATGAAATAAGATCTGCAATGAAATAATCTGCAATGAAATAAAATCTGCAAAAGAAATTCATGCTGAGAAGCCTGAGAAGACTCAAAAATAAACAAAAAAAAGAAAATGATGCTTTTATAAAGTTATGCAAAATATGTAGATAAAATCATATTTGTTCTTTCTCCTACAGCTATAGCAACTGTAGAATTGAGAGAAATACTGTATACTTCTTATATCGAAAGATTCTTGTTCGTGACAAAAGCTCCCATGGCTCTGTAAAAAATTAGATGGTACTGGTTTTGTCAAACCAATGCAAAATCTAGTTTAAAATTTGTCTGTTTTGCTATCAAAAACTGATACTTTGAACTCATAAATTCTTGAACACAGAATTACAATAAAAATTAGGGAAGTAGACTCGAAAACGAGGTTTGTTTGATAAATGCTAATGCTATGTATGCAAAAGACATTCTGATTTCGCATAAATTAATAGTCTCAACAGTCCATACTTCAATAGCTTTGCTTTGTGACTCGAAGAATCATCTAGGATTCTGATGCCTCTGTTATAACGTTTGCCGCCTTCATGTACGGCTAGCATATTGTTGTCTTTCATTACATAGTAATGCATATTGATGAGAAGCAATATATCACCAGGCTAAATCAAATTTATATTTTAATTTCTAAATTGAAATTCGAAAATTGCATATTCAAATTCTACAATTTAACATATAATGTCCATTGTTGTATTTCATAAATTGTATGAACTGAATTTTTGAAATTATATGAAACTGTAGAATCACCTTAACAGTTTTTTTCAGACAAGCTCCATGCTCATTATAAAAGATTACATCGCAAAGATATTCCTGAGCCAGTGAGCTCAATTCTTCATCTATATGTATTATTTCGGAAATATTTTCATTTCCGAAGAAAAATGTAGAACTGCAATACAGAAAACTTATCCAACACAGACATAAATAGCCTTTAATTAAATTTATTGAAAAATTTTTAATGAAAACATTTCATATCTAAGAACTATGAACTTTAAGACTCAGGAAAAGGCAATTTGGTAGTAGAATGATTAACATTAATTAAACTGAATTTCCAAATGAGCATACTGTTATAACTTGATCATTGAATCTCTGATAGAAATAAATAAAGTGAAAAAGATACCTAGGTGGTTTTGTAGTGTCCCAACATCGTAATACTATATTATTCCTATCACTTATGAATACTGATACTGCCTGTAAGTGTGAAAATAAAAATCGATTAAGCAGCGTCGCAATGAGGAGGGGAAAGCGACATTCTTGGAGATCATGAAAATTAGTTTTATTCAACTGAGAAGTACTTCAAAAGTTTTTTTTGCTTTGTTTCAATGTCATAATCTGGAAGCAAAACAACACTGAAGTTTACAACATTAATATTAAGATCACTAACAAATTAAACTAATGTCTTGAATAAATATTTGCATTTACTAAACTATTGATTACAGTGTTGATAGTATCCACACTTTTTTTAAGTTGTTAATTGTTAGCCATCCATCAAATTAAAATATAACTTTAAGTACCTGTACCACGATGTTGTGATATTGAAAACGCACAAGTTCATTCAAACGGCAAATTGTTTTACTTCCATTACTGAAACCAAGTGTATTGTCACGAACAGAAATAGCTGCAGATGAGGCAACAGGCACATTATTTGAATAAATTTGTAGTGCAGCAATCTAGAACCAAATAAATAATTTATAAAATTTCAATACCAAAAAAAAAACGCTTGTTTATTGCAATTACTGGATAATCATTGTTGTATCAAGGAAATCTAAAGTTATTAAAGAGATCTAAAATTAATCTTGTCAAGCACAGCAATAACGGAAATCCTAATTAATTATTTTAGAGACTAAAATTATTTAAAAAACCCAGAATCAATATTTAGAGCGACTTAAAAAAAATTTGAAAAGCCATACCATTTCTTGGCAGTTTTCGGGTAAACTGTAGTTGGCGCATGAATGGAAAACGACATTATATCCACTGCCTGGATGATCACTAATTAATACGATGGTGAATCCATCTTCACTCAATTTCCCATATAACGACGGTAGTCTTCCCGGATTTGTTCGAATCTACCACAAATGAGAATCATAGAAATATATGAAGCATTTAATTATATTTATGAGGAACTCAACGCACAGTATTTTATTTAAAAAAATGAAATGCCAGGCGATTAACAAGCAAGTCTGCAGAATAAGGACCAGAATTATCAAAAGTAGCTTATATGAACTATCCGAATTAGTGGTTGATGTTGACTACTATGCTTATCGCAATAATGAATAACTTACATGAATATGATTAAGTTGGATAATTTGGTCAGTCTTAATTTCTTCCGAAAATGTATCCGTCAATTTGCTATATAGAGTGCATCGTATGAAAGAATCTGTACTAGAATCCCGCAAATATATAACACTTGCTATCTGCACTTGAAAATGAAAAAAGTTCCAGATACGTTTTCATCTTCCACATGAAAAATAATAATGTCCGAGCAGTACTAAATTTGAACGGAAAGTCATAACTTTTCCAATGGAAAGTAATAAATATAACCTGCAGGATTACCACAGTAAGGTTTTTTCTCGTCGTTTATCCGTGCTTTAAGCATTCGATAAAACTAAATCTCATACTTTGAACTTACCATTTTCTAAGATATCAATTGATCGAATATTTCTCACTTCAACAATCTTAGCAAACACATGAATCTGCAAAAGTCTTCATTTATTAAACTGGAAAGGAAAGTAGAAATAGAAGTAGACTAATCATGGATCACCGGATCATTAGGAAGTAGGTCGACTAATCGACAATTAACATCTGTCTTTCCTTAACAGTCCTTTGGATGAAGTTACCGCCTGATCACTGAAACAATTAGCCGAGTCTCATAAAGCTGTATCCATCAGATAATCATTAACACTTATCTTTTCTTTTGTGTTGCAATTCCTCAAATCGGCCAAACTTGTATAAAAATAATTCGATTGTGGTTGCATAATATCCTACAATACTCTCTGTTTCTTACAAATTACTAAAGGACAGATTCGACTATTTCCATAAAATGTTCCATCCACTCTAAACTTATAATGTAGACAGCAGAAGGTTACGCCACTTCTCATTGATAGGGATGGACAGAAGCTAACACTGCTGCAGCAATACTTCAAGGGCAATAAATTGAGATTAATTTGTCATTTGACCGGAGTCAAGTTAACGACAAAATGTTCACCATGAGCCCGCCTTTGAGTTGATTAAATTCTACAGGATGTTGCGTTGGATGGTCATCGAACACCTCAAAATGTCGACTTGGCCGCGCCGCGAATTCCTAAATATTATATGCCTCTCCCATTTCCCATTAGCTATAAGCTACATTGTTTTAATTAAAAAAGAATCCTTCATATATTGTTTTATTAAATCACAGGCATGTACAGTGCATTCATACATACATATATATAGCATATTAGAAATATGGCACAACAGACCGCATATATTATGGAAAATGTTTGTTTATATCGATATCTAATCTTTGTAAAGCGCGTAACATAACAAAAAAAAAAAAAAAAAAAAGAAATACAGCAAATGGTACTCAGATGTTCATAATCATGCGGTCCGTTTGTCTCCATATACATTTTAAAATTGCAGCTTGTCTTCCTATTGGTATGAAAACTTTTGGCTAAACAAGCCCTTTGACTATCCACTTTATACAAACTTTTCAGAATTCCGAGAATAAGATATGATAATCTATGAAGAAAGAAGTTTAGAGCAAATACCAGATCAAAAACAACGGTTAAAAAAGTTTGTGTCAATAACCGCTAAAGTGTGGAGGAATTGATTTTTTGAATAAATAAAGAACATCTCGAAAACAATCTCGTCAACTACTTTAGATTTGTTTTAAAACCATAGAAAGAAATGAATCCTTACTGAACACCTCTCTTCTTAATATCTTCCAGATGTTAGGTTGACCTCTTCTTATATAAATCAGTAACAAATTGTGTGCCTGCTTTACGAGCTGCACGACCGGCGATGGATCGTGGACCAAGATCCCAAAGCTGCAAAGCAGCCAAAGAAGTGTGACCAGTTGCATATAACGCTTCATGTGCTATTATCGAAGCTTGATTACCCCATCTGAAAATTCAAATCTGAATAAAACTAGAAGGAAAATATTAATTATAATAAGCAATAGATAATAACGATGTTTGTTTTAAAAAGTTTACTTAACATAAAATTCCAGAGTGCGCGTTAATCAGTGGTATGAAAATTTTATCTCTAATTTGAATTAAAATTTACTTGTGCTTCACAGTATCGACCGTTTCATCAGCAATATTTTTAGCCATTGCCTTGGAGGCATTTTCGAGAGCAATCCATACTGTACTTGCACTGGTGATACCACTCCCCAGTACATAAATTGTACCATGAACAATACCAGTTTCACTACCAGCAACGTGTTTCTCTGCACCAGACGCTAAACTCTTTCCAACTGATATACCCATATCTCCAACTTTATCCACTAAATGACAAATTGTTATATTAAATTATTACATTAAAAAATATGTGAATTGAACAATACCATTACACAAGAACTACACAATAAATAAAGCTAATTACAGCATTCTTCAATAATGTTTAACGAAGCAAATGAAATTTCAATTACACAATTATCTGCCACCTTCTCCTTTCATCATAAAAAGATTGCAAATGAACTGATTATATAGATCAAAAAAAAAAAACTCAGAATATATTAACCTACTCATCATGCAAATTTTCAAACTACTAATGAGAGCTTATCATTTGTTAATCCCTAAACGAAGGAATTGCAATTCCTTCTTCTGGGAACATATTAATTACTTAACCATTAACTATGCATAACTTTAAGAGTTACGGAAGTAGAAAACTTACATAAATATTTTGTGCACTTCGCCACCATTTTGCTACCCTTGTGAACATAATGTATACCGAATCTAATGCTTGCATTTATTTGCATTGGTTCTTGATCTGATACAAGTGAAGAGCGAATTCCTGCTGATTTGTCAGACACAATTCTGGATGTTTTCTGGGCAACATAGTTTATATTTGTCGCCAAGTAATCACCACCTGCATGAGATTTCATCAAAACAGACTTTTAGAACAGAATTTCATTTTTTTAGTAATAGGATTTCAAGTATCTTATTCAAATCGTATGCTTCAATTTAAAGAAAAAATCCAAGATGTGAGAAAAAGTGACCTCTTATCAAAAAATCGCCAATTTTCTGACTAAGATGCTGTCTTTCTTCTTTACTCATTTGGAGAGACAATTCCTGGGTTCGTATCTCAGTATAATGTCTTAAAATTGAATGGAAATCCTCCTTATCTTTAAGGTCGAAATTTTTAGGTAACATGATTCCAACAAACATATCTGGAATTAAGTGCAAAATCTTAACACTATGGTTAAATAAAATTTAAAGTCATGTCAAAATTTAAAAGCTCAGGAAAATTAAATTCCACTATAAATCTAAAGGGTATAACCTGGATGCTCTGGAGTTGGATTTGGCACTATGTATGCGCCAAAATCATTTTTCAAAACTGGTGTCTTCCCATGAACCAGTGGATATGACCATGGACCCACCTGAAATCATACAGAGGGTGATTATAATTCATCATTCTATCTTGAAAAAATGAAACGTAACAAATGGTCGAAAGTTTTTCAACGAATCCTTGTATTTCCAATTTTAAGCCAAAACCCATAATTCATGATTCCAAAAATCTGGGATATGAAATGTCTTATTTGCTTAAAGTGGCTTGTATACTCCATCTTATATATTATATTTGCATATGATAACTTTTTGGTTATAAAAGGACAGAAATCGAAAATCTTCGAATTTAATTAAAAATCTCCCCATAAACCAGTGGATTTGTTTTTTAAAAAAGTTGAAACTTCAATTTTCAACCTCCCGTAGCACATACCTGCATAAATGCTTCTATCTGGATAGTTTCCAGTCTTTGTTGACCTAAGGAGAATCGAAAAATTTCTAGAGAAGAAGGAACAGTAGGAACTGAAGTGGTTCCATTCTGAAAATGAACAAGTTGGAGATTTTTAGGCTCCCGGGGAACTGTAAAGAATTAATATAAAAAATATCACCACTTAATTGTTTAGAAATAACAAAAGCTTGAACGTACCTCAATGATAAAAAGCTGCACTCCATTTGGTATATAATATACCAACTCAGCCTCTATAGTGTGCACTGGTTCGATTTGCTTTTTAAATTCCTTTTTCCAAAACTAAACATTTGTGCAAATTAAATTGTATTATCTAGCTTAAGAATCTTTGTTTTCCAAAGGGTAATCATAAAAGTTCGCATCATGAAATCATAGAAAGAGTTGTAAAAAAGACCTCTTCACTCGCCACTTTTGTTTTTTTGGTGTCAGATGTTACATCTTCGATTTGTTTCTGTCTTTTCTTATTTGCCTTTAAATGTTTCATTCTTGCTTCCACTCGATCCTTACCTTCCATAGCTATTTTATACATATCACTACTCTTGTAGTTTTTTCCCTTCGCCGCTTCTTTTATGAGTAACAAACTTCGGTCATAAAATGCCAGTGCATTTTCCTGAAATCCATTTTCAAAACTTAATAATTCTTAAATGATAGTTTGAAAAGTTCCCCCCTTCCACTTCTAAATTCACTACTTTTCCAATATAATATACACACAAATAAACAAAACTAACAGTATCACTGATTTCATCATAGCAAAGGCCTTGTTCCATGCAAGCACATGCCTCAAAATACAGTTCATTGATGTTAATATTTGTTGCCATTTTGCATTTGTAGTGATAATATAGTTTCACTCTTTTGCTAACAAGTCGTAACAAACTGTAGGCGTAAAAAAAAAGATTGTATGTTTGCACAGCCTTACTATGTATAATTCATCATTTTCCAATGGCAGCCACTTCACCGCCTACATGAAAGGATGTTTGACACATGGAAAAGTACGATATCAATTTTTAGAAAACATTATGCACACGATAGTTTCTAACATCGAAATATTAGTGGATATTTTATAAAAATACAGTCGCTCGCGATTTGCTTGAATCACTGAGAACCGAAAAGAAGGTAATACCACTACATTAACTCAGGAAAAGACCTGATCAGAGTTCTGAAACAAATTACAAACGAAGCAAATTTTTACATTGTATTAGCGGCAAGCGACAACGTATCCTACGTACATGAAATGATGCAAAGGTTGCTTTGAATGAAATTAAAACATTATTAGTGACCAGTTAAAATTAAATTTCACTCTTAACAGGGCAATACATGGAAATTCCTTCCTTTCCAGGCCCAAAAATGAGAAAACTTGCGAGGAAGTAGATAGATAACACCTATAAATCTGTGTCACTCTTAAATTTAACCTTTTATGACAGTTAGAAATCAATAAACGGTGTAACATGATGAAGATGCAGAGTTCTATGCGAGTAAGTAGAAGTAGAAAGATACATAGCTGTAATAAACATTACAAACAGGAGCAATGTCCAAAGACCTAACTCGCGTTAATTAAATCTGGTTCCGGGAGACCATTGGGCCTTAGACAGCGCCTTAGATGACGTAACGAATTAATGTGGGGACGTCTTATGGATAGTTCCGCAAACAATTAAATTTCTAGAACAGTCTAATCTCTGTCGTTTCCTTTATCAATTTTTCATGTCATAACATTCAGAAGTCCCATATTTCACTGAACCAATTCTAAAATGAAGTTCACAAAAAATCCTTCCATCCTTTTTGCATAATACAAGTTGAGAAAGTAAAAGAAAAAAAAAAGGATTATGTATTGAAAATATATTATTTTAATGTTTCTGGAGGTTCTGTTTTGAGGATCCAATTGTTTCTATATCTTATTACTGATAGTGGTAATAAGTTGAAATTTACTGAAGAGCGAAAACGGCTAAACATTAGAATACTAGAAGAGAAAGGAAAATAATGAGTCAAAGAACTAGAGAATATAATTAAAATTATTTATTCCTATCTAATTACTTAATTATTCATGTCATTGATTTCTAATTTTATGCATTTTCTTGAGTGACAATTTTTATCAGCGAAGCTTCCTTATCAGTAAAATAGATGATGATTTGTTCCCTCTGCTCTTAACAAATAACTCAAAAATCTTCTAGAAAAAAATACAACAATGTCAGTTATGAAAAAGTTTCAACAATTTATGGCCACTTTTCTTTGATGAGGACATTTTGACCAAGTCAACACCTTTCGGGCTCTTCGAACAAAGACCAAATGTACTGGAACGGCCAGAATTTTTCATTGAGAAAGCACTTTTATTTACTGAAAACTATTTTATTTCAAAATAGTTGCGCAAAAAAACAATCAAAAAAAAATAAAAATAAACGAATCATCATTCGTCTTTTCTATTAGCGTCACCAATTATGGCGCTCCACTCTCAATCACATGAAATTCAGAAAAAGAATTTTGCATGTGGAGCTCCATTCTTTAATATAAAAGAATAAAGTGATGAGATCATACAGATTTCCCAAAATAATAAATCAGCAAGGCTAAAAAAATGCTTTCAGCTGATAGCTGAAACAAAATCATTCGTACGTAATTTTACTAAGAGATACATCAAAACTTATCACTTTTCTCATATACTTGCTCAACCAATACTATCCTTTCCTTCGAAATATATGTTTAGAAAACCAATATTAAAAATATTGAATATTACGAAGTTTACCCGAAGAAGCGATTTCAGAATCCGAGGAACAAAGTCGTGGAGACGGACTGCGTCTTTTGGAACGATCAGTTAAGAGAATAGTGATTGGACGTCTGAAAAGTGCAGCAACTCGTTCCCATTCATCTACAGCTGAGATTTCGCCGAACATTACGCCAAATCGTTTCGCTAACTTTTCACCATCTGATTCACTTACCTGCCTAGAATCGAAGTTAATCTTCAATATAGAAGTATTCTACGTAATGATCAAAACTAACAAATCTTTTTACACTTTTGTTAGCCTGCTTCTCTGATTTTTTTCTTTCACAGAAGAATATAATTCTTGTCAGTCTATGTGGTATCGATGAATAATCATTGATACAGCTTGATTTCTTTCACGTACCCTCAGAAAACTGCAAAAATGATAATGAGCAATGTATTGGAGGAATGCTAAAACGCAAAAACTGAAAAGCATTCATGTGGTTTTCTGGAAAATTTTCTAATACTGGAACTTTCAGTCTAAAGTTTTTGAATCCAGGACCCTCCTCAAGAACGTAAAAATTCAACGCTTTTGAAAAAATATTGAAAATCTTGAAGAAAATCATAAAATACAGCAAGTGCTAGTTAGGGGTATCTCACCTAACAAGATCTACATAAACTTCTTTATGGACTTCAATTTTCAAAAACATTTTTAAGCAATTACCGGTAGCGTTCAAGATCAGTCTTATTCCCTACAAGTAAGCATTTATGTTGTCGCGAACAAAGATGATGTTCATGGGCTGCAATTTGTTGCATTGTTGATTCCGCGTACTGTAGAGACAATTGTGATGTTATGTCATATACCTTAAATGGTAAACTTACATATTTTTTAAAAATACTTAAGAGAATCTTGCTCAGATCGTGCAGAATACATTGCCTCTTAATATAATAAGGAAAACTTCACAGAGAATCAAAAGAGTTTTGTAAAGTCATTGAGTTTCATCCAGTAAAAATGATAGTGTTTCCCTTCGTGAAATAATTATCGTTAATCAGTCAACCTTTCAAAACATGAAAATAATCGTTTATAAAAATTAGATAAGGAAACCTTTCTGTATTAAAAATTAGTAAAAATAACGGCCATTTCAAGAAGCATAAAATCAATCTGGACAAATTAATAGGTAAACATTAATTTTTCTATTTTGAGAGAACTAACAATAATGTAAACATCAGCCCACGAAAGGTAACGCATTGCATCTCGTCCTGAACCATCCACTGTATCCATCAAACATACGACAATCGGTTGCGAGAGTAAAACATCTTGACGACAGTATGTATCTTCTGACGATTTAAAAATTCAAATACGTTACGATTTTAGAGTATATATGATTTTAGAGAGAAAAATTCCTTGACTTGTATGGGGAAAATAAATACTTAAACACTCGATCAGGAGTCAAAGTCTTCTCATCACTGATGGTTAGAAATGAAATCTTGAAACCACATACATCAAATCTGTAAAAACAAACCAAGGTTTGGGTCATAATCGCCAATGAACCGACCAGCTATATATTTCACTGCCAAAGCTGCGAAATAATGGTAATGAATTGTTTATAAATTAAGCAAATATAGTACTTGCGTGTATAAGATAAAGAAAAGGTAACACTAAATGAAATTTTGGAAGACAAGTCGAATTCATTTTACCAAGGTTCAGAAAAACTCGTGGAAGAGTTAGTTTTTTAGTCGATGACATTGTTATTTTGAACAATCAGTAAAGAAATGAGAATAAAATATCAAAAGAAATCATCTATAAAAGTAGGGAAGATTTTACTAGCACTACTTGTTCTTTCTTTAAATAACAAAAATTTTACAAAAGTCTCGGATGTACTAACCAAATAGTGCAGTAATGGTTAGGTCAAAGTATTCCTTGTAAAATCACAAATAATGCAGCACTCACCTGATTTCCCGCAACCCGTCATCCCAATCAAAGCGACATGCATTTCAGTAACTGATGAGCACATCATTCTTTGCTTCCAAAATTAATAGGTTCTTATTGCCCAATTTTCTGCCTGAGAGTAGAGGAGTTGGATGGAAATAAGAAGCACTTTGCAGTCCTGACATCGTAAACGTCAGTATAAGATGAGAAAGGCAGCTGATCCTCTTCATTCACCACCTTAGAGAATATTTTGCTGTAATAAACTTAATATCGATTTCTCAAAACATCAGCAGCGACTTCATCCTCCTTCCACAACTATCTATTCCAAACCATAGCTTAACTATCCCTAAGTTAAATTACGCATGAATAGCCTGAGATTCATTTATAATAAAAATTTTCCGTAAATCTGATGGCTTATCAAACAACTTAAATTTATTCAAAATGAGAAAAACCGAAATGGAATTTAATAGTTTACTGACACACTTCAAATAATAATGACAGAATATCGGAGATCGAAGAGATGAATTGAACACTAGTAATAATTAACAATGACAAAACACATATACAATTGCTGAAATAAGCAAAAAAAGCTGTGAGCATATTCAGAAGACAATTAGCGGTGATTCAACTTTGGAATAATTGGATTGCTCATGCTGGATTGTCTGGTGTAATAAATGGCGGTAAATGGAAAGTAGCTGTGCCAAATCCCCGTGTGCGATCAATTGAAATAGCGAAAGGATCTGTCGGATGAAAAAGAAGTTGGACAAAGCGACCTTGATTGAGGTTCATTTCGAACAATGGCAAACACGTCAGACGAGAGAAAAACCTGAAACTAAGACTGCATTGGCAATTTCCAAACTGAGAAGTAATTGCACAGTAATATCTGCAGTCCTTTAAAATGTATTTGTCCAATCTTTCAATAGAACTCATCTCTAAAAATTAGAAAACTAATCTTTGACAAGCCCACCAAAAATATTTACAAAAATTTTCAACATCCTAGTAACAGAATTTAAAAATGGACTTTACTAAATAATACGTTAATTGAAAGCCGAATGGCACGTTAAAACTTATCTAAAAAAGCTGTGCATTGAGGAAACAAGCCAGAGAAATCGTTTTATCCATAACATTTTCAAGAAAAAAATCGACAGTATGTGAAAAAAAGAAAGAATGGATTTAATCCGTCATCATAAGATAAAACCATTCAAGTCATGCTTAAACTTCGCTAAATAAAACGTTAACTGAAATCTGAACAGATCTCGACTCTTCTAACAGACACCAAGAAATTGAAATAATAGAAAATGGAAAACTCTAACCTAATCACTTCACTGTCCGATAATTTGGTGCGTTCAATAAGTGTTATCAGTCGATCATCAAAGCGAAACATTGACGGATCCAAATATGGAGTTTCTACAGGAATATAACTGAATGAATAAGGCAACTGACATATAATACGTCTGCGTGTTTCCCTATCAGATCCTGTAATTAACATTTCTAACTGGTGAAAGATAAAACGCATGAATACCTTTTAAAACTATAAATTTATTTTCGGTTAATTATGCTTATATATATATTAATCAAGTTATCGGAATACTAAATTTCTTCGAATGTTCTATAAAGTTTACATGCCGCATAATAATAATGAAGCAAAATCAAACTGGAAAAAATAAATTCATCATGGCTAACCTCCTCGAGCGTCTGTAAGTGCATCTTTCATACGCTGATAGGCCACCAACGCTTGTTGACAATGCTGAATGCTGCAAGGAAAACGATTCGTTGAAACATGAGCATACTTCAGTTCTTCTTGACATTTTTCTATCAACTTCAAAAAATTCGCTGAATAGCGATCGAATGCACCCAGAACATGACCTCTTTGCCAGTCCATCAGCACAAGTAATAACGGATAGCTGCTAATTCCTGGGGTCGCAGCAAACGCCTCTACATGAAATATTATAGAAAAGCATAATCAAATTAAAAAAAAAATTTCCTTTTGTGATTAACATAGCTGAGACCAAAGGATTTAGATTCACGAAGCTGGTACCTTCGTTCACAAAACGGATCAATATAATACTTGGAGTGACCAACTGCATTTGCCACATTCTCAATGATCGAAACTGTGCGAAAGTATGTAAAAAATTGTCAACTTGAGTTGAATCTGTACATCGATGGTAAAGATATGTCAAAATTCGTTGCTTCACTCCTATAAATTTCCCAATTTTTATATTCAAATTCAGAAACAGAAAAAGTGCTACCAAATAAACAACTACATTTTATGCTTATTCATTTTTTCACGAAAGCTATCTAAAAATCCCAAAATATATAACAGATAAAGAACGATGGATCCTTATAGGCTGTTAGCTTTCCAAAAAAAAAAAAAAAAAAACAATACGTCAGATCAAGCCAATGCAACATAACTGTTGAATAGATTAAATGGAATTGTGAAAACTGCTGATAGATCATAATCTTTATTAATATGTCTATGTGCAAATGCCAAATTGCATCTTATTAATAGCCTATGCACACAATGCATGAGAAGCTGAACATTACTGAAATTCGCAGCTTTTCAAAGAATACGAGAAACTGTATAGTGATTCCTATCATACATATTATTCAGTTTTTCAAAAACTATCAAGTGATAAAATTTGAGCAATAAGTATTAGTAAAATATTCAAAGCAAAATTATATTAAAAAAACACTTAATTGTTTCAGGATTTAAAGGATAATTAAATGATGAAATGGAAACTTACCACTAAGAACAACATCAGTGGTAGGGCTATCTGGACTTTTCTCAGCAGCCATTACAAGATCCTCATCGTCAGCAAATAAATACCTGAAAACCATAGAAAACAAATTCAAAAATCTAGATAAAACTCTTGATATAAGAAAACCTCAAATTTCTTGAATCCTTCCCAGACTTTTCATACTGTATGCAAAGATAAAATATTTTGAAATAAACGAAACACGTAATGATGGACTTTGTTAATGAGTGTAGTTGGCCTAGGCCTTATTTACATCATGCATACTTAAAAATACTTTCTTCGTTAAAATTGAAGTTGTGGAGAGTGAAGAAGGAAAATCAATAATCTCAGTAATTCTTCTACTATATTTTATAATTCACCAAACTTCATTTTTCATCATTTATTTTTCACCACGAATTCAATTCATGATCAAAGAAACAAAACTGACCGTCCCACGTGGCCAAGCAACGTGAAATAACCGGTATCTTCGTTAATATGCAGAAAATGAATTGTTTGATGTTGAAATGAAAGAATAGCGAGGAGGTGTCCCACCAGAGTTACGCCACGTGATATCCAAAGTCGGTCAGCATCCAGATAATATTTGTCACAGATATCACCAGTCTAGAAAACAATTTTAGCTTTAGAAAAATTAGCAGTTCTACTATTATTTTATTGTCAATTTGCCTATATGTCTTTATCATGGAATATAACATTCTGTAAAATTCATGCAGAACCTCTCATTAATTATAATACAAACATGTATGAAGCTTATAGAAAACGTAACATTCATGTCGATACAATAAATAATATAATTTATAAGCGCTTGTACTGAAACCGGAGGAAGCGACTCGTTATTCTGGTAAACATCATCCCATCTTAGAGCGTTTTCCGATGTAGGATATTCGGCAGCAACTGCAAGTAAAGCAGATCGCGCATGCCGACACTATTTTAATACTGAAATATATTACGAACTGAAAAACTATAAAGTAGCGAATGCAACTGACTAAGATATTTTCTATCTGAAGACTTAATAACCTGTGTCTATGTCGTTCTCATAGTTAATACTAAAACAACATTTCCAAATCAACTTCTTAAGTAGAAAAGAGTCTGTGATCAAAAGTTTTTGTTTTTTGAAACTTTGTCAACGCAAACCCAGTAGATAACGGCAATCTTCTGTAAAAAAAACGAATTCTTTGTTCAAAGCAGCTCCTTCTTCATCATCAGTTACTAGATTTATTATAAAACGCTTCGAAAAAACATCCTAAAAATTGAAACATTTATTTCATGAAAGATAAGGCAAATGCAATAAAGATATGCGACACAATATCGAAATAAACAAGGAAAATCAGAAACTGGTGTATGTATGCATAAAGTGTATGTTAAGAATATTCTGAAAATGAACATGTCGTATAATGCAAACATGATTTATCAAAAGTTCCATATGTTTCTTACCTAAATATTAAGTACTAAAAACGAAAACTTTTGTATATTCCTCTTGAAAAATGAGGAAACAACATGAAATGATTGCTTAGAGATAATAGCTAATGATTTTAAAATGCAAATTCACCTTAAACATGGTTTCCGGTTGTTTATTGTAAGCATTTGTGAAACCACGATAATCATAAACATACAAATTATGACAGTTTGAGGAAAAACAAACGAGATTACGTCCATCCGGTGAAAATCTGCAAAGAATATCTTTTAAGCTTAAAAAATCCAACGTTTTTATTTTCATGAGACCAAATGCAGTATACATATGAATTAAAATTTGACAGCTTTATTCCTTTTTTTCTCCTGGTATTCCTAATTGTCTTCCAGTTACAACAAATGGTTCATTACAATAAAATACAAGCTCACTGCAACAAAATACAAGTGGGTTACAACTACAGTTTCTTACCATTTCATTCAAAAAATTTAGTAAAACAAAACCTTCTAATGATTAAGTTTTTCTTATCAACTCCTGATATACTACAACTTGGATGAAAACACTGATAAAATTGTCGCGCGCCATAAAAGAAATGCGTTCCTGAAGAAATAAGAAAAACGCATGAAATGTCCGAAGTATGGTTACTTTGCAGCTAGTTCTAAAAGCTGCAGCACTCCAAATGCTAACCAGCACAGCAAGATTGCACATGGCAATATCTATGAAGCTTAGTTACCTGGTTTCCGGCCACCAAGTTCACGCCTTTGAATCATTCGGGCCATATGAATAGTTGGTATTCGTCTATGCCTGCACCATTCCAAACCATACATTTCCCCAGCTACCATTTCTGTAGAAAAAATATCGTATCACAGATAAGCAAAAACCTTTCATAGAATCTGAGTATATAATTTTCATCTGTCCATTATCTATCTCCAAAATATTTAAAAACTAGCAAAATATTAAAAAACTAGTAAACAGAATTACATATACATTGTGCGAGAACTTTCGACAATTTTTCTCACCGAAAAATTCTCAATGTTTTGACAGAGCTGGACAAAAATGAGGTTTGAATAAACCAGTATCTGATGTGATACGAAGCCATACCCATATATGTTTTATTTATTATAATATATAACTAGTGACGGAAAGCAAAGGAAGAGAACAGTTTTAAATGGAAAGCAATTTAGAGTCGTACATCATGTTTACATAAAGGGAAAAATATCTCTGAGATTGATAAAAATGAAGCATATCAAACGGTGTGAAAAAACTCTCTAAAAATTTGTACACAGAAACAAACAATTTTATTCTATCATTTCAAAAAACCAGAATTTCAGAGGTATACGAGAATTTAAATCACATACATTAAGAACTAAAGAAATGGCTAATATATCCAAAAGCTAATGATAATATATGAAATACAGTTGAACCAATCACATTCCTTTAAAAAAAAATCAGTAATTCTCACATGATAAACAAATCGAATCTTCTATTGAATGGCATCTGGAGGATTATGCGAGAAATAATCCGGAAAACATTCACCAAGTTTTGCACCCTCTGGCAGTGGTCCATGTTTTTTAGTATCCCAATGCAGTTTGTATTGCAATCTGATCCATTCAGCACGTTTTTTCTCAAAATGAAAGAAATAATAATAACAAGATTCTTGCAAACTAAATTTGAATTCAAAATAAATATGTGTTTTACGGCAAACTTAAAACTGACAAACAAAGCATTATAGACGGAAAATCTTTCAAACACTTCAAATCTTAAATCGAACTTTCAAAATTGACCTACAAGACTGTCAGAAATAAAAAAAAAAAAAAAAAAACTTGTTTGTAATTTGTAATGCATTCATTGAAGTCCCGACGCTCTAAATCACAATACTTTCGACCAAGCTTTTGTCCAAAAGCTTCCAAGCAGTGGAAATACTGCGATTCAAAAAACCCACAGTGTGTATCTGTAAGGCAAGCTAGTTTTGGACAGCACAAATTAATTTAAAACAACTTTATTCCTGATCACCAGCAAAATGACACTTTCTATAAGTGAGATAATCAAGCTGGTACATCACACTTAAAAAACAAAAACCTTGTTTTGATGAAAGTCTTCGAAGTGCATCAACAAGTGGTAGCCTTATCACTGGCTCTAGCATATGCTCTTCCGCTTCTTGAAAATGAGGATTTTCCCGAAAGCTCATCTGAATTGGACGTGAAGATTGGATGTTGTAAACAACAAGTAAAGAATAAGGTGACGCATGACGTACAGGAATTAATAATTATTCAAAATATCGAAGCAAAACAAATCCTCAACCAAACTCCGTGACCGTCCACCCACTTCAAACGAAACTCAACAATGTGCTTGCTAATGAAGTCTCCAAATGCAATTTTAATCCCATAACAGATCTACGCAGAACACCGCAACCCCAGTTGTTCTCGAACTGTACTTTTTTGCATGGATCGACCCGATAATGAGATGCATCAATTCCTGATCTTTTGCTATGTGCACAGCAAATGTTGAAGGAAATTTATTAACGAGACAAGAACACCAATTGAATGGATGGATAGATTGATCACAACACTGCTAATTGTTATTCCACATTATAACGTGTTCCGCCTCTGCACTAAAATAGTTGTGATGAATGAAAGCGAAGTACAGGAGGACCTCTCGATATTTGGTGAATTGAACGATGACCTGCTGTCCAACTTCTCTTTGCACTCTTCAACTTCTATTCGTACTCGTTTTATCAACTGTTTCTTTAAAGGCTCAACCGAATGTGTCAGAATCCTAAAATGACTAACAATACATCATTTCTCAAACACAAGTCAATGACACTACCATAATCTAAGAAAAACACATCAATCGTAACTGAACAAACGAAATTCACTAGAACAAAATATTTAAGGAGAATGGGAGCACAATAATTTATAACTTACTTTCTTGAATTTTCAGTATGCATTCTTCCAGCTCCATTGAACTTCTGGAATGTCAACACCGATTTTGGGCTCTGTACAACAGCGACATTTGGAATAGCAATAAAATGCTTCATTTTCTTTTTAAAACGCAATAAACTCCTTTTAATTTTATCTGAGTAAATCTGCAATGAACAATCGTAAGCATAATTGTTCGCTTTATATAAATACAATTTGTAAAACTATAGAGAAAAGAAATTTCTACTACCACATTTGTCGTCTACGAAGTATATCCAAGGGTTGATCATTTTCAAGCAACTAGCGAAATGTCAATTTATGTTAACATTGCAGAGGGTAGAATATACGAACAACTGATACAGGAAGCTCCTGATGTCATAGGTTAGCACCAGCTGGAAAGCAAAACTATCCCAAAGATGAACAAATCCATGAGAAGTAAGCTGATAATGACTGAGAGGTAATTCCATATAAATGAAAAAAGCCATTATCGTTAAATATTTAGCAAAAGGCAGAAGTTAACCTTTGTGACAAGATATGCTAAAGTGATAAAGCCGACAGCAGCAACGCCTGAAACAACCAGAAGATCAATAATATCATCGTCCATATGCAATCTCTCTGTAAAGTATTTTATTTGAAATTAAAATTTGAAGCAATATGCCTACTAATTTTGACACAACGCATATCAGAAAATAGAAGTGTCATCATTTTTCAACTATTCTCCACATTTGGAATATGGATGAAAGCACTTGTATTGAAGAACTTAACTACACAAATATCGATCAGTCTAGAATAGGAACAAATTTCGACGAAATAAACAGATGCTGAACGGAATCGATGATTACGTGAAGTGAAATTCGTGGGACCTACGTGGGTTAATGGGCAACACCAAGTGATATATAAGATATGTGTAACAACAGTAGAAAAGTAATCACAACACTGGATAGAAATTCAAGCACGGAGAAGTGACAAACAAATCTCATAATTTAGAGCCAATATTTCAACCAGTTAGTCATATTTGTCATGGCCATGACAAACTATCTACACAAAAGAACTCTCTTCTGGTTCGTATAAATGATATTAGTCATTAATAAAATATGCAAATGCACATAAAGTAATCCATGAATTAATCCTCACAAATTGAATGCATTGCGATTTATTGTTCCGGAAATATTCTAGTACAAAATCATATTGTGTCTGTTTCCATGCAACATTTATTTACTATTGTTTGACAAATAGTAGAATTTGAAATGACGTAAAATTCCATCCCACATTTGTGCATTGTATAATATATCTGAGGAAAATTTTTAAATCTTCAATAAGATTTCAAGCCAAATGATTAACTGAGAATAAATTAGCAAATTAAAGAGAAATCCAGACCTATTAAACCATATTTCAAAAAATAGAATTTCAAAAAAAAAAGAACTCCATATTTTAAGAGCAGCAAAAATCCATGCTAGGACAAATCTGAGAAATCAAAGAATAAGCGGTTGATAACGTTGCGTCGTGCAAAGCCTTATTGTTCGCTGAGACACAATGCATTCTTGTTGTGTAAACAAAGTGTTCTTTAGGAAATGAAGATGAACTTTGGTCATAGAACAACTACCTAGCATTGTTATCAGCAATAATCAAGCTCAATATACAAACAGTTCAAGAAGATTCACATTACATCATCAACTTCTGCGCTCTATAAAACTCACATAGCGCATTAAGAATGATAAACCACAACTGCTCAACCAAATCCTAAAATTTAATTATAGACTCTACAACCGGATCTCACCATTGTTACATTTCCCTGCATCTTATCATTCGTACAGTTTCCAACAAAAAATAACTGTTTATTCAAGAACATCAGTAATCACCATTGATAAATTTCCACACCGACCACTTCGACTACCAATTCCAACTCTACTGTAACACTCTCTAAAACTGTTTGATAATAAAATCCTGTACACCACTATTCCAACCCACACTTGAGATTATGCTTCTCGATATACCAGCAGTTCACATCAGCCTTTATTGCACTGCTCAAGACCTTAACGCTGCTGTCGCCAATTTGATAGCATCTAATTCACTTCCAATGGACTTTAGCATTCAAGAAAAATCTCTCTTAAACTATCCATATAGTAGGACAGTAAGCCGATAATGTGAAGAGAACATCCTATTACTTACATCCGAATTTCACTATGATCTCCATCGAAAGTGGTATATTTCAAGACAATGTGGATGGACAAAATAGCTAAAATAGGGTTTTTTTTTTTTTTCTTTTGAAAACGCGAATTCATATATGATTGAATTTTTATTTGTTTAAAATATACTAATCAACGTATAGCTAGTTGACTAAAGTAATTATAATAGAATAAAAAAATAAAAGATAAATGGAACAAGAATTCAGAGATGGCATCGCGGAATGGGCAATGATTAAATTACAGGGGACCTTAGAGTCAGCTGGTATACTTGCAGGACTACGAATTGGTAGCTTAAAATAGGAAAACAAAAAAGTGTTCCTTTCTTCCAAATAAATAAGTTCAAGAGTATAAGTGACACTCAAAGGTGTATTAAATTTTGTACTATCACTACCAGATTTTGTATCTTTGAAAAAAAAAAAAAAAGCTATAATGGGACATTTACACTCATGACTTAAACACTTACAACTTGAGTAAAATAAAGTAAGCAATTGAGTATTTTTCTTTTCCAGGCTTTACTTCATATTGGCCATCACATTATTGAAAGGAAAGAAGTGAAACTTCAAAATTTGCTGATTGTACTTGCACGAAATGCTGAAAACCAAGGAATTGCACAAATTGCTGCTGTGATTCGTAAAAAAGTTCAGTTCCGTGCTCGACCAATGCCTGTGTGATTGATTTGTCATGATTTTGTATCTAAATGTACATGTCTTTGCCTAGCAATTTCTTCACTTTATCTGCGGTTAGGAGATATATTTCTCAAGATTACTTCTCATGAGATACAATTTCTCATTAATACTCGAACAGGTGTCCTATAAAGCGACAGTCATACCCTCGAAATTTTATGAGCTTTGGTCGCATCTCTCCAGCAGAGTATTTCAGTATGTCGGTTTACACATGTATTATATATATATATATATTTGATGCTTTCTTGACTTTCTTCTATATTTGGTTTCTCTGCTGCACCAAACTTTCTCAGCATATAATAAAGTGAAATCACACATAAATTTTTGCCTATCTTTTATACAGACTGTAAAAACATCACACATAAAATATATTTTTTGAGACATTCGATTAAAAAATGTCTTTCAAAATATTTCAATTAACACATTTTTTGGCCAACCCGCATACTATCCCAAAAAATATATAAACTTTATGTAGGAGAATGAGAGAATCCTATTTACTGAAATACAACGCTTAACTTGGAAAGCCAGAACGAAAGCAATAGATCAGGACTGCTTTGTCACAGTGACATCTTTGACATATCATTACTGTTTTTAGAACAAAATAAAATATGACATAGAAATCACAAAACCTGACAAGATTTATACAAATTTATATTTAGTTTGCATATCTTCTGCTGCAAATAGAGCCACTACAGAAACTTAGTTCACTTTAGTAAGTTCGCTGCTAACTGTGATATTATTCGTGCTCGTCTCTTTAAATTTGCACTTCTATCTGTTCCCATATATGCTGGAAATAAATTAAACCAATAAAAAAATTCAGTCTAAACTTTCAAAATGTCAGAGCATCGTATAATATTTCATCCAAGTGTTCTGATTAGGTAATTCAAATTAGTTTAAGCAACCTAACTTACTTGTCCCATTTGAAAGGAATAAGGCGCTCCAAACCAAAGTGAGACGAATTTTTTAATAAAGTTTTTTTTTTTTTTTTTTTTTTAATAAAGTTATGATCCTTATGTTATAGTGCACAATATTCACCACGCACATTTGCTAACTTCTTATATCTAGGAAATAATACCAACGCATTGTTCTCCTGCTTTACCTGTTAAAGATGTTTGTAATCAATTTAAAACATGGCGGTAGCTACCAGCAATGGTAGGATCCCTTACTTGTAATATCATTAACACATTTTCGATATACCTGTAAAAGTTTGGAAAAAATCAAATAGTAACTATGGAATTGGCAAATCAATGCTGTAAATAACTGTACATTTCTCATGATTTTAATCGTTTAACAAACAACTAAAGATCAAACTTTATTGAAGAAACAAATAAAGTACTAGAAATTAATTGCATGTCCGACTTTGAGTTCTATTTTCCTAGCACGAAAAATAAGAGAGGATGCCACACCTAAATTTGAGATCCGTTTCTCCATCCAGTTTTGTTGCCAATTGATTCAACAGACATAACAAAATATTTTGCGGAATAGGCTGCTCGACACTGTAATTACATCTGGGTCTACATTGTTGCAAACAAACATTAGGGCTCCAAAATCTTTTAACACTAATGCCTTAAAAAAAAGTTTCGTTTTTGTTCTAAAAATTTGAAAAAATAAAGAATATAAAGAGTTAAACAATTAAAAGAATTTCTGGAAATAGATGAAAGAAATTAGACGGCTTTTAAAAGAAATACGAGGTTTACAGAAGCCAAAAATCAATCTATTTTTTGGCATGCAATAAATTTCAAAGATCATGAGTGGTTTGTGAATTTAACAAAGTGATCCATATTGTGATAAATTATGCGTGGATATAGATCAAGTGATTAAGACTTTTGGCTCATGCTACTAAGTTGTATATAACTATTTTAGGCCAATAATATATATAAATGCAAAAATTAGTATCAGGAAGTAAATATCATTGTTTAGAAAGGAAATTTAAAATAACCTTTTCAAATGCTATAGTGATACGTTGATTTTCAATAAGATTCATAAGAGCTGATGGATCGACAGAAGACGAATTATTCGTTATCATTGAATCAGGGACTGTTTGATTTGTTCTTAAAGCATTGGTACGTATTTGCTTCATATATTGTTCCAAACCAGTACGGAAGTTTTCGTTAAACTGTTGAAATAGCGACACACATACATCTTGTAAAATCGGTATCAACGAAGTCATCAGTACTTCTCGTATATTGCTAGCAAGCTCATCACGAACAACGTGTAGTGATAATATGATGATAGAATATTAAATAAATAAATAAAATGGGACATTATAATAATCTAATTCTCGTATGTGTGCTGCAGTAATTTGCTAAAATTATGGTAATTTTTCATTTTAATAATTGCATTCATTGATTACATACATAATAAATTCGGGCAAATCTATTTTAAAAACATATATGTAATTGCATGATAGTGAAATAAACCTTATATCCAAATCTAAATATAATAATTGCAAAATGTTTGTTTCAAATATTGCAATAATATAAATGATTAATTACGATATATGATTATTTGCTAACACATAGGTGAAGATTATCATAAATTAATCACAAAATTATTCTAAAAAGAAACAAATTTTTTGAATTGAATTAAATAAAAAGGAAAAGAAATGTACGATGATAAAAGAATGGATTCATATAAAAATGATTAATATCAAGTAAATAATATTTTTTTAAAAAAGTATCACATTTGTTGAGATGACAAAAACTGTATAAGTATTTTCTAAAGGAAATGTCAACAAAATATAACAAACACATTTTATCACATTATTGATGTTATTACTATCATTGTTATCATTATTTTTGTTATTCATTTAGGTTTTTAATTATTTCGACTAAAAGTAAATTTTTGGATTTCTTTACTTATTGAAATAATTATTTAATAATTAAGGAATGAAAAGAAAGAAGCAAACAAACATTGTACAGAAGCAAATATCATTTGAAAGGAACAATTATTGATGAATAATTTCATTTAATAAAAGGAAAAAGACATAAAAATCTGTCAACATTGTAATCAAGAAACAAAAAATAAAAGAGATTGGATTCGTGAGAAAATCACTCAATAAATGAGGAAAAAAACAGGAATGGTTGGGAAAAACAAAATAATAGTGACTGCAAGAAAAAAAATGCAATGGTCAGGGAATGGAGTGGTTAGAGAGTATGATGGTCAATAAAGAGTGTAATGGTCAAACAATGTGATGGATAATTAATGTGACAGTTAGACAATGTAATGGTCAAACAATCTGGTTGTTGAAGAATGTAACTGTCACAGAATGTGATGGTAAAAGAATGCAATTATCACAGTCAAAGAATGAAAATTCCGGGGAAAATTATTCACAAACGCGGAAAAATAGAAAGGACTGAGAGAAATAAAAGTAAAAACCAAAAAAATTTTGTCACATATTGTAATACTCAAAGAATCTACTTATAACAGAAAACAAAAATGCAGGATGTAATGGTTAGAGAATGAAATAATTAAGAAATGTAATGATCAAAAAGTATTATGGTCAGAGAATGTCGAAGAATATAATGACCAGAAAATATATAAAAAAATTGATATGTTTAAAAAAAAAGGAATATTGCCAGCAAGCTCATCATGAACAACGTGTAAATAGTTTGCTGTTGCTGAGATAAATATATTCACTGGTTTTATGAAAGCTTGAAAATTTATAAAACGAGTTTGAAACCAAATCGAAAAAAATTTTTCTTTTTTTTTTTTTTACCAAAAGCCTAGATGTTTTACAAAATTTAACAGGACTATAAAATCCAACTTTAAAATTATCGGCAGTTTTTGATCGAAGGTTCTGAATAACACTATCCATTTTAAGATCGAGAAAGGTTTGCAATGCTTCCTGTTTTCATTGATCAAAGATTCTAGCTTCAGAAACAGTCTCTCATCACAAGACACGATATCTTCACCTAAGCAAAATCAAACAAACATTAATTGTGAGATGTTAGCCACAAAATAATTCAAAATATTTTTCATGAATCAACAGAACATTTTACCCAGATCACCTACATTCATCGCATTTTTCACCATCTAATCTTTTCCTTTTGAACGGGAAAAGTTGCTAGTATGGTCAACAAATTTATTCACGGAAATGAAATTGAATTTAAAAAATCAGGAGGAATTGAATCTATCACAAAGGGATTCGTTTAACCCTCTTCAAAAAATGCATGGCAAAGTAAATGAGATGAGTGAAAACCAAAATTAAAATAAAATTCTTAAGATTTATACTCCTTATCTTCCTCAGTCAGAAAGCTCATTTCTAGTACTTTGGAAAGAGTGTTATCATACTAGTAGTAATGAGAAAAATAGTAAAATCGTAATGGTAATAATGACGGTAATGAAAACGATAATAAAACTAATTATAAGATTAACAATAATATTAATAACAGCAACATTAATAAGTTAAACAATCTTAATTAAAATGATGAAATTACACCTAGTATTACATATTTACAGTCTAACAACTTTTTGACCAGCGAAGGTCTGTTCACTTCCTTATATTGCCAATTTTTGGAAAGTTAACGGAAACAATTTCTTCAAAAATGATCCCATCTAATGCATAATCGTCAACTATATCGCCAAAAGAGCAATAAGTGATTCCACTATTCTGTAGCATACAGTGAGAACCATTTCATCAGTTAATTGGTTCAAAAATTTAATGCTTCGATGTTTTTTTGTAATTTTGAGTTGTAATGAATTTTTGCAACTTTATTCTTGAGCTAATAGTTCTCTTCTCAATGAGTCATAAGCAGATGTATTACAATGGTCTTTTCGTTCGATCAACTATGTTGGCTTCCTTTCAGTCTGATCTTCATGTTTTTGTGCAATTCGTGATCATATAGAATCTCTAGAAAAAACTCTTCAAGGTTATTTATTTCAGAAACAGTGTAGCAAATGGTGATAAAAGACAGCAGAAATCGGGAAATCTGGATCGTCTGGATGCTTTATATCGCCACTTGGAAAGTTTAAGTTTAAATTTTGAAAAACAAGCGGAAAATTCTAAAAACGGTTGAAAGAGGAAAGAGATCGAACAGATGCCGAAATGCGAAATGCGGCAGTTACGTAAGTATTACTCTTTCAAATCATTCATACTGAAATTTCTATTTCTCTCTCTCTCCTTGTCTTTCCCTCTCCCCTAGTAATCCACAGTTCAAAAATCTCTTTTAAATAATTCATGCATATTTATTAATGCTTCGCTGCGATCAGTTACTGAAAATGATTATTATGATTAATTATTTCAATAAATTGAAGATGAACGGGTTGCGAGCTCGCTTTTTTCAATTTTTTTTTTTTTTTTTTTTACATCGAAACATTAAATTTTTGAACCAATTAACTGATGAAATGGTTCTCACTGTATGCTACAGAATAGTGGAATCATTCGATATATAATATAATTTATTTGGAGGTTCGCGAGACTTATTTGTCACTTTCGCGATATATAATATAATGCGTTTGGTCTAATTTAAAGCAAACTGTGATTGTAAAATGAGGATTTGCTTACTTAAGATAAATGTTACTATTGTATTCTCATGTTTTCAAAAGAAAAACTGAAAATAAATAATTGAACGTAGTGAATCAACTTTATCTACATATTCCGATGTTTTTCCTATTGTGGTCACATAGAAATTGATACTGTACTTGCGTAAAATATCACTGGAAAAAAATTAATTTTGTTACTAATAATAACAAAAGGCATTTCATTTCTCTGATAATTATAATCAAAAACATCGTAAGATGAATGTCAATCAGTTCATTACTTTAGGGATTTCACCGAAATCTATTTTACTAATAGTAAATGAAGAAATAAAATAAAAACTTCCTTAATAAAGATCATTTTTTGAACACATAAAAATAACTACCTATATTCGTTATCAAACATTATGCTCTCAGTTGATCATTTGGATATTCTCAGTTAATCATTTGGCTTGAAATCTTATTGAAGATTTAAAAATTTTCCTCAGATATATTATATAAAATGCGTAAATGTGGGATGAAATTTTACGTCATTTCAAATTCTACTATTTGTCAAACAATAGTAAACAAATGTCGCATTGAAACAGACACAATATGATGTTTGTACTAGTCATCGATTCCGTTCAGCATCTGTTTATTTCGTCGAAATTTGTTCCTATTCTAGACTGATCGATATTTGTGTCGTTATGTTCTTCAACCTGCAAAGCGGGAAGTAAGTCATAGAAGGTTCGGGATTTTTGATCTGATCAGTTTCTGATATCGGTCACTGTTTGCTGTTAGTATCGCAAACATGCTCCCCTGCAGAACGGTGAGCTGAATTTTCCGCTTCCCTCTCCTCCTCCCTTCCCTCCCCCTCTCCTCTCCCACTTCTCCCTCCTTTCTCTCTACCTTCTCTTTCTCCCTTCCCTCCTCTCCCCTCTTCTCCTGCCCTCTCTACCCCTCCCCTCCGTCTTCTCTCGTGTCCTCTCCATCTCTCCTCTCTCCCTCTTTCACCCTCCTCTTCTCTAACTCCCTCCTTCCTCTTTCCCTCCTCTCCTCCCTCCCCCTTCTCCTCTCCATCTCTCTTCTCTCCCTCTTTCTCTCTTCTCTTCCTCCTCTCTCCCCTCTTCTAAAAGTAAGGGATGAAATGAGGACAATCTTTAGCCTCTGCATTTGGCCTGTTTTGTACATTCTAGAGATAGGTGGAAGTATTTTTATACAATGTCCTCATGTAATTTCCTCGCATCATTACCATCTACTGTTTTAATTCAGTGGTTGCATTAGTTGTTTGTGCGAGTTCCTCATAATTTTTATTTATTGGGAGAAATGCCTAATACATCCATTTGGAGGAGAGTGCCTCTTTTCATTTAGTGTGTTATTGTGAAAAAATGAAAACATAAATTGTTGACATAGTTAAGAAAGAGAAAGCAACATATTCACATAACATTGATGAGGTACTTGGAGAGATCACTTTTTATTACTCTATTAGTCTTTATTATTCATTTCATACCAATAATATGATCTAACTTCAAAGTGCTCATAGATGTAGGGACTTCGAAGTTGGTTCATGTTATCTTAAAAAGCTTTTGTTCTTAGTAGTCGTGATTGGTACAACCCTTCGTGATATTAGTTAGCAAAGTTTATTTTTGTTTATGTAGATGTAACGGTTCTGAAGAGACTAAACGATTTAAAATCTGATTTTTTCATTTATAGCTGAGTGTCAAAATGGTTTGGCCGTTTAATTCAACAAAGCCTCCGCTTTCTTCATCGCCTAACTCTTCGCATTCAGAGACGCAGTCAACTTCATTGCCTGATTTAGCAGTGATTGATTCAGCAGTATCTGACTTAAGTGACGCTTTGGGTTCTGGTAGAGATAGTACAAATATGATCAGTTTAGATAGATCTCCTATATTTGCGTTAGATCAGTTGAAGCAAGCTGGCGTACCATTTGAGAAACAGCTGTCGCCATACTTACAGATGGATCCTACCGTTTTCCGGGAATCTACTCCTCAGTAAGTTGTAAGACGTTAAATACGCTTTGTTTCCATTTTTCTTTTTATTTATTTATTTTCGTTTTCGAAAGTGAATTTTAGTTGTTAAGATCTAAAAGATTCAACAGTTTTATTTCGATAAATTTCTCTCTAATAATTTTATTTCGATATCAAATCCTTAAACTTAACTTTCATTTAAGTGGAAAAACTGTAAGAAAATGATGTGAAACTCTTTTGTTAACAAAACGCTATTTAAGTGCTATAACAGATGTATTTTCATGTATATTGTTCCTGGTGAATCGAAAGGAGAATTAGAATTTGCAATGGGACGGATTGGATGGGCTGTTTTGGGCGGCTATGCATTGGGCAGTGCGCCAACAAATAAAAATTATGAGGAACTCGCACAAATAATGCAACCACTGAATTAAAACAGTAGATGGTAATGATGCGAGGAATTAAATTACATGAGGACATCGTTCCCTGTATAAAAATACTTCCACCTATCTCTAGAATGTACAAAACAGGCCAAATGCAGGGGCTGAAGATTGTCCTCATTTCATCCCTTACTTTTAGAAGAGGGGAGAGAGGAGGAAGAGAAGAGAGAAAGAGGGAGAGAAGAGAGATGGAGAGGAGAAGGGGGAGGGAGGAGAGGAGGGAAAGAGGAAGGAGGGAGTTAGAGAAGAGGAGGGTGAAAGAGGGAGAGAGGAGAGATGGAGAGGACACGAGAGAAGACGGAGGGGAGGGGTAGAGAGGGCAGGAGAAGAGGGGAGAGGAGGGAAGGGAGAAAGAGAAGGTAGAGAGAAAGGAGGGAGAAGTGGGAGAGGAGAGGGGGAGGGAAGGGAGGAGGAGAGGGAAGCGGAAAATTCAGCTCACCGTTCTGCAGGGGAGCATGTTTGCGATACTAACAGCAAACAGTGACCGATATCAGAAACTGATCAGATCAAAAATCCCGAACCTTCTATGACTTACTTCCGGCTTTGCAGGTTGAAGAACATAACGACACAAATATCGATCAGTCTAGAATAGGAACAAATTTCGACGAAATAAACAGATGCTGAACGGAATCGATGACTAGTACAAACATCATATTGTGTCTGTTTCAATGCGACATTTGTTTACTATTGTTTGACAAATAGTAGAATTTGAAATGACGTAAAATTTCATCCCACATTTACGCATTTTATATAATATATCTGAGGAAAATTTTTAAATCTTCAATAAGATTTCAAGCCAAATGATTAACTGAGAATATCCAAATGATCAACTGAGAGCATAATGTTTGATAACGAATATAGGTAGTTATTTTTATGTGTTCAAAAAATGATCTTTATTAAGGAAGTTTTTATTTTATTTCTTCATTTACTATTAGTAAAATAGATTTCGGTGAAATCCCTAAAGTAATGAACTGATTGACATTCATCTTACGATGTTTTTGATTATAATTATCAGAGAAATGAAATGCCTTTTGTTATTATTAGTAACAAAATTAATTTTTTTCCAGTGATATTTTACGCAAGTACAGTATCAATTTCTATGTGACCACAATAGGAAAAACATCGGAATATGTAGATAAAGTTGATTCGGCGGAACTACGTTCAATTATTTATTTTCAGTTTTTCTTTTGAAAACATGAGAATACAATAGTAACATTTATCTTAAGTAAGCAAATCCTCATTTTACAATCACAGTTTGCTTTAAATTAGACCAAACGCATTATATTATATATCGCGAAAGTGACAAATAAGTCTCGCGAACCTCCAAATAAATTATATTATATATCGAATATAATTATATTAATCCATAATATTAAAATTTGTCTTGATTGAACATTCATTAAAGAAATACAAGTGTTTCAAATTGCATCTCATGCAAGTAATTATTCTAACACTCACCTTCCTGTTATAGCTGAGCTTATCTGCTTTTCTGGAAATTTTCAGCTGTTATGTGCATTTTTTAATATGCTAAAGTATTCTTTTATTGCAACAAATTTTCTTGCAATGTCGAAATATTGTAAAAGTTTTTTACTCAGTGTAATCATGCGCTTGTTGTAAGTCAATGTCCACTATATAAGGTTTTAAAATCTTTGTCTTAGTTTTTTGTACGAGCAAGTTATGGTCTGGTTGCTCTCTCGCACTCACTTAATTCGGTTCATTGAAATTTTTTAAGTTCTCCATCAATTTATTCATTTTCTTTTGAGCATACGAAAGTCCAATTTGACCTTAAGCTACAAGATTCAAACACCCCACGTATCATGACACATCTTTCTCATTCAGTACGACATATGAAAGCTCTCAATCACATCATATCCTATGAAAACATTATATCCTACCATCCTAATACAAAAGAAGACTACTTGTCCTACAAAAAACTTCATTTATGGAAAAGTAATACAACAAGAAACTGACCATGCACAAGATAATTTATTTCATTTCAAAAAATAAAACTACTTTACAAAAAAAACTGGAGTAATAATCGAAAACTTTTAACTATCCACATACTAAAAAAATTTCAGGTCCAGAAGAATATTAAACTTTGATCAACACTTCACTAAATTGGAATTCAAATCAATAACTATAATCTTGTTTGCCGGTCAAGTGCTTTCGCATTTCCCATAATCTATTTCGGCTATCTTGATCACTCAGCAACCAAATAAAAGCAGCAAATACCCCAATACCCGCCCCAACCATTGAAGCGTGTAAACCACGTGCACATCGAAACAGCCCTCCAGTAACTGCACCAGCAGCTAAAAAGAGCACAATTCAAATTTCATTGTAAGCAAGAATATTCATACTAGTGTTACCAACATTTCGCACTTACTGATTAATAAAGTCTTACCAACAGCATTAAGGTCATCTTTCGCACGTAATTTTCCAAAAATCATATCAGCAAGAGAGAATATGAATACGATAGAACCAGCAGGATGAGCAAAACCACTGCCGTGTTTCACTGAGGAATTCATCAAACGCGTCATAAACGGTTTAAGAGGCTAAAACATGAAATATAAAATTTTGAGCGAATATTTGTAATTCAAAAGATTCTGGAAGATCAACCGTTAAGATGATCTTTCGCACTTTAGTTTAAAAAAAAAAAAAAAAAAAAAAAAGGAAAAGAGAAAGAGAAAATTAGAGATTATATGGATCAACCCAAATTTCCGAGTGTACCTACTACAAAAAAAAAGCGAAATCAGTCCTCACCAACTGCCTCGTATTAGGATTCCGCAATTCTGGCAGAATACCGCGCACACTACCCAATGCATAGCCGCCCAAAACAGCCCATCCAATCCGTCCCATTGCAAATTCTAATTCTCCTTTCGATTCACCAGGAACAATATACATGAAAATACATCTGTTATAGCACTTAAATAGCGTTTTGTTAACAAAAGAGTTTCACATCATTTTCTTACAGTTTTTCCACTTAAATGAAAGTTAAGTTTAAGGATTTGATATCGAAATAAAATTATTAGAGAGAAATTTATCGAAATAAAACTGTTGAATCTTTTAGATCTTAACAACTAAAATTCACTTTCGAAAACGAAAATAAATAAATAAAAAGAAAAATGGAAACAAAGCGTATTTAACGTCTTACAACTTACTGAGGAGTAGATTCCCGGAAAACGGTAGGATCCATCTGTAAGTATGGCGACAGCTGTTTCTCAAATGGTACGCCAGCTTGCTTCAACTGATCTAACGCAAATATAGGAGATCTATCTAAACTGATCATATTTGTACTATCTCTACCAGAACCCAAAGCGTCACTTAAGTCAGATACTGCTGAATCAATCACTGCTAAATCAGGCAATGAAGTTGACTGCGTCTCTGAATGCGAAGAGTTAGGCGATGAAGAAAGCGGAGGCTTTGTTGAATTAAACGGCCAAACCATTTTGACACTCAGCTATAAATGAAAAAATCAGATTTTAAATCGTTTAGTCTCTTCAGAACCGTTACATCTACATAAACAAAAATAAACTTTGCTAACTAATATCACGAAGGGTTGTACCAATCACGACTACTAAGAACAAAAGCTTTTTAAGATAACATGAACCAACTTCGAAGTCCCTACATCTATGAGCACTTTGAAGTTAGATCATATTATTGGTATGAAATGAATAATAAAGACTAATAGAGTAATAAAAAGTGATCTCTCCAAGTACCTCATCAATGTTATGTGAATATGTTGCTTTCTCTTTCTTAACTATGTCAACAATTTATGTTTTCATTTTTTCACAATAACACACTAAATGAAAAGAGGCACTCTCCTCCAAATGGATGTATTAGGCATTTCTCCCAATAAATAAAAATTATGAGGAACTCGCACAAACAACTAATGCAACCACTGAATTAAAACAGTAGATGGTAATGATGCGAGGAAATTACATGAGGACATTGTATAAAAATACTTCCACCTATCTCTAGAATGTACAAAACAGGCCAAATGCAGAGGCTAAAGATTGTCCTCATTTCATCCCTTACTTTTCCGCCTTCAACAAGTATTCAGTCTTACCGATGTGAAGGATGTATTTATGTGAATACGGATTTGTGTGATAGACTTCCCCAAATCGGAACCTGAAATAAAACTCTTGCAAAACCTGCGAAGAAAACCGGAACCATTCACAAAGCAACGAAGTATTAGCTTCAAGAAATGAGAATAACCTCGTCCCTGGCATAGCGCCAACTTGGCGAAGCGCAGCGCCAATTTAAAATTCTCATTTTTTATAGCACAAAACCCACCGAACAGTGCAATCTGTGCAATTTGCCAGCAATCAAATTTTAGATCTCTGTAAGCAAACTTCGGGAGCTCTCCATTTCCTGTTCATGTTTTGTAGTCCTTATTAATTTTTCCATCGAACCAATCCTCAAAAAGTTGAATTTCTGTCAGTGAAAGGTGAACCTTGAAAAAAAAAAAAAAAAATTGATTATGAAAGCGTTTGTTGCAAACTGACAGAATATCTTTCTCCCCCATACCCGAGTGAGGTTTTTTCTGAAGCTGCATGTGCTCTACCCTCTCACTGACTTCAACTTCTCCCTAACAAGCCAGAAAAGTAGTTAAAATAGAACGAATGAGATTTAATGACGACAAAACACTCTATAAACAATAGCAGCAGCCACTAACAACCCATCCAGTATAAGAAGACATCAGGAATGGAAAGTGAATAAAGACATTTTCAGCATGTAAAGAAGAGCGAGAAAAATGATTGTTCTTACAATATTTCTAAATAACACGAATTATTTCACATTAATAACGTTACAAGAAACGTAGATATGAACAGAAAAATGAGCATAATGCTGCAGCTTTCTTTCTACCAATTACTGAATCTTGAATTCATCTGTCATCCATGATTAGAATGAGATACAAAATATTCATGTGCTTATATACGTGATACATCGGTTCAACTCCTTTAAACGATAAGAGGCAGATCAATCTAATCCCAAATGCGAGAAAAAAAAAATGAAAACTATGCATGCTGTTTTTATTATCAGTTATCAACAAATTCTGACCTACACCTCACACGTACTATATCTTATAATAAATGCTTTTATGTACAATATTCCGCCATACAAATTCCGCTTTCTTGTAATTTGATCCATTTGTGCTAAAGTATTTACCAACAGCATAGCCTTACCTCATGACAGCAAATTCCTGTGTTGCCATGAAAAGATTCGAATACAACATAAGAATGGAACAAGAAAAAGCGATTAATATCTTGAAAGAGGAAATGGATTCTCAGATTAAATAATGCAGTGGCTTACACACTATTCAAAGTTAAAGTAACAAATCAAAATAACGTAAATTCCACTAGACGAATTAAGAAAAGCACAGACACCGAAAAATAAAAAATATACAGATAACTAATAATGCTCTAGAATTCTCTGGAATCAAGAATCGAATAACTTTTATATTCAAACAAATACAAAACGATGAACTCATCTGAAATTGCTTAAAACATATCAGGAAGAATAAATACACTGCAAAATTACAACCACTTTAAATCAATTAAAGATTCCAATTATTGGCCGAAGTTCTCACATTTTTAAATGTTTCAAAATATAAAAAAAAAAAAAAAATAAGAAAAAAAAAAATAAAACACGTTTATCTCCGATTACGATTAAAATCATCGTGCGGTGGTTCGTAACGCCGATATCGACGATCATCATCATAATCTCTATAACGAAGCATGCGATTACGATTATCACTACAATAACGCCTACCACCGTTATTATGAAGCTGTTGTTGTTGTAATCCTCGATTACCATTGCGTTCACGATCTCGATCACGTCCACGTGGATCCCGCAAACCTCCACGACCAATGCCAATGTCATCGCTTCCACAAAATCCACCAAATGACCGCCGATCTCCACGGCTATCCAACGTGCCACCATAATTTTCGAACTGCTTTCTGGATTCATGGTGTAAATCACCATTAACTTTTGCTGAATCAACAATACTGTTGCTGTTGCCACCATTTGTTAACGGTTTTCTGGAAACTAAACCAGTAGCTGAAGCTACTGTAGTAGAATTAGAGCTTGATGGAGACGGTGAAGAAAATGTACATGAAACTAAAGGAGTAGCCGAAGCGAAACTGCTTGTGGTTAGAGAAAAATTGCCAGGCGGTGGACAGTCCATAACATTAGGTGGAGGTATATTTAAGGAATTTGGTGGTGGCACAATTAAGGATCTTGGAGGTGGTACAGTAAAAGAGCCAGGAGGAAATGGAATTTTTGCTGGTGAAGGGGTGGAAGTTGTGGACATCACAGTATAAGGTGACACTGCAGCAGGCACATAATTGTTTAATGGTAATACTCCCAGCGATGGACGCACATTCGGTGGAGGTGGCGGCAACATTACAGGATGTGTGGTATGCGGATTGGTATTTTGTGATGATGGTTGGCTTCCAAGAATGGAGGAAGGAATTGCCACTGTGTTTGCTATCTGGTTACCATGTAATTGACTAGAAATAATTGGTGTTTGGAGAGAATTTGTTGTACCAGAAATAGATGCAACATCTACCACACTACCTGGTGCAGCGGTGGGTAATGAAGCAGAAAAATTCGACGATAAATCATGCATCCATTGTGGAAGATTGCCATTAGATAGTGTCGTCTGTATGTCTTGAATCGACGCTACTCCGGAAAGTGATGGAGAACTAACGAATTGTAACGATGGTATCTGGGATACCTGAGGTTGATTTGGAGGTCCAGATGACAGTAACAAGTTAGATGAAGAAGCCTGCGATAACAGTGCAAAGGATGAAGTAGAAACTGTAGTAGTAGACTCGGCTGATGATAAGCATCCAACAATTGAAGACACAAGTCGTGGATCGGATACAACTGATGATGGTGAATTTGTTCTTGATGTCTAAAAACGAGCTTCTATTTGATATTTGATCATACAATGGGTATTCAGTTAGAAAAAGTATAAATGATAGTGAATACAGAAGAAATGCATCAACGCACTACTAAGACTTTTTTGATATAATACATAAGAAGTAAAATTTCCTGTTAGCTACAATGGTAACGACCTGTTTGAACTAGCTCCAACGTTATGGAGTATGATAACTTTTAATCACATCACAGTTCGACACCTAGCATTTTTTGATTTAATTAATGAACATAAAAGTAAAATAAAAGAAAAATATAAACACGGAGGAAACATTACCTCATTTGCTCGGATTCCTTCTATCATTTTCAACACATGCGTCGAACCTCTGAATGACTGATCGGTTTGAAATGAATCTAAAGTTTCTCTTATCACCGAATATTGAAAATCTTGAATTAATTATCAGTTATCTTTATAAAATTCTCAAAACAAAAACTAGAACATTTGACTGAAAGGAAGACAAATGATATATTATTTTGATCTGAAGTAACTGAGATTTCAAGTTCGATATGCAGAGAAAGATTAATATTTACCGGGTGTAACAACAGGTTCCTCTTTGGACGGTACCAGCTTTGGTAGTGGCAGTAATGAGCTAGAACCGCACTGTGGTCCTCTCATTTCTGCAACTGTTTTCATTAGGACATAGTAAACAAGCAGAAAGATAACTAGAAATGAGTCTGAAATTCCAAACAATGGACAATACACTTTGAATACAATTATATCTTATCAAAAAAAAGTTTTATAAGTGAATCGTTATAAATAAATTCTTAAAACTTACGCTTGAATGCAATTTCGACACCCTCCCTAAATGGATCATCATTGGCTGTTGGTGAGGGAGCATCACGTGGAGGAGAAGCACCTGGATAAACACTTGTTTTTAGCATTTCCTCCACTTCTGTACAAACTTCATCAATCCCAGCACCAAATTTTTGATAAGCCTGAAAAAATAACTGATAATGCCAATTAAAATTTTATATCAAATTTGTAACTAAAAGAGTATAATTTGATGATAAAATTTAAATACTAGGACTTGAAGCACTACGGTCTTCCGCCTATTTTAAAAAACAAAATATAAAAAGTCTTTTATGCAAATCACAAAAATGAACTGCGTACATCTTCCACAACAGTCACATCCCGCAGTTGCAAAGTAAAGCAACGTTTGGCTCGTTCAATTTCAGCCAGAAGATGCTGCCCACGTTTGCGGTGCTTTGCTAATGCACCGAAAAAATCTGTTAGCTTTGTGTAAGACTGTTCAATTTCTCCCATGAATTTTTCACCATCTCGGCGATCTGCAAATGCAAAGAACTGAAAAACTTTAATTTAATATTTTAAAATTAATGCAATCATTTAAATATCATCAAAATGCACTTTGAGCTCAACTTAATATTTGATGATACTTAATGCTTAACATTTTATCATGGTACCAGTAATAACAAACTAAGTCCATAAAGCTAATATCATTTGAAAAATTTCCTCACCTTTCATCCGACTCTTTATTTTATTTTTAAAATTGAAGTCGCTTCTGGAAAGTAGCTCTCTTGCACGTTCCATAACCAAATTTCCTTTATGATAACCCTCAACATCACGTATTAGGTATCCGATATCGAAATCAATTAGCGTATTGTCTTCCAATTCATTGTTGTCATCTGAACTAATTATTTTGAAAATCTACAATGAATTTAAACACCAGGACTAGGAGATTTATCCGAATTATACGAGCTTCACCATATTAATGACGATTCTCAACTTGAATTACTTTTAAAATCAAGAAAAAAAAAAGCCTCATACCCCTCCAGAACAAATATCACATCTTTTGAAGCAGCACAAGTCCATATATCCTTTACTGAATTCGAGACGTTCTAATTACGACATACAGAAAGATCAGGTGCTTTAATACTTACTTTGTGCAGCACGCATATCAGCTAGCTGCGATTTTGAATAAATTTGACGTTCTTCGAATATATCAAGTATTCTACTAACAGCTTTCTGAACGTTTTCACTACCTCTAAAATTGGGACACAACTGACTGATATAAGCTGGACTTCATATTTACAGCTATCAATTATCAAACTTTTTTTTCCAAAAAATATATACTACTTCATTCTACTGCTTGAAAAAAAAATCATAATAAAGCTTCAAAAAAAAAAATAGTGGAAAGTAAATATATGTACAAAAAATTCAATCCAAAGTGCTTTAATATTTCTAAAATGGCAAGAAAATGAATACGAAAAATACTCAAACTTTAATCTAATAGTCCTAACATTAGTAAAATTTATAAAATTATTTTGAGAATGTTTTTCATTATGTTGAGACCATTTAAAATTTATTTCAAAGACAAAAGTACCTGGAATACGAAATGGCATTGACCCAGTGTGATGCAAATGCTTGAAGTAAGGCATGTGAGTCACTCTTTTTCTTTGCTTTCTGACAGACATCATTTGCTACGTAAAACAGAGCAATTTGTAAAGGATCGCTACCTGAAAGAATCTACATTGAAAGCTCAAAGAATCTACACTGGAAAAGGAACAAAAGTTATTTCAGACAATCAGTAATTTATATGTCAAGAAAATCAAGTTGCGAACACTAACTAAAAATAAGTTGCGATAAATTATGAAAGGAATGGAGCAGAGATGAAAGATAATGTGTAACAGCACTTCTTTTGTAGCAATAATGTCAGCATTTCATTAAGTCCTACTGGCATTATATACTTTGAGTCAAAAATAAGCTAATGATGACTGTTTCTTTCTTGTCGACATAGCATTTAGAGAGTAAAGCAGAATCAAAACAATGTTATCAGGAAAATTGCAATTGATGAAACCGATGAAACAGTGAATTGGAAATCAAACGAAAAATAATCAGGAATAATCAAAATTATAATCATAAAACTTCTGAGGAATATCACGATTAATGCACTGGAATGCTCCAAAATGGAGTTACGGAAGAGAAACGACGTATCTTGGTAATGTTTGCATTAGTGCTATGAATATTTGATTATTGAGGCATAATAAATTGCACAAAATTTAATTTCATAATAATTTCATCTATTAACTTAGGTCTTACCGTAGACTGAAGACCCTTAAAGTAGTAAATTCAGGATCACTGAATTTATGCAGAAAATACGAAATTTTCAAATTGCTATTAATTTTTGGACTATAGAATTTGTAAGCATTCTTCCTTTGCCATGTTTTATTATAATAAAAATTTGAGTTTCAAGAAAAGCTGATGAATAACTAAATTTCCTGCCCAAATCACCACAAAAAAACTTAAGAATTTTACCAGTTCTAAATACTTCAGTCCAGCAGTTCACGAATTGTGAAGCTAAGTCGCGATGATGTAGTATCCACATGGATGTTGTCTGAATCGATTCTGAAGTCTGATCGACGGCTCTAAGTCGTCGTGCGATCACTTCTTCTGATAGTGCCATTATCTGTATTTTTGCATATGCTTTGACCTCTAGAACTGATCAAATCAATTGATTTTATGGAGATATTTCAAACTACTTACTTAAATATCCGAGAGGTAACTAATCAGGAAAAACTGTTATGCACTTTACGCCCTATTAAACCCCCCAACAAGAAAAAGGGAGAAAGTCCCCATCAACGACGATGTCATAAGAGTAACGGGACATTTAGTAGCTCGAGACGCGTTACGAAACAGCGAAATCTCGATACGATCAATTTGTGGTCAGTGTGGATGGCACTGATCCCGAGAGGTTGATTGGTGTGTCAACAGCAGGGAAGAGTGGCTCTGCCCTAGACTCTGCGATGTTTGGAACAAAACTAGTTGTACAGTTTCTTTCCTCAAGCAGTGCTCTTAAAGTGCACAGCTTCTTTCGAATATTTTTGTACCAAGTGGTTCTATCATAAAGCATTTTGCTTATCTTTTATCGTTCCTCTTCGTCTCTCTTGTTGTCCTGATAAAATAGCGCTTGATAATGTCCCCACTTCTGTACTTGGTGAACTCGCATATGTATGTATATGAAATATTTATGCAAAGAACATTCCAAAATGACATATGCAGTAATTTATCAGATATGAGTGATATAATAAAATTCAACAATTATTTCCTCAATACAAGAGTAGACTGCAGTCTCTCGCAAACTTATTGCAAAAAAAGACTAGATCATAAGATCTAAATATCTTCAGACTCGGCTAACCTTCTAAAACCATAAAGAACCGATGAAATTTGCACAGTTTTTAAATTGAATGTAAGAATAAAGAAGTTTAACTTAAAAATTATGAAGTTACAATGTATGATTTTTTTTTTTTTTTTTTTTTTTTTGACCGATGCAAATTGATCACAGCTCTTCACATCTCACTCTGATAGGCAAACAAAGAACTTCCTACTTATATGTTCGCAATTTTATTTTTTATCCTAATTTAACTTGACAATTCAATACACCAGTACTTGGACATATTCATAGAAACTTAAAAAATATTCTTTAGATGTTCATTACCCAAGAATTTTTTTCAAGGCGAAATCAGTCACTATAGATGCGATCGATGCAACTGGTTGTTGTGGATCCCTGATTTTTGGGATTGCATTCAAAATAAACTTCTCCATCACGCCATTCTTACCAATCTCAAGACCTCGAAATAAACGATCTTCACTTCCTGGTATCCATTTCAGTGGTGACGGCTTCACTAGTGGTTTACTAGAATCTGCAACTGGAAAATTCTAAAAAATGAAGTTAAAAATCCGAGGTTTCTGCATAATATAAGGTGTAAAAGCCATGAAGGTGATAAATTGCAAATGCACTTGACTTACTATTTTAAATCAAATTTGATAAAACTTACCTTGGACATAATATAAGATAAATGAACCCTCTTGACTGATTTCTGTAGCATCAAAAATAATCAAAGCTTCTGCTTGCTCTGATAATACATTCACTTCATCATTCCCACAACTATAAAGTACAATGAACCAAAAAGAAGATTTCTTGAAAAACGCAAGCAGTAATTTTTTATACGAATAAATGTCAGCATAATTTATAGGAAAAATTTGCTGTTAATTAAAAAAATATAAGTTCTAAATTTCAGAAATTCACTATATATATTTAAAAAAAGAATTCACTGCATATATAAATAATTGAAGTAAACCTACTTTCATGAGTCCTAACAGATTAGGCAACATACCACTCAGAAAGTGAGGAAAAAATAAGTGCGTAAAAAAAAAAAACCATATCCTGAATCCGGTTTGCTCAAATACTGAATTATGTTTTATTTCCACATATGCTTGACATGTAGTGTCGCATCGAAAATTTGCTGATTTAATTTTGATTCGTATCCTCGCGTCATTTGCCTAAGAATTAAGAATTATAAATATTTTTTCTTGTAATATGAAGTGAAATTAAGATCAAATTGAAAGATCTAAAAAACTGAACAGAAATTAGTAAGTTTCTTTTGAACAGATTATCAAAAAAGGAAATGAATTTACTTTGATTCTCCAATAACATTTTTGAGAACCTTTATAACTAAGCTGCTGCCAAGTGCTTCTCGCAATAAGTTCTGCACCACAGATACCTAAATTAAACACAAGAGCGTTTTCTTCTTTCTCTCTTCGCTTTCAAAAAAAATATGAATTTTTATTTTTTAAATTCCAAATCCGACTCTATAAAGCTATTTAAATTAATTGGAGGGGAACAGAATTATAGGTAGTAGTTAACAAAATAGGTGTTATACTTGGCTGGAGACCAGTACATGTTGGACCACCTAATCCAGTTGGACATTTACAAGACTGGCAGTTGTTTGGGTCTAAATATCCACCATTTTCACATGTTAGTGGCGAAGCTCCACATACGTCTGTAAAATTTCACATATCGCTAAAAATAGCATAAAAATTCCATTCAAATTTAAATTGCGAAGAAACCCAAAATAAACAAAAATGACGAATCAGCGATATTTGCTATTTCTTCTACCTAATTCAAAAAAAAAAAAAAAAAAATAGACCTCGTTCTGTGCTATTTTAATAAATGAATAGAACAAACTTACGATTGCAGTAAAGTCTGTTCATTTGTTTAACATCAGTAAATGATGGACCGTTTCTTTGACCAATCGTATGGCTGTATCTTTTATCAATCGTCTCAATAGTTGTATGATTCCAGTCAACAGAGAACGCCTGAATTGTATTTCGAGAAAAATCTTTAAATAAAGTGAGATATTACTTGGATAAATTTATGCATTGGAATTTTGTGAAATTAGAAGAAATGAATCTGTTTGTTCGCAAACATACATTTGGTCCATAATGCATCACAGAGCCGAGATCAAATGGCACTCCCATATTTTCGATTTCCATATAAGATCGTTTGACAAAATTACCTTCAGTGCCACGAGCAATGTATTTATTTTGCAGCTTAATGTATTGGTCTCGATCTGGTCGAGACTGCTCATGCCAGAAACCTAACGAATGACCAATTTCATGAGTAACAATACCAAACTGCAATTAACAATTATCTCATTGAATCATTCCATTTTTTAATCCTTTTTCCTTATACTTATTTAAAGAAAAATGCTTAAAACTACCCCACATTAATTAATATAAAGAATACTCTCTTTTAATATCTAAGCGTATATCAGGAATAACTTTTGCTCAGACTTTTTTCTAAGATTTGAAAAAAGTAGACACAATGCATACATTTTCACAGCCATAACCAATTGATATTTCTTGACGTCCACCAGTTCTGCCAACATTCGAATAACATCTTAAAGAGAGCCTAATCGATATTAAGTGATTCAAAGAATTTAAAAACAGAGTTTCCCTATTATTTTGAGTATAAGAATTAATGAATATGAATAAAACTTTCTTTCTTTGTTTCCTTCAGTGATGCAAAAAATATATCAATGTCGTACATCATCTGATTCCATATTTTAGCACTCCTAAAATTTTGAAGTACAAACCCGCTTCCACGAAAGAAAACTACTCGATCATGTCCGGGACCATTTTCCTGCCACCGAACACACGTCTCACGTTGCCAGAAGTACAGCGCTGATCGTATTGTGTTACGCCACGTCTCCGCAAAAATTTAGATTTAAAAAGTTCAAAATTTAATAAAAAACATGCACAGCGCAAAAGACACCACTAAAGGTTAGTTCCGAAATGAATCAAAAAATTCAGTAAAAAAGTGAAAAAAACGAACCATCAGAAGAAGCAAATTCATATGGTATATTGTTATTCTTTGGCCATCGGTAAACTCTCCCTGTAATGACTTTTCGCCTATTTCTTCGACGAAAATTACCCGCCCACTGTTGTTTTACAGCCATTGCAATTCTGAATTTGAAAAAATTGTGAAAATAAGCTTTGTAGTTCTTTTTTATAACCAAAAAAATTGTGATTTCAGTAACAGAATATTGTCACATCTTACATATTTCATATTTTAATTAGGAGAAGACTCATCACCCATTTTTTTTTTCATGCTATTTTTATTGTTAAGAAACTAATTGTATAATGTTTAAGGAAAGCATCTTATAATAGTTCAATTCAAAGAAAATATGATCTTATTTTTAACCTCTCAATGAAGATGTATCTTGAAATATTCACTCATTATTCCATACTTACTTACTTGCTCGGCGAGGAAAATTGCAAAATTCATTCAAATAAATTAAAATTTTCAGCTTTTTTCTTTTCATAGCATTTAGGTTGAGTAACGTTTTCATTCCAGTTTCCTTTCAGATACATTTTAGTACATCACTGCAAAAACTAAAACACTAGTTGAGACGCTCCGTCTTGGCACAACGAGAAATCCAAACAAGAGTTTTATTAAACTTTTTCCAAATAATCCGCAAATCTAGCATTTTGCAGATACATCACTCTATTAATAAGTGCATAAAAAATTTCTGTTGTTATTTCAAACCTACCCAAAATTAGATTCATCAGCCCATAAGACAATGGGTTAGCAGAAAAAATCCCAAAAATGAATAAATACATAATATGTGACCCTAAGACAGAATATGTGGCTTCAATACTTTTTTAAATTGAATGTAAATTCTTTCATCATTGAACTAAAGGAACAAAAAGAAAAAAAAAGTAGGAAGCAAGAGCAAGTTGACCCTTAGCTGCTAAGTTTAAATATTAAGTGAATATAAATTAAAATATGTGGTTATGAGCATGAAACTGGAAGAATGACAACTGTAATTATCAGATATTATATCGGAATATATGAGGTTACCATCTGCTGTTCAAGAGCTTTAGATGATATGCCATAGTCGAAAAAGACGCAAAGTGCAAACAATATTGTTATCAGATTGAAGAAACAAATTAAACTGTACCCTTTTATTTGGTCAACGGTCAAAACAATATCACTTTCGAATAAATTTTTTGCGATTGGTCTGTTGCGACCTATTTCCGTTCCATCGTTCATTGGCCGCAACCACTGTTGAAAACTCATCTAAATATCCGATTCTATCATATTATTTGATTCAACTTTCAGAAGCAGGTAAAACCTGCCAATAATTAATCATAAAATTGAATAAATCTTGAACAATAAATCTGAAAATCTCAGTAAATAGTAACCGTATGATGATTGTTACTCTGGCCGGAAGACATGGAGTTGAAAAAGATGTTGAGCAGTTTTTGCACTGATGCATAATCTTGATTTTGGAAACGATGAACATCCGAATATTGAGCTATCTCTCCTAATAACTAGAAAATCAGGAATTAAGAAACTAAGATTAAGAGTGCAGCAAATAAGAAATGCGGCTAAATCAACTTACTTTAATAACTTCTTGCCCAAAGTTTATTGAATCTTTTATTGCATCATTGGATGTGGGTTGAGCTTCTTGAAACTTGGCTACTAGTCTGAAAAATGCGGCCTAATGCCAATGTTGCTTAAACGAAATAAGCTGTTCATTGTTAACTTTGTTGTAATTGAACGTAAACTGGTGAAGGTAAGCTTACTGTTGCTGTGGTTGTGGACTTCGATGGAACTGAAATGTTTGCTGCTGCCGTTGACCCAAATATAGTTGGTTTTGTAGAATTTCAACTGTATGTGACACTGAAATATAAAAGAATAAGTAAGGTATTCCGTTGTTTGAAACTTAGATTGTTGGGAAAGAGAATAAAAATCATGGTTAAAGTTTAATGATTATAATTGGACCATTTTTATCTTAACTCAGGAAATTTAAAATCATCAGTCATGTCCAACACTTCAGTAAAAATGTGCATCCATTATTTCGTTTCCATGTTCTCAAAATAAGTCTATGGAAATCCATTTTATATTAACGAACCATTGTTTGTTGGGAAATGATTTAGTGGAGGTGGTGATGCTCGTGCAGTTCCATGAAATTCTTTAGCAATAACATTGTAGTTTTCACGACCGTTCATCGACAGCGAAGTTCTTTCTTTCATCGCTGCAAATTTTGGCGGTATACTTGCTATTCGTGGAATCGATTCTTGTGGTTTAGGAATTAGTGCTTGGATTGACTGAAAATTGGGAAAAAAAATATTAGTAATAGCCAATTAAAAAATTTTAGGAATAACCAGTTTATTAAAAATAGTAATGTTGCGATCTGTGCTCCATGAGAAAAAACAACCTGAAAATGATAATTTAAAAGGACATTGTAACCACTTGTAAACAGTTCATAAGCAGTATTATTGTTTTTGGCTAATTTTGTTTAATTTTCTTGTAATTTTCTTGAAGATAACCGTTTTCATCAGGATTTGCCAAAATTAAGAAATTCATCAAATATGTAAGCGCCAACAAAACTTAAAAAAGAATTTTTGCCAGAACTTAAAAAACTTATGTCATGAAAATTTCTCTTCGCTTGAATGCTTCACTGAATTTCAAAACAAGAAGATTATTTGGTACCAAGAATAAAGCTGGTTTTGTACAAAAACTGTATAAAATCATAGAAGTAGTTCGAAGATGAAGTGACAAATTTAATTTCTAGAGGTAAAATAAATGGTGCATTGTTGCTGTAAAAGATATATAGTTTCGAATAGTGAAACGAATAGTGAAACTAACTGATTAGCAAAGCTTTCTTCGATTGAATTTATAAGCGTAACAATTAATTTTATTCCTTTATCCATCCGGCTTATTCAAACTATCCTTAACCGGAAATAAGGCACACTACATTTATAGCCACATTAACACTGTTATCTTTGAAATGCAGTATTATTCAGCAGAACGGAGTAAAGATTCCTTTTTTAATGATTTTATCGGCGACGCATTCATATTAGTATGTAATAAAAGATTCGAAAGTTAAGAACAGGTAAGGTGAATATGAGCAGTTTTCAATTTCAGATAATACAAACTGTTTTGATTTAAATCTCTTTACCATACATTTAATTTGTTACTTCTTTATTTTTTACTGTCTATCCAAATTGAAGTCAGCAGATATGATATTACAACTGGTTTTTTGCAGATAATTGACATTGCATAATATATGACAAAAGCAATTTTTATTTTTTCAATTTTTTTTGTAAAATAGTTTGATTCCACTATCGATATTATCATAACATTGAAAAAATTAGATGGAAAAAGAAAAGTGGTCATACTCCGAGCTAGAAGCACATTTAAGCAAAGCAAGAAATAGTGCTTTTAACCGAAGAAGAAGATATGCATAGTAATGAGCAGAAACCGGTTTAAATCTCTTGATCACTCCGGATTAGTTTGATAACTCTACAAAGACGTGAATTCTGAATTATAGATCAAACAAACAGTCGGATCCCTTATTTCTTTCAAGTAGCATCATCACCGAATATGGATAGTTGTTTGTAGAGAAAATTATACAAATTTATTGTTAAGAGAATAGAATAGTCACTAAATGATTAACTAATAACATATCAAATTAAACTCTTAAGTCAATTACTATAAAGTCAGACTTATATGATCAATTATTGTTTAAATAAATCTCTATTAGATAAAAGTATAACATACCTGTGATTTTGAGTGACTATTTTTGACTTGAAGTAGCCTTTGGCCGATATTGGTACCAAGTTTGACAAATTCCTAAAATAGTAAAAAAGATGGCTGTTACACTTTGTTTTCTTATAATTGAAGACTACAATAAGGCGATAAGTCTATCAGAGTGTAATTTATGGAGTTTTTTAAAGTTTTCGAAAAGAAATTATTCAAAATTTACGTCAGGATTTTACGAAGAAAAAAAAGTAATGGCGTGAGACAATTGACACATCGTTTTGAAAACTTGAAGCTAGAATTTGAATAGGCTTTCAGAAAATACCTGTACTAAGTCTCCGCCATTATCAGTTCCCGCTTTCTTAGGAACAACGACCCTTCCAAAAAATGGTGAAATCAGCGAAAAAAAGTCTTGACACTGCAAAAATTAAGAGCAGAATTGTAATCAAGCGATTAATAATTACAAACCGCAATACTAATGATCAGTATTCATATATTCTAATGAAGAAAACTTGCATAAAAAATTTTAAAAGCAAATATTCTCAAGACTGCGTAATGTTATATGCTAAAGAATATAAATCATCTTCAGGTTATTGCTGAATGAATAAATACTCCGTTAGCTATTAATTATAGTGCCAAAAGCGCTTTACACCGCTGTCGTTTAAAATAGAACCAGTTTAAAAATGATCATTTTCTTGAGATCCATTTTGATCAGTATGGTCTCAAAAATATCTCTTCTAATTTCTGCTAGTTTCTTTCATAAAGAGTATGCGCAATGCATTCGTCAGAGAAAATGTAAGAGAGTACTTAATGAGGAAAAAACTATCTATTATTGCTGAAGTAGCAAATTTTTAAGAAGTTCGTTAAGTTTAAAAAGTACAGTGACAATTTTTTGTCCCAAATGAATCGTTAATATGAGATGTACACTGCGTTTTCTGCAACCTTTTGAAATAAAGTTCTTCAGACTGGAATAAGTTACCTATTCATACATATTTCACTTTGAAGTTAATGTGTTGTAAGAGCGTGAATCATATTAGAACAGATGAGAACTATATGATGCTAAATTGGCTTTATTTTACACCTAATTAAAAAAGCTAATCAAAACTTTACTTTAACGATTTGGCAAAACAATGATATGGTAACAACAACATAAACTTCTTTCATTAGTAGCAATTGCCAGTGTTTTCTATAAACCAATTGACGTTGTTTCAGAAAACCTGAAAGTGCAGGAGAAAATGAATAACCGTTTCGAAAAATGTCTACAATTGCTTGAGGAGTTTAATAAATAATACTTATCAGATCATCTTAGGTAGTTAGTGACAGGTTTCAAGTTGAATTCGCATTCTATAAAATGCTATAAGAGCTCTAAATGCTCGGAACATAAAAAAAGAAAATATTTTAGAATGATAGATAACCAAGAAAAGAAATTTTTAAATTGTTCAATTTGTAAGATACCTGCATTAGCAATAATACCGATACATATGAAAAGAATCTACAGTAGAAGGGGATACAATCAGTTTTTGTGAATTTCTTTTTTACGAAATCTATGAGCGTATAAGTTTGTGAAATTTGCATAGAAAAAACTGTTAGGTAATTAATTGCATTACAAAAGAGAAAGAAGAATATTTGATGCGATGGACGGTCATCTTTCGAACAGAATGAAGCAAAGCGAAGGAATAGAATATTACATCAGATTGCAAGAATCCAGTTTGCAAACATCCAATTTCTGCTCTTTTCGTCTGTTTAATCTTTGTTGTCATACAGGTTGCGTGGTGATAATAGAAGTAATTGTTAATGACTTTGATGCTTTTACCAAATCATTTAACAAATTGACGATCGACAAGAAAGTTAATAAAAAGATGCTCTAAGCATTTTCAGACAACCAACAACTATCACCATAGTTTAATTTAAGATATCACTTTTCATACTTGTTATATCAAGTGAATTAAGTGATCAAGTGCATCAAGTTGATTTGATAGTGAAGGATGCAAGATGCAAAATGCAGGATGAGTGCAGTTGCTCAGATGGATTTCTTGTGAAGAGGAATTTAGAATAGTGTTAGGTTTCTTTTAATACATTTTCTTTATTGGTAAGTAAAGTGTTGATGGTATTTTCTAAAGAGCAAAAGAAAAAACATGGCAACAGAGATTTTACAATTAGCCTCATTTTTAGGATAAGTATTTGGAAAGTGCAAAAAGCTTTGTAAGGAGGTTCGCATAAAGATGAAGATGGATGAAAAAAGTAACGATGTGTCAAAAAGATAAATGTAGAAAATGTAGAGAAGCTTGTCCTGTTTGACATTCATTTCGAAATAATATAACATAAATTTCCTTCTAAACTACTCGTCAACTGATTTAAAAACTAATTAGTATTTAATGAAAACGATGTGACACATGCTCATTATCCTAGCTCCTTTACCAAATTTCCCTTCTCTGACCATATGTGAGCAAGAAAACTTTTAATTTTCACTAACATGCAAAATTATTAAATAAGTAAAAGGGATGGCTTTTAATAGCAAATAGTCCATTTTAGTTATGACCACCATCGACGTGGACGGTTTGAGTGAGACATTTGCTATGCGACTGAATAAGATCAGTCGTTGCAGTATGTTTACACTTTCATCAAGAACTTAATTTTAATTGTCTGTACTTGTAGTTGTTTGTTTATGTCTATACATATTCATATTGAGATATTGAAAGCTGAACTTTCTCTTGTTTATTGAAGATCTTAAAGAAAAATTTTCTTGTTCAGAACAGTCACAATGATCTCATTAATACGAAAACAATGTCAGCTCAGATTCAATGGTTATTTTTTAAAATAATTTATGAATTAGGAAAAAAAAAAAAAAAAGGACATATAATTTCTAGTACTCCGATGCACTCAAACAAGCAGAAAGTACAATGAAATTATTGTTGGTTCTATGCGCAAGTTCTAGCTTTGAGACAAGGGAAGGTTGGAAAAATTCGTACGAAAAAAGGGGAGAAAAGGATTACTTCAAGAAGTTTCAAATAGGAAAGATATTTACTTTAAAGTACATCTTACAGGCAAATAATGGTACATGTATCGATATTTCTAATCAACGAAACAATTCAAAACTCACTCTACCATCACTTGAAAAAGCAACATAATTATGGAATTCTCGCTTTGCCTATGTGGAAAGAACTGAAATGTTAACTTCCCACTGTGATATTCTGAAGGTTGACTTCACTTTTTGGAAAATAATCGGAAAGTATACCTCTCATCGATATTAAAACATTCATAAAAATTTGAGAAATTTCGTGTTTATTTCTTAGAAGAAAAACTAAGCAAAGAAAATTTTAGTATGCAACAGCAGATATCATGTTTTTATAAAGGATAGCGAATTTTTGGTGTGCCGATTATATCGAAAAGTCGGATCTACAATTTATGTTGTTGCAAAAAGCTTTGAAATCGATGAAATCCCTAAAGTAAAAGATTAAGTACGATAGGTACCCTACAGATAAGTGGTACTTCATTTTGTCAAAGTTTTTCACATGAAAGCTTTCCGACTTAAACCTTATAATTAGTGCTGAGATGCTACTCGATGCCAAATGATTCGCTCTGTACCCATCAGATCCACGGAAAACACACATCCGTTATGCAATCTGCGTGAATCCCAAAATCAGTTTAGCACAGCGTTTCATTGATACTTGCATTGCATATATGTTACATCGTGATTCAATGTTTGCTCAAAAAAATGTGCAAAAGTAGCGAGAAAGTAACGACTGACAGGAAGTCATAAAGACGTGGAAAGTACGTGAAGATTAGAATTCGTCATATGATGCATGAATGGACTCTATTTGAATGTATTGTGAATATGATTGATGGTCACACATTTCAATGACCACTAAAGGATATTTTTGTGACCACAAAAGAAAGAGCTTTCATTTGTCTGATCTAATAATATTATTCAACTTCCATCGTCACTTTAATGCGTGGGTGAGAGAGAAAAGGAGAGATTCTTTTGAAAGTGAACTCATCAAGATGGCGCATCTACTCCAAGCTTGACGAATTTTCCTTTTTTTTATTAATTTAGTCAATAGAATTGAAACATCTATAGTTACACAAGGATGTATTCACAGTTGTGAAGTATGGCAGCATTATAATACTAATTTTCCTCAAGATCTATTTATTACCTAGAACATTTTCTTCAGTGATTATGCGCTTTTACTATTCTATAAGCTAAGACTACATTTTGAATCACATGTTTACGTTCACGTGTAACTGCTGTTCAAGTTGAAATAGTTATAAGGGATGCTTTAAAACAAAAATTGGCTATTATTACTATAGATGAAGCAAAGGTAAGCATAGTAATCTTTCATTTGGTTAGGTGCTTTTGCTAAGCAAAATCTTTTTGCAATTATTGCTAAACTTTATTTGTGATACACTTTGCTACCATTTACGATAATTCGTTGAACGCAAACTTTCTCTGATGTTGTAATTCCATTCAAACAGAGCTTCATCGGTTGAAATTTGCTTTGCAATGCCATATGTATTTCACGATAACTCTAAAATTCAGAAATGCTTTTGTATTTTTTTAGACGTAATTCTCAAAGTGAATGATGTTCAATGACATTACGGTTGAGAACTTGCAAAAGTTTCGTAAAAAAATTCAAAATTCACAGATTTTTTTGTTTCAACATTCAACATAATGAACTCGAAAAAAAAAAAAAAAAAAAAAAAACGTACTGAAACGATGTTGCTGGGTGCCATATATTCTGAATTTGTTCCATGCAACAGAATCGAAGCAACATGTGGAACGGTTTCTTTAGCGATTGCTGTTTGCATTTCTAAATCCCCCGAAATTTCTAAATTTTTCGAAATCCCGGAAAGTCTATTGAAACAAATTATTAATTACTTATAAAATAAAAGTTGAAGATTAAAAAGGAAAAAAAAAAAACAAATAAAAAACGTGAAACAAGCCTGTAAAACTGATCACTAACAGAAAAGGCAAAAGCCTTAATAATGACTTATTAATTAATAAAATTTTCTTAGCCTTTCATATTACCTCCGATATCGTCCTGTTTTGTTATTCGATGAGCAATACGGTTAAAAGACGAATCTGAAATAATCATTTTTATATGGAATATAGATCAAGTCCTATTTTGAATATTCAAGGCCAGTTGGTACCGGCTCAAACGATGTTTGATGTGATTCGGTACCAAAATTTTCTGCTGCAAAAAAAAGTTTTCTGAAAAAGCTTTAGCCAAGAAAGCATCAGCTAATTAACAGTCAAGTGAAAATTTATTGATAATTTACTACTTGATTATATCATCAATAGCTAAAAAATCATGGGTGACCACTTCTGATCTTAAGACCTTTCTATCTCCTGAGAATGTCCGAACTGCAAAACTGGAAGAATTCTGATAAAGAATTTGTGAACAATGGAGTTAATACTGAATGCTTAACAAGATTTTTATTATCAAGAAGTTATTTCAGCGAGTTTGTTTAGCTATAATGTACTTTAAACAAGAACTGATTCAAAAATTCCCACTCATTGTCAAAATTTGAAATCAAAGAAACTCACCATCAAAATACTGTCCTCTTGTTCGATCTAAGTGTGATACTGGTTGTATTTGTCTAATTTCTGCACTGTCCGATATTTCTCTATCCCTTCCTTCTCTAGCTTTATTAAAATTGATGGTATTGAATATATTTAAATGAAGAGATGAAAGACTGCTTTTGTTAGAAACTTTTGATAGATGAATTGGTTTTGCTTGCTCATAGGATGAACCTCTTTGTTGTCGGATTGGTAAAGTGGCACAAGAAGTTAAAGCATTTGACAGCGGTGTTTTTATTGAAAGGAAATCCAGTGGAACTTCTTCAGATTGTTTGAAACGAAAACTTCCTTGAGAGATCTTTGATATTGAATTTTCAGGAACTGGAAAACGGTTAACTCGTGAAACTTTCGGCAATGATTTGGAAACTGTTTGTTTCCAAATTATTCCTCGAGATATTCGTGGTTCTGTTAAGCTAAATTTATTTGCAGATTTTTCCAATCGTGAAATACATTGAGATAGCTGCAAAGCCGGTTTCATATCATTCATTTCCGGTCTCCAAAAACGTTTGAAACGAGTGATTTTCTGAGATGAATGAAAAGAAATCCATTGCCAAATGTTATATTTGGAGAGCTTTGATGGTAGCATTTGTCGTAACGGTGCAGTTCCTTGTAATGATTCGGTTATCCATACCTGTGCAGAAACAGTCTCCACAAATTGTGGCGTAAAGCGATCAAGGCGTGAAGTCTTCTCGCATGATACGTTCAAAAATGTTCGCTGCCAACCATGTGGTGTCTTAATTTGGGTTGTACTAAGACTAGGTGTTGGAGCGTTATTATTTACCTGATCTTGTTGTTGCAAATAATCTCTGCCAAGATGAAGTCGAGAAGTTTCCTTCTGTTGTGAATTTTTTAATGATAACTGCAATTCAGTCTGTTTCAAATGCAGTGATGTTTCAATCTGTGCGTTTTTGATATTTATCGTTGAATCCTTTATTCCAACTTCCTTCATAAAACGTTCCTTCCGTTCCCTCCGCAACATTCTGTCATTTCTTGATGTTATTGGATCCCAAAATAGTGGTTTTAAATATTTGTGATACAATCCACCGCAGTGCGGGAGGCGGCAAGCAACTCTCGATAATGACTGCGGTGATGTTCGCTGCAAATTTTGAAGATTCGATTCATTTGTTCTACCGCATTTCGTGGTAAGTAATCCTGCCTTAGTACTGTTGACGAGACGTTTTTTGTGATATATTTTTGGTGACTGTGATGTCTCTCGATGCCAAAAACGTAATTTTGATCGATGACTCTCTCTGTTTCTCAATGGCACAAAAAAAGATGCAGTATGTGACCTTCCTGAAATTGAATATTGTCGACGAGAGGTCCATAACGACGGTTCCGACCGTTTTATTATTTGCTTTATTTTCATAGCTGACGAAATAGTTAGAGCCATGTATGGTGAGCTGTGTTGAGATCTTTTCGAAGCTGTATTTAATTTTGAGTACATCGATGTCCGATAATGATAGGATGACGGAGTGTTTCTGGAACTATTCGTTGTTGATTGCAGCACAAGATATCGTCGTGGAGATGTTGCAGTAACTATTGGAATAGCAGCGATTGGAAGGTTGGACTTTGAGGTGTGATAGGTTGGCGATGATAAATTACCGGTAGAGGCAAATGTCGACTTTGTGAAAAAAACATTGTTGTTGTTGATCTGAAGGGATGAAAATTGTTGTACTTCTGAACGAAAGAAAAAGTTACTACTTCGAGTTCACTAATTTTCAATGAACTAAAAACTTCGAAAAATAATTTCAGAGTTTTCGCTTCAGATTATAGCTTCAATCACCAGATAACTAAATTTATAAAACCTCAAAACAGTAGTATGTTTTGCTCCTTAATTGGTAAAGTGATGAACTTATGTGCAACATTTTTTTCATTCAGAAGAAAATTCTTCTTCTAAGGTAAATTTAATTTTGGTGGCAAAATCAAAGTTATCCAAAACTGGAACCAAATTACCGAAAAATTATGAGTTGTGCCTTTCAAACCTAAGGTGTCAGTATGTTCAACAATTTTCTCCTCCGAACTACTTTTTACAACATCCATATCCACGTAACGATCTGTAACAAATCGATCGCTGTTTTTTCATATTTGATGAAAATAACGAGAAAAAAAAGGTCGGAACTGGAAGAAGTGACCTAACTCTTTTATAGCAGTGACTAGTTAGGTTGTAATTAGTGATTTATTAAATAAATTTTTAAAAATTGTCTAAGAATTCATTAAAAAATTTAGTCTTTATGAATCAAAAAGATTTCGCGATTTCGCTGCACAAATTTCCTTAAAATTACTAACTAAAAAAAAAAGTCGAATATTATTTCATAAGTAAATAAAGTCGGATACTGTGGAGATCAATTTCCTTTACTTATAAGTGCTAATAAGTATATTTATTAATTATGGTGAACATATATTATATAATAAGCAAAATAAATTATTCAAATTTAATCATGCAAAACTATTAATTCCATCAATTAGCATTAGTGATGCAAATGGTTTTCTCATACCAAATCTCCCAATGTTCGTTTTAAATTCAACAGAAAGCAGATTATGTTGTAAAAATCAGCAAAACTGCTAAGTTCTCTTGGAACCATGTAAAGAGCCTGTTCAGCTATCTTCGTGATAAGGATTCCCATAATTTTTACGAAAAATTTTGAAAACAAGTGAATCAACTCTTATTACTTTTTTGGATTTCTGTTAATTACAATCTTTTGATTAATGACGACTTTCAAAGACGGAATTTGAAAATTTCTTTAATGTTAGAGGTAGTTTTAAAGAAAGTCAACCATTATGTCTTGCAGTGTCTCTGACCGCACATACGGAAACCATTGTTGTCTTCTCCGAGGTTGTTCTCCAATCTTAAAGAATTTTGACCATTTTTTTTGTTAATACAAAACAATATCGCCAAAACTTTTTATGATATCCACTTATCTCCCATATACATAATTTTACAACCTTTCATAAACACATTTTAAGTTGAAATTTTAGATATTGGACTTCTTATTTGTTTATATTTTGCTTTGGACTTCAAAAAATCTACAAACGGAAGTATTCAAATTTCTTTCTACTTAAAATTTTACAAATTGAAGCGAATTGTATATTTTGAAATTTATTATTCAGGTTATGAATGGAAAAATGACTTATGAAAGTGTTTGTCTTTATAAAAAGTTGGGATGGATGCCTCCTTCAAGCACATTAAACTTGAAAGGTCATGAAAATATTAACACAAGATTTGGAGAGCTGAATAGATATGAATTATCAAATTCATTTTTTGAAATCTTGAACTTCATAACATTGGCCATATCACATGATGAAATGAATATGAAACTATGTAAGCCAAAGCCTACCCGTTTCATTTATTTGTTTCACTGTTTTCAAAATCTTTTTGCTTGGTCCCACTACTTCACATTTTAACTCAACAGCAGTTTCTGAGGGATCAGCCGGGGCTGCTCTTTCTGTTTCCTTATTGCACTCCAGATTCTCGTGATCAGTTTTCACTTCTGTTACTAATTAAGCATTACTAAGCTTTATTTCAAATGTCGCTGGTATCAAAGTAACTATTTAAACTCATTCATGGTTTAAAGGTCAAATCCATTTTAGCAAGGTAAAAAGCAAATTAGTAATTATCCAACACCGATTTATATTATGTCTGTGAATAATTCGTACCCATCAAACAAAATTTATCCTCTACAGCAGACGTCATCAGTTTGTGCTCTCTAATATTCGTCCATTTGGATTCGAATCAGTCCATCAAATTAAACAACAATTGAATTTCAATTAAAAAACAAAAAACAGTTTAATTCTAAAGTCTTATAATATCATCAACTTTATTTCTCGAAAGTAACGTTTCACTTAGTGCAAAAAATGTACTGACTTAGTAAAGATGAATAAAAATTTGACACCTTTAAAATTATTACTTTGTATTGAATTCGTCGTCAATTTCGCTGTACGTAACAATTTCATTTTTGGCTCTGTCTTATATTTTGTCGCTTGCAAACCTTAAATTTTTAGGAAATGTTAATCACTTGACTGTTCTATTCAGCACGTGTCATAATACTAACCACAACGGTTGAGATTAAGTTAAACAAGTAATTCACGAAGCCTTAATTCGAGAATAGAGTTATAAATTTTAAATCTCAAATCATTTATATCCTGAAATTAATCTCGAGCTGAGTTTATCAGGAAAGTGGTGACATTGAATTAAGACCCTAAGAATTATAATGGTTTCTCTTTACAATTATTTTAGGAAAATTTTAATTTGATCGACTCAAGAATGACTTATTACGTGGCTACTTTTTGCTTGAAAATGAAACGTATTAAAAGTTTGTTTAAATCTTGAAATTATTCCAGCCAAATCTCAAAATTGATAAAATCTTTAACATGCACAAGGCATGATAACTTTTCATGATTTTAATATGAATAATCAGAGCTTGAATTTTAGTTGAAAATATTTATTTCATAAAGTTAAGGCTGTTATTAGTAAATATTATAGGATATTTACCTTCGCTTCTCTCAGTTGATATTGAACACGACAATAAATTTTTCCGTTTAGGTGAAGCTATAATTTCTGCTCATTTTATTTGTGACCATTTACGCTTGAAGTAATTTAAATTATGAACTTATTGTCAAAGTAACAAATTATTATACTGCAAATAACTAATCTGTAAACATCTAATATTCTACTTTAATACTACAGAAATATCAGAAATTCTCATATTATTTGGTTAATATAACTATAATTATGTCTGGAAGTGCTATTTGCAGTGAAATATTATAGAGACATGTTATTATCATATTTGCATTTGGAAACAAAACGTATGGAAACAAAATTTACATACAAACACCAAACTAAATGAAAATACTGTTTTTCGCATTATAATTTTATAATAATAATATTCTAAATTATAACAATGTGCTAAGTATTTAAAAAATGATAGTATTAACTGAGATTTATGAAGTATTAAACATCAAGACGAAATATTAATTGGTCGCTAAGAAGAAGTGATCTTGTTTACTGTTATTGTAATAAGTTTTAAAATCATCAAATGTAACCTAAGCGGTAACTTTTTCGCTTTTTTTTATTTTTATTTTTTACAAAAAAAATAATTCAATTTGTAAAATCAATACTTAAGTTCAAAATTACAAATCCAAAGAGCTAGCAGGAGAAATCTATTCATACTTTTGAATGATGTTATTGCAGTATCAGCACGAGCTGATCTGACAATTGATGCTTTTTGAGTTGTCATCCATTTTACTGTTTCCATTTCAACTTCTGACCCATCCGTTAATGATGATCCTGTTTGAGATTCGTCTATTAGCAAACAACTACATTCATCATTTTCCGTACATTTTCTAAAGTTTTCATTGCATTTCTTGCTATGTTGTATTGAGTTCGATCGTATTGAAAAATGACATTTCTGGAATTGATAAGAAGAGGAAAGAGCAAAGTATTTGCAGAGATCGGATATAGAAGTAGAAATTGAAGTGTTCGATACACTGTAAGCTGTTTGACTCCAGATATCTAAATTATCATCACCAAGCAAATTAATATTTTCATGATTTAAGGCTGTGCTAGAATCGGAATTCAGGAAACCACAATGATAGCACTGCCATTCGTGTTGCATTGGATTCCTCGAAAATGAAAGCTTAGGCCTTTGATCAATATGGAAACATTGAATTTCTCGCACTGTCGTACCACCGCAATCATTGCAATGAAAAACGTAAAGCTTTTCGGGTTTCCAAGATGCAGTTCCCATCATCAGTTCCAGAAAATTTGGACATTCGCAACAACACTGATTTCCAATATGACAAGAACATAAAGCTGAAAAATCACCATGTGACACTTTGCATCGCTAGCATCATGCTCCATTGATTTATTTCAGAGGTTTGACACATCTCTCAGTTTCATTTACTCTTTTACTTTTTCTGCTAAACAATAAAGTAAGCCAACCATTACATAAGAGATTTTTTAAATGATTTTCAAGCAAGTTTCTGAACAAGAATTCCAAACTTGGAAATAACAAAGTTGGAAAGAACGGTCTGCACATATTCATAAATATAAATTTAAATAGAGCAAATTCATCGTTAGAGAATTGAACGCACAAAATGTGAGAGTTCTTAATTATTTGCTAAGGAATTCTGTTCTCAGATTAATGCGAGAATACTATCGTATGTTCTGTCTATAGCAATTAACTGTGTTCTAGGAATGAACGTCTTCAATTTACTACGTGTCCACTGATTCATTTTTACAGCGGTGGTTACGTTCGAATGATCTGTATCGTTAATTAAAAATAAAAGTGTCACATTTCAGATCATTAAAATCAATTTGAATTTCTAAGTATTCGGTTCTTGGAAGAATTGTTTTTTCTTGACATTTGTCATTTGTCAATTTTAGGCACATACAAAGGAAGATGAGAGGTCAACGTTGGATGACCTTTGTATAAGTGCTATTAGATTTTGTTGCTTGCTGCCCACCATATACAATCAATCCAGGGTATCTTCCGCTCTCTCAGTCAGTTCTATCTTAGAAGAAGCAAGGTGCTATGTTTTAGCATTACGATTTCACATTGACGCTTAGACGTCATACTTAATTTGATGCTTAGATTTCACATGATCACTCAACTTATGGGTCATCTGTCAGTGAAGTGACGCAAGGATATGTTTAAGTATCCAGAATAAATCATCATTCTTGTCTGTTGTTGTCAATTCGAACTACCTAATAGCGCCAGCTGGCATCAAATTTTTTTTTAAAACGTGTTTGGAACTTGTAAAAGTATGTCTTACTTTAGCAGATTTTTTCTAAGCCAACTTTTTTATCCGTGCGCAAAGACTTTTTCAAAATTTGTAAAATTTAGAAGCCTACATGAACGAGCCATGCTCACGTCCTCATTGTTTTCTTTCTTATTTCCATCATCGAAACTCTTCACGTCCAGATCTTCTCGTTTCTGGAAGGAAAAATACATGCAATTTGTGTCCTAAACTTTTTGTTTTGTTTCGGCACGTGTTACACGCAGATTTAATATGGCAAAACCTCATTCATACGAACGAACTCTTCTGATCAAACTTATGATAGGACGTAATTAGACCAAATATAGTTACTAGACCAAATCACCGGTTTTTTTTTTTTTTTCAGATATAAAAAGAATCTGTGCATCGTTGTTTATGAACTGTATGTAATATCTCATGAGTGTGGGATGTAAGATTAGAAATGCAGGTATATATTTCCTTATATAAACAGCAAAACCTGTGTTTTTAATTCTATTATGGGTATTGAGTCATTAGAGAGTTCTCGAGCTGCATTAACAAATCCATCCTGGCGTTTGACTTCAATTCGCGTCCGCAAGATTGGATACTCAAATTCACTACTTTTTTTAAATGAAGACATCAAGCAGATTTAATGTGATTACTAGACCAGTTTTATAATTACTAGAACAAATTCTTTGATTCAAGACAACTGCCTTTGACGCCCAGGACCCAGAAGACTGCAACAAAAGGAATATAAAACGTCACTGAATTCATCCGGCATTTGGCAGTTCTTTTATTATTGAATAAGAATTTACATACTGCTAATTTGTTTTTTTCCTATTTTAACTGCTAATCAGTTAAAATATAGCAAATGGACTGAGTCCATATGTACGTCAATTCGAAATGTATAATATAAATTACTCGAATTTATCGAAGGATTGCCACCACTAAGTCACCGTCATGCGCAGAGACAGACAAATTTTCAAATCCGAAACCTATTCCAACCTGAAATCACATAGTCCTTCGTTATATCTATTTCACACGATAACCACAATGTTTGAGGGCCATGTTTGCTCGATTTTAGTTATATCAAAAGACTTCAACTTCCTTAAATATAATAAAAACCTATAAACGCTCCAAAGACAGGACAGCGGATCCAATACTTCTTTGATTTTACTTCAAATATTATACGGACGTCAGTAAATTCAGAAATGAAAAAAGAGCTGTTTTGCTTTATATGCACAATTATATATGTACACAGTTCCGAGATCTACAGTTCATACTAATAAACAGTATTACCCAACCAAAATATAAAAAATACCATTTCAATTAAAGTAAATCCCCTCCATAAGCAATAATCTATTGTTCAATAAAGATTCATTCAGAACATCTGGCCTACTCCTCTAAGATGTATTACAACGACGCAATTATTCTAAACAGTACAACTGTCCTAAAATTCTAAAAAACATAAAAATTCAAACTTGAAAGAAATTTCAAAAACAATTCAGGATTTCTTTAGCATTAGTTGATCAAGACTGCTAAATTTAAGAAAACAAGTGATAAATCACAAAGTGTTATCTTAGCAAAAAAAAGAAAGAAAAAACATTTTTTAAAATTATGAAATCAACGATGGCGATTTGAAACGCAATATGAAAGCACTAAAAACGATAGTTAAAAGTACGACTCAACAAACTGCCAACAAATATCGTAGTTGAGTCATGGCTGAGAGTAAGGCTACAAAGAAGAGAAGGATAAGTTAAGGCCAAAAGAAATAACTTTTAAATACAAGTTCAATTTTTCCAAGGATCTCAGTTGAAATATTGCACCATAAAGCAAAAACGAGAGGAAAAATTAGTCAACACTGAATTATAAGGCAAAATCTGTGTTTGAGGTTGATTTTGTCACAATTTTTTTTTAAGTTATGATCAGCTTTGTTATACGGAGTGCAACTATACTCCAATTGTTGAAGTAACTTCAGTGAAACTAACAGATCTATTACATTACATAATTTAAAATGTCATATTACAATTATAAACAAATGTCTGAAAATACATATTCGTTCCGAAACCAAGCTATTCTCACATTTTAACTTATATAAACCCTTTACATATAAAGTTTTTCCCAACTTAAAATTAGATATGAACTTTTCTCAATATAAAAATAGATTTTCAAAGTACTGATTTTATTCCCAATATAGCGAAGAGTCAATTGTTCCTTTACACTTTCCTAATCAATTATCAATTATTGAAAAAATTATAGTTCATTAGTTCCACACATCTTACAGTTTGTTAGACACATAAAAATGCATGTTTAAAGACAAGGAAACTTCATGCCCTTAAAGCAGTGAACTGACGGTAAACTTCCACAATTCTTGGGTCGATTCCTGCTGCTACAAACAATTCGTTATCAATGTGCTGTTTCATCTCGAACAATTCGCACCAGTACTAAAACTAATTTCAATTTCGTGCCACTGACCGTATAGGACTATTTTTATGAAAAAAGTGGTTATTAAAAAAAAAGTTGTCTGCTTTTTTAATAAATCCTTTCGAATTGTGACTTAAACATGAAAATAACTTTTTTGTTCACAAAATAATTTAGTAAAATTACACCAAAAGGACAGAGCACAAACTATCAGTAAATGAGAATTTTGTTAATAATTAACAATATTAATTTGATGATATGAAGAAAATACAAAAATTTGGATTTCAAATGGGTAAAAAAGCAGTCGTATCCATAAAATTTGAAAAACTAAGGAACTCGAACCTTCAATAACATCTCTTTAAATCGTCCCATCATATACCGATACCAATAAGTGTCGTGGTTTTTTTCAGTCATTTCAGATTTTACAAGATGTTCCGAGAGGAACAGTACCAATTTCTAAAATAAAAATTGCGTTCATAAGGCTGGAAGATCATGGGGAGAAAACAACAACAAAAAAAAAAAAAAAAAATAAAATAAATGCATGGACGTCAAGTAGATCCTTACAAAACAACATCTGCAGTTCTATCCACATTTTAGAATCTTAAATTTCCATTGTAACTTCCAGTGAAATTTCTACAGAAAATTAAATTAATGAACTATATCGCAAGTTAGACATAAACTTACATGCAAAATATTTAGAAACAGGTTTTTCAACATATCCTGTAATTCTTTTAATTCTTTCTTTTTCATTTCAATATCATCATCAAGAATCATCCACAAACCATCGTCTTTATTAGAACAGAAAAGCTGACATACCTGTACGAAAAGCTTAGTGAAAAATAACCATTTATGAAAAAATAAAGAAGTAAAAAATGAAAATTTTGGAATTTGAAACTCTCAGAACATTAATCATGCACAATATTTTAATATTTGTGAATTTAATTTAAAAATGTCAATCATAATTCAGTAATCTTGAAAAAAAAAAGAAATTAATCTGAATTATATAATAGCTCCCTGATCAATATCAGTAATTATTTAGCATTGAACGCTCTTGTAGTTTGAGAAGTAATTTCTGAAGCTACTATTGATGCAAAAAATACAATGAAAGAAGGGAGATTACAATGAAACGTCATATTATCTTAAATATACATTATTGGAATTTCAAAGAGATCAACTAGTATTTTAAAATGAATTTAAGGAAAATACGAATATCCTTTCATTTCTTTTAAAGGTCTTTAGAATAATATCTACACAATCATGAAATTAAACAAATTACATTTCCACTACTTCGTTCCATTTTGATACGCTTCTCTTGCATTTGTTGAAGTTTGGTCTTACATCGATTCATATGACCGCATACATGCTTTACAATTATAAACAATGCTTCCCAAAGCCAGAAGCTAAAAAATAAAGTGATTAGAATAAATAACATATTAAGAATTGCAAAATCTGCATCGAATTAATAAATTTCAAGAAAACAGAAAACTGATATTAAGCAGTCCATAAAAAAACCGATGTAATTCCTGGTCGACATAACTACTCAACAACCAGGACACTACAGCATTCGCATTTAATAATGTCATTCGAAACATTTTGGTAATCAACACAACCATCATCTGCAATAATTTTATAGCAATATATTGAAAGAGCAAAAACTAGATGTCTCTAGCAAATGAAAAGCAAAGGCTTGACAAAATAATGAAGCTTTTCTATAAAATAAAAACCATGAAACAAATTAGTCTGTAGAACCAGAAAGCCTTTTGATGGTTGCTTTCATTTAAATTAACTAAAGTAAACGAAAGCCCTTAAATGACACCCACCTGTCGATTATGCTTCCAGACATCGTAAAGTGTCCGCAAAAGTGCCGTAGAGGATTCATCATCAACACCACTCAGTTCTTTCAATGTTTCGTGGTACCTATATTCAAAATACATAACTGATCTAAATTTTAATCCACTCAAATTAACAAGAATGAAAAAAGGAAGTGAACTGTTCCTGAAGTTTGAAGATATTCATGAGAATGAAGGAAAATGAAACCTTGTCAAAGCTACGAAATTGTGACTAAATGACTTCTGCGCTGCATTAAGCATAACTGAAAAGAAAGTAGAAAGAGTTGCTAAACTGTTGCCTTCCTTGTCAAATTCGCGTAACATTTCAGTTATCTCTTTTGGCTCAGCTTTGTTACGAAATGCTCTTTCAATTTCAGCAACCAATTCTTTTTCTTCTATGAAAGATAAATCATAATAGTTATAAGTTCTGTACACATGAAGTTTTTTAATTTAATCAAACAGCAGGAAACGAACATCAGTAGCAGCCAGAAAGAATAAAACAGTAGATTGACGATTCTTATCTTCACATCTTATTCTGCTTTAGTGCAGCATATAATTGAGAGAGTAGGATAAAATGTCTATTTCTGAACATTTTTGAACTGCATAGTTACCTCAAAGAGAAAGAGTGGTTTTCAGCTTTAAAAAAATGAATATTAGAAAGAAATAGCATTAATTAAAATACATACCTTGGTTAACTAAAAACGATATAAAAGGCTTTTCCGGTGTTATTTCTTCAAATGAACTTGGCAAGCAATCACAGATTCTTTCATGATATGAAAATCTCATGCATTTTTCGATAACCTTAATTTCGAAAAATAGTAATTAATTACTTCCCAATAGTTTTTTTTTTTCTTTTTTACTTTGAAGGAATATAAGCATTTAAATTGATACTGAGAACTCGCTAACTTCCTTCACAAAATATCGCCTTGGTGCATAGTCATTCAAATCGAGACAATCGTTCCAGTCGACCCAAGACCAACGATATTCAAAATTGGACATATGGTAACTGAACCAATCAATCAATCTAAAATTTAAAGCACTTCATGTTAACAGAACCTAATTCATAAAACATAACACACACTATTTACAATAGATAATATTTTTGCTTTATATGGAAGATACGAATTTTCCGTCCTGTAAATTGTTTGGAAGTGCTGTGCAACAACCAGAATCGTGAAAAAGACTATAATAAGGTTACACATTAACAATTTAACCTGTCAATACACTCAAGTTGCATTGTATCTATTCGTTGGTAGAACAGCTCTGCTGCTTGAGCGATTACCTAGAAATGTGCAAGTTTCAGTAAAACGACCAAGTTTGGATTTAATGAACAAGTCATAATTCTTCACTAAATTTTAATATGAAGAAATCACCGAAAAAGATAAGAAACCTGCCTGAGGCATATTCTTTGTCTTACACAATTCAATCATCAAACTTCCATAAAATAGAGGTCGTAATGGCGGATGTGGTAGGCGGAAGAGTTGCGAAAAGATTACTTCCAAGATCATGTAGTTTATTGGTATCACTGTTTTTTTCCGATAATTGACAAGCTTTGCTGCACTAAAATTCTAAAAATTCGTCAGTTTGCTAAACTTTGAAAATTTTCAATAAACATGGGATAAAAATAATAATGTAAATTAGAGACCAAAACATTACCATTCTTTTCTACTATAACAGTTATTCTCGATTATCGAACACAATTCCTTCTCAACCAAAAAGCGTTCAATTGAATGAGCTCCAGGAAGCACTGGTCCCTACAAATGATTATTTTAAAAATAACAAGATAATGAATGATGAAAAGATAAAGGTAAAAGGAAATATAAAAAAAAAAAAAAAACTGGTGATTACTTCATCAGGACAATCGGCGTAATCGAAAAAGCGAAACACAACAGTAGGCAGCGGATACACTATCACTGACGTATGCGGAGATGGAATAAATCTACAAAATAATATAAAAAATAAATTAATACATCGATACAAAGAATTCCTTCCAGAAAAACTATATTCAAAAGAGATTTTCAACATGACCATAACCGTAATAGTACTTTCTATGGAAATTCTTTGCAGATTATTCCCAAATATCACTCCTGCATGTTTAACAATATTGCTAAAAATTTCGTTTTATTCTGAAATCTTCTCAGCTAAAAATGTATGTATATATATTATAGCTTTATAAAAATTTTATTAATTTCATAACTATATATATATATATATATATATATATAATGCTAACACTAATTTTGTTAGTTTAGAGATATTAATGGATTTTTTAATGTTCTTTTAAGTTTAACTTCTTTTTGAAGGTCTTATTGTTGTTTGCTTCTCCTAAGTTTGTTGGTTTTTTATTTTCCCTTTTTTTTATTGTTGGTTATATGTATAGCTATCTAAATTAACAAGAATTAATAATAACTCTTACAAAGGTAAATTATGTGCAACCGCACTGGCCAGAGAACCATCAAATCCTACATAATATCGTGAAATATGCCGCTCTATCCAACCATCATCCCGTAGCTTGGAAATCTGAGTCCAAAGACTACACAAATATTCGTCCTGTTCATGTTCCATTGCTGACCAAACTTGAAGCAACTAAAAAAAACAATTTCTGACAGTAAGAAAGGGAAATCAACAATAAATAAAAGAATAAGGACGGTGGAAATAGTTAAAGAGAAGTTGTGGAAACGAATAGTGGTATCTACACTTAATTATAACTACATAAAGTAATTGTATACTATGTAATTTCAAAATCAATAATTTTGTCTGTGTTTCATTCAGTGCTTAGTGTTCGTATAGTAAAAACCCATTCTTATTTCAGCATCTTCCTACACCCCAAAAGTTTATATAAAATTTAAAAAATATATGTTCACATTATGTTTTAACAATATCATATGCGCTAGGCAGTTCCTGAAAAAAAAGTTATCACAGGTTTACCTTAGCATGAGATGTGCTCCTTTCAAGCATGTATTTCTCAATGCCTTCTAAGAGATTATCAAGCGGTTCCTTCTCTCTATCATTTAGTTCAGGTCCTGACCAGGGAAGACTATGCAATACCGCATAAACAAACCAATCACTTCGAACCTGGGAAGATCAAACTCTTCAAAACGTGAGAAACTCGACTTCCTTTCTGTTTAAGTAAAAACTAAATCGATAAATCAGCAAGTAGTTACTAAGTTTTTTTTATTTCGCCTTCAAAATCTAGATGCAGTACGAATCCAGTATATATGCCCACATCACAAATCATACTTGCGGGATGCCTTCTTCACATGCTGCTTCCATAAAGCCTTCATAAAACTCGACTAAAGAATTAGACGAAACAACGTGACAATTGACCAAGTCAGCCAGAAATGTGACCTGAAGAAATCGAAAATTAATGAACGGAAACCATTCATGAAAAAAAAAATATACAAATAAGGTTTCGAAAACCATAAAACTTACAATATGCAAGGCATGATTGAAATCAGCAGATACAAGCTTCTCTCGCAAAACTTCCAATGATTGCCTCAGAAGCTGAAAATTTTAGTGAAATAAATGCTATCATAGTAACTAAGTTATACTATGCTTAAATATATTATTTTGTTCCTCTTAATATAAAAAAAAGCTTGTGATACCTCAAAACCAAATTTTTGTTTTTTTGAGTTTAACAAGCCCGCAAGAGTTGAATATGCAGTAATTTCTTCTCGCAAGTAACATACGCTGCAAAAAAAAAAAAATTTTTTTTCCTGCCAGTAATTAACACTACTTTCAATTTCTTAATTTTATTTACATAGAAAATATTGAAATGTCAAGGTATTACCATTCTATGATAATATCAATAATGCGATCTGCATCAGTGATGAGGTAAGTTCCTAGTGATTGTGCTAATCTCTCCAAATTGGATTCCATAGATGAGTTACTCTAAATTAAAAATTAAAGTTAAATAATACTGTCCACTTCAAATGCGACAAAATCGAAAAGCGGTGGAACTATGTCATCAACCCTTGCCAATTTTATTTATAAAAACAATAAAGCTATGTTTTGAATTATCAGCCACACAGAGATCAGTATGAGGAATCGACCTTACCTTCTCAGCAATTCCACTGATGAGTAGTTCTAAATGCATTTCCAATTCTGTCTTTTCAAGGACAGCTCGCCGTCTCTTATAACACCAATCGCTCCCTAAAAATCTTACCAGATAAAAACTGAAACTTAAGGACTATATATTATCAATCTAATCATAAAATGGATACCAAAATATCCAACAATTAATCATTGTAAATCTTTGGAAGCACTAAGCAAATTTTATTTCATTATAATTTATACCTTCATCACCGGGACGCCTCCTTCGATCATGATCACTGTGTGGCAAGTGAATCATTTTTAGGTGCTATAACAATCACTGCCAAAGAATCAGCAAAGCATTCTTTATTCTTTACAAAAGTTAATCGCTAATAGAAAAGACACAAAGTTTTGTTTTTAGGTGGATGTTTTTTTAATTAAAACTTTAACCCTAACTTTAACTGACAGCATATTGTGACACATCATTCGCAAAGGCGAGTACTTTTAACCTTAAGAGAGGAACGCCATTTTTTCATAAACTTTGAGAAAAATATATGAACAGATTTCTCAAAATGCTAATAACTAATGACTTATCTGGTAGCTGTACAGTCATTGAGAAAATACTTATTGTCGAGACAGTGTTTACTTAGTGCCAAAAAAGATAATTAAATAGGAGAATCATTTTATGACAGTGCAGAATGTGTACAGCTTGCATTAACTGCAATACAGTTTTCCAATTAAGCAAGGTAATAAGAAACAATAAACTAGTGAAAACATATGAACTAGACCGAATCAAAATTTTATTTGAAAAATATGGAAAAGAATGATGGAATTTCTTGCTGTAGAATTAATTAATGCATTGGTATCTATAGTGCAAGAAGTAATCACAAAATTCCTTTGAAATTACTAAAATAATTCAAAAAGATTATTCAACATAGCAAATTAAACATAAATGGTTGATGATTTCCTATTAGTTAATGAAGTATTACTGCAATAGGTAACATAAATCTTCACATCGTCAGAAAACGACTAAAGAGTCACAAAACAGCTAAATACAATTCATTGAAATACCGAGAAATATCTTCAAAAAGCAACATTGTGATTTAGAGTTTAGTAAAATCCTTTACACCAAGCTTCCGTAATTTTTGGTATGCCTAAAATGATAAGGTAGTACATAAGTAATAATTTTAGAGTCAATAAGGAAAACAAAAACTCTTTCAAAATGAAAATTTTTACCTTATCATGAGTATCACCATCATCCATCGTAATAACTGGCATTTTGAATGCAGCTTTATAAAGTTCAAAAGCTTCTTCTTTTTGACCAAGTCTGGTTTTTACTTCTGCCAAGTACCACAAATTTGAAGAATCGAAATTCGGCTGAAATTAATATCCATGAGATATGTGTTATTATCAAAATTGTCACATAAGAAAGGGATTATAAAATCATAAGAAAAAAGTTTTTCTCATAAGTTAATTTCAAAATACAAAAAGTTCCAGTGTTACCTTGATAAACTCAGCTTTTTGAAAGCACCTCAAAGCATCTTCGTATGTCGCCAATGGAACTGATCCGAACAGTGCCTTTACTATTGAAGCTTTCCATGATGGCAAATCTGCATATGTAAAATACCACACGCCTAAATTAATAAAGCTTCAAGGCTTCAAAAGGAAAAAGAATAACTCAACAGGAAGAATACTTCAACAACAAAATATAGTCTACGTTCACAAGCAACGTATATAATAAATACGAACCAAGTGCATGCCAAGTAGTCGCATCAGTAGAATTTAAATTAAGTGCTTTTTCTAGGTGTTTGCGGATTTCGAAAGATTGTCGAACTTGTTCTCTGGTACCTTCATGTTCTGATACATAACTTAGCACAATAGCATACCTAAACAAAGCTTACCAAAAAAAGACATATATTGTGAGAAATCTTTCATTTTCATGATCCCTCCTGTTATACCAATCATTGTATGTCAGGATACTATAAGCACCTCACACTATATAAAAATTAACAAACGTACTCATAAGGAATCCTTTTTCCCCTAACTAAACCTTGTATAATCAAAATCTTTAATCTTCTCTTTTTTTATTTCATTCAGTACTTCTGTTTCATGCAGAACTTATTTTTGCCAATATTCAAATGCAATAAATTTTTCACTATTCAGAAAGTTCACCAAGGAGTTAAAAAGAACTATCATCTGCTCAAATTGGAAGCAGTTGGAGAAATACTGTCAACCGGTAACCAATACAGCTATCAGAACTTGAACTCTCTTGCTTACAATTATTTCAGTATTTATGACTTGTGCAATCTGAAATAATTATGAACATATTATTGTTCATCTTGAACAACAATATCAATAACTTACCATTTATGAGCTTCCCAACAAGACCTTTCACCTTCATTATCAAGTGCTTTCTCAGCCATTTTCAGGGCATCATACATGAAGCGTTTTCTATCATCTTTGTCCTAAAAGATTTCTGAAGATGGAAAAATAAAAAAAAATCTCATTTATTATGCAATAATTATGAACGATAGAAACTGGTTACTGACCCTAAAGAACCTTGAATCCTTGCCAAGACAAAACTTAAAAGATAACCTTAGACATTTTCGCCTTTTCGCATAATACACGAGCCAATCGCCAAAGCATTTGTGGATCATTACCTGATGAAAATCTTAAAAAAGTTATACCAGATTGCATAAACAACAATTCTATTTCAGCAAAAAGTGACGAGAAATCTATTTTCAATAACAGACCTCCTTAAGACGTTGTATGCATTTTCGATCAAATAAACGCTGTACAGTGTATCAGCTTCTTGCTTGAAACGCTCTATTTTTGCTGTTTCCTCAGAGACACTGTCTTCTGACTTCTTGCTCAGAAATGGTACTAATGCGAAACCTGGACGGTATAAAGATGAGTGGATGGAAACTTGAATAAATAGAAAGATGTTTTCAAAACAATATTATAAACACTAAACTGGTTAACCATCTATTACTAGTGATGAATAATGCAACAAAATCACCTGTTGTCCCGGTAGCCGTAGCTAATACCAAAACTCGTCGTACTTTTTTATACGTATCGAATTTTCGTATCATTGTATTTCGTATACCCTGAAATAAGTAAAAATTTCCTGTCACTAAGTGAAGATGTCATTTATACAAATTTCAGAATTAACAAATGAAAACCGACCTTGGTCACCTGCATTCTACCACCAGCTAGCGGGAAAAGTCGTGATGGTCGCATTAACATTCTAGTCAACATGTGGCTAGAAATGAAGCTTTTTACATAATAACTGCAATATAAGAACTAGAGAATTTTGACGAATCAGATTAGCTCAGACCAATCCAAGATAAGTAAGTAATCATCAGTTGGTCTGGAAGTGACTTTCGAGATCCAAGATGAGTCACGAGAAATGCACTTTAACAACTATAAAGTTGCCCATCTCACCCACAGCTGAAGCCAAAGGAGTCGGAATATAGCACGGCCCAGTATCATCCCATAGCCTTCCAATGTCTCAGTGTTGTGAGACGGATATGTTTGGGATGCAGGGTGTCCCTCGTCGTGAACTTTCAACTCTGTTGTTTTGTTGTCATTTGGAACTAAAGTAAACTGTAACGTAAGGCACTCGTTACATGCATACGTTGTTTGTATTTTAAGAAGTGGTAACTTGTTATGTATGGTAGGTTCAACAATCAAGAATACGTAAGACGTTGGAAATGCAACATCTGTGCAACTTAAAATAGATTGTCATTCTTGCAGGAAAGTTCAAAACCTTTGAAATCTCTTTCTCTGTTTGAAAACATGTTGCGAATAATTTGTCACAGAAAATGAATGCTGTTCAGAGCTGCAATAATTTGAAAGATTGTGCAGAAAATGCATACAGCGTCACTCATAAAAGGTGTGGTCCGTCTTAAGCGAAGTTGCTCTTCATTGCAAATCTTAAGTCATGCGTTTGTGATAGCATGTATCAAAGAGTGTAAAGTTTACTTCATAACAGCTTTACAGCAATACAATTGATATTCTTGATCACCGTGTCAATAATGGTTAATTATCACTGATAGGCATGCTTATTCTATATAAACCATTTATGAAAATTAAGTTCTTTTCCAATAGTCAAGTCTTAACTAGTCTATAGAAGTTAGTGTATAAGTGAAACTGATCGGTACTCCTCCCCGCATATCTCTGCAAAAGAAGAACAAAGTTCCGATGGCCATCAAGCAGCGATATTTTGCACGACAGATGACGACTGCAGATGTATGCATCTCGATTATATCAAAAGGGCATAAATGTGTCATAACATATAGCTGTAGGCTTCAAGTTTTATCATTTCAGTAATAATGAAAGCCCCCAATTACTAAATTCATTTTGAATAAATGTAATATACGTAGGCAGTTTTTGTATCTTGAAGAATACTATACTATGGCACGAAATCAGAATACAAAAATGTAGAGAAACAGTAAGATTAATGCAATGTTCAAAGCTATCAATATGAACGTTGTCCGTACATTCCGTTGTGACACGATTTGTTGCAACAAATGAGACACTGGAAATAAATGTGTTTTTGAGTATTTTTTTGAAACACTAGAAATAAGTGAACTGTAAAAGAATTGAAAGAAGATAAAGAAAAAGAAATGTTTTAGAAAGATAAGCAGTTTGGAAATGTACTCATGTGTCTATCATCCTTCGTTCCCTTGTTGTGAACAAAAAACTCACCGTAATGTATAAGCCCAAGATTGCGCAACGTGAAATCTTCATTAGATCTATCTTTCAAATCCTGTGCTACTGAACGTGTTAGAGCTGTAGACCACAGACTGGAAACACTTTGTTCATTTTCAATTTTGTCTCCCACAAATCGTCGTCCATCTTCATGGTAAATAATTTGTCGTTTCTAGAATCATTTAATTTTTCAACAGCATTATCATTAAATGTTGAGTTAAGGATGAAGTGATTTGGAAAAAATTTTATTTCTAAACATAAAAAAAGATGTACTTTCAGGGCGTTATCGAAGTCTTATCTATAAAAAGAGATAAATCATTGATTTGAAGGGACAACATTCCAAAAATGCCCTAGGATTTCATAACAATACACAATTAGAGACATCAGAAGTTCTGAGTGCAATTCTGTAGCACTAATCAGATTCTCAATGCTAAAAAAAATATCATCACTCCAAGCAGTTTGATGCAAATTTCTTTCTCATGTTGCATATTTCAAAAAACAATCTGTTCAAACTTTGCTCAATCGCTTGCTTCTCTCAAAATTTTCGCACAAATCAATGACTTCAATTTCGCAAATAGCACAACAATGAGAAAATTTTTATCATAAGCCATCCCGCATGGCATATCCCTTTCAGTAAAGACTTTTACGGAATCTTCCAAAATCATAACACAGTTCAGCTCTCAAAATGATATTGTGATCGTTGCGTAACTGGAAATCTCAAGTCACCAGCCTTCACTTCTAATAAATGTAGAGAAACTGCGATATCGCATCGCACGGATAAATCTTTAATATTTCGAATCCCACATTTTCTAATTATGATTAGCAATTCGATAAATTAAAACCATGTTATTTCTTCATTACAAATACGTCATTATGATTTACACAGCATACCATGCGGGAAATCCGGAAACTCTCAACTTTAATAGCCACAAACTGCCTCCGAAATATCAAGTCTCAATGTTTTCATTTCTTTGTTTTCCTATTATGTTATCCATATAAGCAGAAGCAATTCCCACTGCAATATCATGAAAAATTCTCTTAATTTTATAAAAGGATCTCAACTGTTTCCACCAGCGGTGCCATACTGTCTTCACATCTAGTGAAAAAACAGCACCATCCATAAGGAAATTAAAATTAATTAACAGAGTGTGTGAAAATCCTGAATAGTGATTTCAAAACTTTATTACCAACAATTAAAACTAAAAATATTTACCACACAAAATATAGTAGTCTTAAAATTCTGTGAGGTCGCTAGGAAATACACTCACGAACCCACCTAGAAACCAACCGAATCTTAGTATTTAAGAATAATGAATCACTGGAAAAAAGACAGCTTACGGTATGACACGAGAACAAAGTTTTATTTCCTTTGGCCTTCTGGAATTCAGCCAACGACACTGGCTCAACTGGACCATTAAAAACATGTAGCATTGTTGCCGTGTAATTAGTAACAAATACTGCAAAAATCCTCTGTTCAAGATGAAAATAGATCAGGACTTGGCAAAAAATAATACCATAGATAATTTTAAGTAAAGGTAGGCGATTTAAAATTTTCTCCATATTCTTTTTTGGGTCTAACAGTTCTTAAAGAAGGTGGCAAACATTGCAGTTTAGACGTAGACTTCAAATATGAAACAATGTTAAAAATCGTGTCTGCAGTTGTTCGCTTTTCAATACAATTTACGGTTCAACAAATCTAATAGAGAAAAAATATGAAAAATAAAAAACAACGAAACTTTTAAAAATTAGGTTTTTAAAATGTCTTCATAAATTTATCACTGAAATCAAATCTACACATCTTAGAACCACTTCAAATTAACATAAAGATTTAAAATTAGATTCAGATGACAGAAAATAAAGGTGAATTTTAATGGATGCTAAAAAACTAAGGGAGCAAATGTGAATTTGTTAGGATGCTAGAAACTCTGAAATTAACCTGAACACATGTCTGTTTTCTTTTTGCTTTAACATTCTCTAGGTAAGCGAAGCACATACAAAAACATAAAATGCGCAATAAAGTTCAGAATTTCTTAAAAAAGTTTATAGAAAAAAAAATCTCTGAAAAGGCAATTTCCTACACATATTTAAAAAAAAAAACTGATAAAAACTGGTTAATAAGAAACGAAAATTTCTTCTCATATCAAGAAATCAAGAACATTTTCATGTTAAGATTAAAAAATCAGACTACCTTCTCCAATTTTACAAAGAAAGGGACTTTACACCTGTCGCAAAACTTTCTCAAGTTCACTCTAACCTGTAGAAACAAAAAAGGGAAAGAAGATACAAGAAAAAAACTCAACCCATCATAGAGACAGGAAACATTAATAACGACCGGTTTGGGTTGGGTATGAACCTCGATTTTCCTTACTCCTTTTGTCATTCTTCTCTCAAAGAAAAATAAAGAAAAATCATTCAATCAATAAATGTAGATGAGCAGAGTTGATTTAACCACTTTACTAAATTGCAATGTTACAGCTGAACTTCTATAGATGAAAAACATGATTTTGTGAACTCGAAAAGGAAATTAAAGGATAAGCAAGGGAACAAAATAGATAAAAGTAGGGTTACATAACTCGAACTGGCAATTAAATGTCTTCTGGACGAGTCGATTTAAGAACTGCAGGTTGTGGTACCGTGCCAAATATTCGTGAAAATTGTTCCATTGCATTTTTGGTCGCAGACACATAAAATACATCTCCTTCCACTTCCGTTTGAACTGAATAAGTTGGTAAATATATACATGGTATCAATAAATTCCTAATTGGTCAGCTTGAATATTAGTTTTTTCTAAGTTCAGAATTCATCGTTTTCAAACACATACTTTCTTTTAAATATCCTGAAAGTTAATTTCTGAATATGAACATGTTTCTTTTTTCAACAAATCTTTTTATATATTCGCCAAACACAGCACTCAACCACTATTTTTTAATATTATCTTAAATTGAAATACATGATGGATTCTTCCAAAGAAATGCAGTGCGATAGAAATTACTAGAATATTGAACATAGAATTCAACCACTTTATATGTATTTTTCTTTCAATATTTTCATATATTCATTATTTCATATATTCGCCTACATCTTATGTTTCTCTTTTCAATAAATGTTTATCCAACTTCACAATTCCATCCAAAATATGCCTTCACCGTTACAAAATTGTAAATTACTTATTTTGAATGGGAGAAGCACACTATGAATCAATCTATTCGTCATAAGCAAAATAAATCTTATAATTAGAAAAGCAAGCGACATTTAATGCAAAAAACTAAACCTGATCAACCAATATAGAAAAACATGATCAATTTTCGCAAACTACCAACCTTGATAAGGTTCCCTTAAAATTTGCAACAGCTAAAACTTAGCATCGTGTAGAAACTAGCTATTCTTATAATTTAATTGAAATGAGTTGAAATGATATTTTAAAATTAACAGACAACCTGACTTTTTGAATAATGGAATATAATGGGGTTCAAATTCACCATTTTCAAACACAGATCTTCTTTTGAATGTCCTAGAAGTTAACTTTTGAATACGAATGCAACTACATAGTTCCAATATTCGAATCATTTCCAGCAACATTCGTGGTTGCAGAACATATGCGAACTGTCTTTTCAATTCATCAATAGGACATCCAGGACGACCAATGATTGAGAACAAGACACCTTCTGCCATCCACCTTAAAATGAAAAGCTTCAACTTACTGCCAATCTTATGTATTTACAGACAACTATTCTTCTGCTAAACCGTTTTAGCAAGATCAACAAAATGAAACTAAGAGAATGAAGATAATAAAACACTTTCCAAAATGAGAAAATATTACGATTCGAAATTAAATTAAAAAAGTTCTTGAAACTAATCCTATTGCAAATTTCGTTCGAAAATCTTTAGAACAAGTTACGAAACACGTACCTCACAGCAGGTGCATAAATTTCACCACATGGAGTAAACCAAGGAGCTGGAACATAGACAAGCTTCCCATAAGGAACAAGCCAACAGTCACTGTAAGCTGGGAGTACATACCTTACCGTATCAACACCAACAGTTATCAACTGTGAATCTTCTACCATTTGTTGCACAGCCAAACTTACCACTGAACCAGTGTTTTTTAAAACTATCTGAAATTAAAAAGTAAACGGAAGATAATTTCTAGAGGAACTGCAATGCGATAAAAATTACAGTAACTAGAATATTGAAAATATACTTCAAAATTCAAAACTATGACCAGAAAATTCCCGACACTGCGAGAACTCTCAAAGCCGGAATTTAATCTCTTTTCTCAAAATCTGATCACCTTTAAACTTTTTGATTTCAAATACTCACTGTTAACTCTTCAATCGACATCCCAATAAATTTCGATTCCTTTATTGCTGTGTGAATTCGACGCAAAAATGAACGTGAGAAAGTCGATTGTAACATTAAATAATCATCAAAATTTGCGTTTCTTATCATTTCTAACGAGTAAATCTGCTTTAGTGAATCTAAAATCTGCTGCAAATCAGGAATATCACACAGTGTGTAATCTCCTTCGGGTTTCACAGTTATCCGTTCCAAATGCAAATCTGCCGACTCCAAATACCGTAGCTGTTTAGTAGCGTTCACGATTTGCTTAAAATTAACATAATTTATAAACATAATTTAAAAATGTAGATTAGAACAAATTTGCAACAATTTTCAAACAATAATAATATACAATACCAGTTTACTAGTTCATGGAATATATTTGAGACCATCTTAGAAATTATAAGAGTGAACAGTAATTAAGAAAATGACTACTCTCTTGAACAAGTTGGTTGGTTAGCCATCGAAACTATAAGAGAAGTCAATAATAAAAATAAATAAAAAAAAACAACAATGTACCGTAAGGGAGAAAAATATGATGCTGATTTTCACATTCTCATTATTTACCTCAATAAGTGAAGCCTGTAACCATAAAATTGTAACTCACTTCTTGAGAAGACGCATCGAAACATTCCAATACATTATCATCCATAATTATTTTCAGCGCAGGCTAAAAAATTTAATTAAGAAAAAAAAAAAAGGCATATTTTAGTAACCGGTTTCAACAGCACAGTAAGATTCAGAATACAAAGTTTCCAGTTAAAAACGATGATACGTTAAGAAGAATGTTCCTGCAGCGGTAAACGAAACAGTTACTTCTAAAGATTTCAGTAATGTCAATTTCACAAAATTTTAAATTATGGAAAAATAAGTATTTCAGTTACTCCTGCATAGAAGCATCTAGTAACAGCTGCAACAGTGCCAGCACTATCATCATCGGCCGAAAATTCTGTGCCACGTTCCATTTCTTCGCTGGATCCAATAAGTTGTTCTAACATGTCCGGATGGAAACGATGATTAAAAAAGTGTCGAAAGCTATAAAATAATTTTCATTTTTTGATGCTAAATTTCATTACCAATAAAGATACTAAATATACACCTACCACTAAAATTATTCAAATTTACTTGAATGATAATGTTGCTTGGCTTTTCCAAGAAAATTTTGAATCTTCAATAGGGAATCTTTGTCTGGTGATAAGGCCATCAATACGAAGCTGTTCGAGTATCCGTGTAACAGCTGGAACTCCCAACTTCTCAAAAATATACTCCATACTTTTATTTGTTAAATCCTGCTCACTTATCAAAGCCCCCTGAAAATACGCTTTGAATATTTTGAAATATTTGAACTGCTAAAAAAGAATTGTTCTAACGATTCGCATTCTCCAGAACTCAATCATTTAAGATTTGCTCCTTTAAAAACTTTCATTAAAATTTTTAAAAAATCATTTCTACCAGAGAAACCAAGTAGCAAAATAATTTAAAAATTGAATCCATACTACCCCAAAAGTTTTGTTGTGGGAATAGTTTGTCTTCTGAAATAAAAAATACAACAAGGTAATTATTATAAGAACTGCGTACCACAACAACGTTGAAAGCAACGCAGTGACGGATCTGATTTGGATCCTTCGGTTTCTGCGATCGTATCGGAACTGCTAAAGTTCTTTGCACTTCTGTTGATATGTTTATTTTACCAATGTTTATAAATTTTTCGAATGATTCATCATCCTCGCTAGTTTTTGGTAATTTTTCCGATTCCCTTAAACATATAAACTCACAGTTCTTAATGGGATTAGATTCCAATTAAAACCTTTGATCAGTTTTTTGAATTTTTTGAAAAACTATATTTGCTTTTGAAAAAAAATTATATATGAAAAGAAGAAAACTGAATTACATAAATAACAATTGTTTCGCCTTATTGAAAGCCTCAATAAAAAATTTCTTCTTCAAAGCTGAATCCGAAATTGGATGAAAAGCAAGCTGGCTTCTTAAGGCCCTCATTTCCTGAAAACTTCCTGCATCATTTCGAAACCAAAAATATCAAACCTATTAGCAACATTTCATTTTTGAGAAAATACAATACGAATAAAACCAAACCTTGAATGAAGACAAATTTTTGACAATCCGCTGCAAATATGTTACACGTTCAGCTCGCTTCATTTCACGAACTCCAGCTGCCATTAAACTCTGCACTGTTTTGGAACGCGCTTCCTAAAACGTCAAAAAATATAGGGGAAAGAACATCTAAACTGTTTCATTGCTAATTCAATTGTTACAGCAAACAAATATTTGCAAAAAACCGTTCTAAACGACTTGAGCAGTAGCGGTGTAAATAACACTAAAATCATTGTAAATAAATAGTACTTGAACATTTTCATGCATAATATCTCGCAGAACAGCAGGTTCCAACCAAAAGCGATACATCGGATTCAAAAAGAAGCCAACAGCCCGAATAAGGATCAACTGGAAATGAAATTCTTACAAGTCGAAATGACATATTCATTGTATTGCTTTCGTATAAAGAAAAAATTTCAATTAAAAACATAAAAATTTTTATAAAAATTACCATATTGCGTTCCAGTGAAGTAAATCTGTTTCTCAGATGTACACGGCGTTGCTCTGAAATAATGTCAACTTCATCATATGGACGCTTCTTCTTTCCTTTAAATGACTTCGAACTATAATAGCTACTTTTACGACCAAGGGAACCAGGATTTGCTCGTACCAATGCATGATTGTCACTTGCTGTTCTATAAAAAAACATAAGTTTACTTAAAGTTTGGATGTCTTACCAAACTCAATCCCAATTTATCAAGCGAGGAAATTATGAATAGTTTTTTAGTTTTTCTTTAAAGCCACTAAATAAAAAAAAAAAAGAAGGCATAAAGAAAACGAAAGACAATCAATTCTTTGTCTACCTTGTTACAATGAAACATGGATAATCAATTAGTTTTTGCTTTTTTAATTGATAAGAAAACTTTCTGGAATAGAAATAAAAGTTTAAGATAACACATTTTTTCAGAGAGACTGGAGAGAAAACATGAACTGGAAACTCGCACCTTCGAAAGATGCCACTATCTGATGGTACTAAAGCTCTGAAATAAGAATTCCACGAATTCTGATAATTCTTTACTCGCGATTCAACAAACGACTTCGTTTTTTCAGTTGCTCGGCGCCATTCATGCAAAAACCAGCTAACAAATTCAATCGGTCGAGGATTGATGTCCCAGTGTCTTCTCAAATGTCTGCAAAAGCATAGGTGATACAATTAAAATCATGCTGAAACAAATCAACTAAATAGAACTTCATAAATGATGATGCTACTGAAACAAGTTGCGAGGCTGCGCATTGCACATTATATTACATTTAATAATGACTGTTTATGTTTTATTAGATGGAAGAAAAACAATAAAAGATTGTTTTTTTCTAAGTGTTATCCAGCCTTTACTGAAACTCAGCTCATACTTCCCATCGACCATATATTAATGAATTCAGTCCTATTTATAATTTTCCGCTATGCCCATCTAAAGGAATGAACTTACATAAAAAAAGAGGAGTCAAAACCTGCGCAGCCATCATGAGGCAAAACAGGTGAAAAAGTTGCGCATACATCTTCAAAAGGTTTTACAATTTGAGACCGGTCGAACATTCCAATTGTATATTTCTTGTACATCCGCACATCTTCCTGCTGAAAATTACACAAACTATGTTCTGCAGTTTAGCAAGAGAACTGGAAATGAATTTAATGAACGCGTAACTACAGACTCGATGCTATTTTGATTCTTTTTTTTTACTTCATGTATGTTTTAAGTGCAAAAACCTGCTACAGATTTATAGAAATTTATTCAGTTTAGAAAAATACTTCAGCGCTCTAAAATTTGGAGTGAAGCATAAAAACTCAACAGGACGTTTCGCCGAAAAATCAGAAGCGCTGATGGATTTGACAAAAGCACTGATAGAACCAAATGCAAGGCAAAATCGAGGAAAAAAGAAAAATTAACCGATGTTTCCATTCTGAATGATAATGGTGTGCTTTGCACAATTGCTCGCAGATGATGCCAATAATAGATTACATCCTATAAATGACTGAATTTAAGAATTAAAAAAATGTATCAAAAATAGTGCTTTAATTCTATCGTTAGTATAAGAAAATGACTGAAATATGAAATTTGGATTTGAACCTATCAATTCCTTGCATTTTACTTGGAAAATCATTAAAAATTTTCCAAACATACATCCAATGTGTCGAATATATATTCATATTTGGTGTACTGATCGATTGGCATTGATACACGGCAGTATCCCTTCTGTGAAGTACTCGTATCGCGTAAATAACCACCACGAGCCAGGTAGAAGTATTGCTAAAGAATGAGGAAGCTTAGAGGTTCCAGCATAGATTACAGTTCAAATTTTTTTTAAAAAAAGAACTTACCAGTTCTGTATTTATTACTTTTTTGGCATCTACAGTCGGACCAACTCTCGCCAATCCGAAACCACACAACGTAAGCAAAATGTGCTCCAGCTAAGAAATCAAAGACTGAGAAGTTGCGGTTATAATTAAACACACTTATGAGAACTTAAGTTCAAACTATTAGCAGTAATGCAAAATAACAAGCACTGATTAATAATACAGATAAAAATACATTGGTTACTCATATGCTTCTAAATTTTTATGTTATCATACCTGCAGAACGGCTTTTTTATTACTCAACAATTTCACACGTATATTTATTGGAAGATCACTAATTAACATATGACGTAAAACTGGATCCTTCAAATAGGATTCGATTACTTCCACCTACAATTAATTCAATATGATCAATAATAATGATCTGATTGATCGATTTTTTTGTGAAGATTAGAAAATAAAGGATAAAAATGTGAAAACGAAAATTTTATAGGGAATTTTAAAATTAAGTTACCTTATTTTTCATATTCACAAACAACACATAGATCGATAATGGCAATACATTTATCAAATCTTGTAATAAGAACCATCCATGTGGCAAATCCTGATGCGAGGGTATCGGTGGCACGAAACGATATGGGGATTCATCATCCACATAAACCGGACACTGGCTGACTGGCATTCCTGGTCCAGGCGCTTGACAAGGTGGAAATCTATATGTACCAATATAAGCAAACAATGGAAATCAATAAATAAATTAGTAAATCAATGGGAAAATCTATAATTTCCCCAAAGAAATCCTCATTTGGAAATTAGCAAACTGAATATTATGCTAAATACTAACTGGTGTTGGTATTTTCACAATTTTATAAGTCACCTTATTTTATTAGAACTGTTAGTTAGTTATAACAAATATAAACGTGAAATTGTTATGCTGAATACAAACTGAATATTATGCTAAATACTAACTGGTGTTAGTATTTTCACAATTTTATAAGTCACCTTATTTTATTAGAACTGTTAGTTAGTTATAACAAATATAAACGTGAAATTGTTATGCTGAATACTGTCGTAAAAAACATAGATTTAAAACTGCGCGTACTCCAGTATATCCAAAATATAATGTAAAATTTTAAATTTATTTTCAAATGTAGTTAAAAATTTTTCACTCAGTATATAAAAATACTCGGAGCTCAAGTTACATATTCATATAAAGAGAATATATAATTTCATCTTTAGAAAATTGATATTAAGTTCCAAAATCCAATTTAATAAATTCTTCATATGTATGATCCATATATTAAAGAATTTACATGGAAAGTAAAGTGCTTACATAGCAGCATCAATAAGAGACAAGTTATGAAAGTACAGTTGCAGTGGTAATAACAATCCAAAACAATGAAAATCCATTTACCTCTCCCATACATTTGGCTTTGTTCCTTGCGGCAATCCGTACAAGCAATGCCAGGCTAACTGATGTATTATACAACATCGAATCATTTTATTTTGTTGACCATACATATCACTGAGTAATCGAGTGTTCAATAGTAACTTTTCACTAGTTGAACTACTTTCATCCACTGAAACTGCATTTTCACCTCTACATTCAGTCTGTGGGAGAATGATTCCTGTTTCACAGTTGATATCCGGCGGTTGAAATCCGAAGTGAGTTCCTACAGTATTCTGTAAACACATGCAAATTTAACACTAATGAAAAACAAAATAAAATATACAAGAAAGCTACAGGAGAAGAAAATCACAACTTGTCATATAATTTTTTGAGATAATTTTCAACGGAAAGCAACTTGATTCTATTCCGGCAAAAAATATAAACATTAGCGTTGGTGAAAGCTTAACTTATTTATTTCAAAAAAAATTTGAAAACATCAAACTTTCATCCTGAACTAAACCTGCTTCTTTTCAAAGGAAGTGATATTCCCGGTTCAACTTATGCTTTTGAAATTCTGGATAAACTTTTAGCCCATTGTTAGCCAAAAACAAAATAAAATAGGAAATACATTTGAAATAAGTGTTTGAAAAAATCGAATTTTCAAATATATTCACAGCACATTTTTCTTTTTTTTTTTTTCAAAATTTTAATATTTCTTTTTATAAGTTGAATGAGCCAAACATTTGATCACAAGCCTCCTTCATAATTGGTTTTAATAAACAGAGCCTTAAGCTCAATAGACAAATTTCCTAGTATGTTAACAAATATCCAAGAAAAGTTATAAAAGAAATACTTCATCATAAACAAATGCATTTCTTGAGACACTAAAAAAGCTATTATTAGTAATTCTGCTGCCAATACAACAAATGTAAGACGAGTAAATTTCATACATAACATTGTTGCTCAGGAAAAATGATAGATAAGCGTCGCATCATTTGCAATCGAAACATTGCCAATCTTTTATCAACCGTCATTTCTTTTAAACTGTCATTTTCAAGGATTTCCTGCAGTATCATTCATTAGATTATGTCAATCGATGACACTGCAACCAACAATTTTTTTCACGAGGACTTTTATTATTTTTGACGTGTCATAATTATTATTTCCACACAAGTTCATTACCCTTCATAAATTACGATTTTCACTAACTGAACACGCTTATAAAGGAAAAAAAAAAAAGGAAGAAAAACTATCCACTTTGAAATTAGTCATTTATAACATATCTCGCAAATGACAGTCAATACTGTTTTCAACGTGATTAGGAGGCAAATTTGGAAATGAAGGACAATTAGATGTGTGACATTTATAACAAAAACGGAAGTAGCGTATTTTTACGATATTAATTTTGTTAAAAAATGTATAAGAAAAAGTACTTACAGCATCTTCCAAGGTGAAATCAGATGATTTCTCACCGTCTTTCTCTGATTTCTTATGACTGAGTCTGCAAAATGATTTTCTAAACTTCCTTACCTTTTTAATTTAACATTGTGCTATAAATTACTATATGCATAAACAATTTGAAAAAAAAAAAATTCTTTACCAAAGGTTTGCACATATAGCGAGCCTTTGGTAAACAGCATTTGAACAGCACTCGAAAATGCATTTAGTATTTGAAAATTTTTGAGTGAAACTTCAGCTTGTTTAACATGCAAAGAACAAAGTGGACAAAAAGAAAAAATTGAACTGAAAAAAAAAAAAAGACAAGAAACAGCAAAAATAATAGTGGATATTTCCAAATAACTGGAGCAGTAAATCTGCAAAACTCATGCATCCCTTATAACAAACCTCAACTGCCCATGTGGAAATACACGTCCCCTTTCATTATATTCACTAATCGTTACGCGGATAGCTGCTTCCACTTCTGGATGTGACGCTTTAGCTATGTCACTTTCAGTGATAACCAAAATCTAAAATTGAAACATATTTTATTCAATTTATATAGGAAATATCTTTTAATCAATTCAAAATTCAATGGTATTTACGTGTCCAAGTGCTTCTACCAATCACTTCGTCTCCTCATTTAAATAATGAAATTTAAATTGTGGAAGTGATGTCCACGTTATTTAAAAAACAACACACTAACAAAGTAAAGATTTACTTTATTCGATCGAAATTCCTCAACAACAACGGTCTGGAACATGTGTAGATAGCCCTTCTTTTCAAGTGCTTTCAAACATTTCAACAAAGACTTTTTATCAATCTAAATGATAGAAAAAATTAGTTGTTGCAAAAAAATATACAACGCGATAAGACGTTTGCATAAGGAAAAATAGAAAATTTAAAAAATTTTTAACTCGTTTTGTTTTCTTGAGGATAAACTGAAGCAGTTTCAAATACTACTATATTCATATATTTATTTTCAACAGAAAAAAACTTTTAGTAGTCGAAGAATACATAAAACACCTGATAGCGAAGACCATATCCAAGTTCTATATCTGTGATAATTTTCATAAAATGATGAATTGTTACAATAACACGATGTTCCTTCAGAACTTTCATTATATCAATTAATCGTCGCAATGAAACATCACTCATTCGTAGAGTGCCTGAATCAATGTGAACAACTGGCTTAAAAATTTTTAATCTTAGTATAAAATTCTTTTTAAAAAATAGAATTTGACTATTACTTTAATTTAAAACAGGCACATTTTAAAAACGTACTCAAATTAGTATTCGGAAACTTCAGAACTTCGCCAATCCTAAACGGACAATCATCACCGACCACCTCTTTCCAGTTTTTAAAAAGATAAATGAAACTCTCTGGATGAGCAGCTACTTTCCAGTAATACCTGGAAAAGAAGTCTTAAGTATTACATAATATAAATATTTCCGTATCAATATTTAGAATAAAAATTTCACTTTATGCATCTGATTTTGCCTTCCATTTTCTGATATTGTCCAAAATGATCAGGAAATGATTTTATTCCATTCACGATATTTGCTGAGACTCGACGATTTCCAGCTTTCGCCCTTGTATCCATTCCATAAGTTTTTCCGATTTCATAACGTCCTATGCCTTCAGAACCAGACTGCCGTATTGCTGCCAGTGTCAGATCGAACGGAGTACGATATAGAAACAGTGGCGACCACTCACCTTCTTTGTATGGAAGGTAAGCATTTTCTGAACATTAGATCACTTTTTAAAAAGTGAAGCAAATGTAAAACTATCAAATTTATAAGATCCTCTAAAGAATCACATTGTTTCTCCCTGTGCAATGTATCCGATTGGTTGAAATATAAAATATCACCTCAAATTTTGAATTATTTCATCAACTTACTATTATTGATGTTCAGAAGGCAACGATATGCTTTAGATGTGCAAGCTTCGTGAACGTCCTAAAATGAAAGAAGTGCTAGTATTCATTTTTATAAACTTACTCGCAAATTTTGCTACATATTTTTATAGTTCGACATTTAATCTTACAAACATGAAAAATGTAAAACAGAACTGAATGTACGGATAAGGAAATGTTACAGATGTATTTATTGGACTGGATACACTATCAAGCACATCTCCAGCCTCATTCTCTTGAATACTGATGATTTCCACTTCATCAAGAAGCTCTATCCTGCTTTTTCGCTTTCGATTAATCTTTGTAACAGAAGCCATATTTCTTAAATCTGAAACTGAAAACAAACAACGAGATGATATTTATATGTTTAAGCAGTTGAAAGACTAGGAGCAAAGAAAGATCTGCACGATATCCGTAAAATATCTATCATAAAGTCCATTCATGCAAATTTACTACACTAAAACTTCAGCTGAACTTTCATGTATGGAATACGTTACCTAGCTTCACTTCTAAGTTTGCTAATACTGAAACAGAAATAGAAACTAGTCATAACTGAAACAGGGGAAAGAATTGACACTGACATAATAATTTATTTTCGTGTTATGCAAAAGTACCAACAATGCAATTTTGGAAAAACTTCGGAAAATAGGCAAATTCTTGCTCACAAATTTATGGTAAATTATAGCTCATACAACATCATCTGGATCCATGATGGTATCGAGAAATGATTTAATACAATTCGGGAAGCTGGTCTAATTATGATATTAGCATGCCATTTTCAACAAAAAGTTGAAAAGAATAGAAAATCAAACTAGAAAACCAACTTCAGCGTAATAATTCTAACATCATCAATAGTCGAAACAAAACTTTATCAAAAAATTGACGCCATACAAAATTCACTGCAATTCAAACTTAATTACATGCAAAATTAAAATATTTCAAAAAAGGAAAAAAGCGAAAGCTTTAAAAGTAATGGAAGCATTCTTTTCGCTAACCGCTCTAAAATGATAAAACGAAATGAAATGTAAACATGCATGGAAAACACAAAGCATAATATAGAGTTTCTCTCCCATATTAATATCGGAACTGTAAAAGACTGATTAAAAAGAAAATCCGAATTAAGTGAAAACCTTTTCATTAACTGACTCATCTGAATAAATTTCAACAGTACAGTTTATTACAAAAAATCTACATTTATCAAGGAAATGACAAATAAACAGATAAGGAAATGCTAGGATCACATTAAGACGCAACAAAGAAGGTTTAATTTCTCACCAAAATTCTGAATTCACTGGTAACAAAAACTATACATAGCATAGCACCATTTGAAAATAAAACGGAATTAGGGAAAATTATTACTGCTTAACAGGCAAAGTGCCTAGGTTTGAATAATAATCCAATCTGTACAGTTTTTATATTCAAGAATACAGTCAAGGACTTGATTTATGCTCAAGTAATAAAGAAATTACCATTTGCTCTGATATAAAAATATTTTTGAGTTAACATGAATTTGAATGTTACTGTCAAAAAAGGAATTTACAATGATTAACTATTTTTTTTCTTCTTCTTTGAAAAAAAAAAAAAAGAAAAGAAAAGAAAAAAAAGAAAATACTAGTAGAGTATTTTCTTTCTTTTCCCGTACGTTATCTTTCATTTTTCGCTCTTCTGAAGACTAGAAGATAACCAATCTCACTTTTAACAACTCTAACTGTATGCAAAAAATAACTGATAAAAAAAATAACATTCAGAATTTCCACCATTCAAATACATATTTACATCAGAAATTTATGTTTAGAACTTCCAAAAACTTCACTTATGGAATGTTTATTATAAGGAATGTAAATGTACATCATACAATCGATACATTGCTAGCACCTGCATTATCTGGCGTTATTCCACTATGCTTCATTGTTAAGGTTTGTTTAGAAATCCTTACACGTTCTGTGATTATTTCACGGCATAGTGGGCAAAGTTCAATCTGTCCGGAGCAAGAGTAACAAATTCCGCTAGAAATAACATTGAATGACTTCCACACATGATAAATACTTATTGTCCTTCAGCAACTTCCAAGAGATATAAAATTTAAAATCTTTAAATAAAGAACGAGGCCCCGTAGATCTTACCCATGTTGGCATGGCCTTAAAACAGTGTCAATCGAATTCGCATAACATAAAGTGCATGCATCATCTGCTATAGATATTTGTGTCAGGAGTTCAATTCTTCGTTGCCTGCAGTAAAACAGCATGGACTGAACGCTATAAAAATAACGCATGAAAAGGAAACAAATTTCAAATGAAAGGTTACGAAATATTAAATTAAATGATTTAATTTATATAGCTGCACTCAGTTTCTGATGTCATCTTTGCTGTAGATATATCTTAAATTCTGTACAACATGAAAAAAAGTACAGACCGTGGGACGATAGTTTTTTGCTCCGAGAAGAGAGTGCCGTTATCATTGAAAGTTTTAAATGATATATCTGGAGGAAACCTAAAATTTCACATATTTTAAAGCATAATAAAGTTTCGGAAATTGATTCCAATTAGACCAGTGGATCAGAGAACGCAGAGACCATACTTCAATACACTGCGTAAACCAAACTTATTTCGAGAAACATATATAAAAAATTTCTGCAGAAAAATTCAAAGAAAATATTTGCATTTTCAATTAAACAACTAACTTGAACGGCTCCAAACCAAAATTGAAACGACACTGTTGAAAGCTCATAAACGAGGCGGCTGCAAAAAATCCCGAACTTTTATTCCGCCTGTCGAGAAAGGCACGATGCGGTTGACGAAGCGATAAACCATTAAGATAAAACTGCACGTAGCCATCCTGCAGATTCAGTAAGCAACCAAGAACGTCACCTACAAGTGAACCAGCATGAAATGAAGTCGTGAAAAAAAATTGAATCTAATTTATACTACCGATAAATCAATCCAGTTCAGCCTAGAATTCGATGTAGTCATTAAAGACCGGAATTTGTTATTACAACTTAATTTATTTGACTTAAATTTCAAAAAAAAAAAAAAAAAAAAAAACGAAAAGCAGCAAGGTACGTAAAAGGTGATAAGTCCATATAGCACAGTGAAAGAGAGCTAGAATGTTTTCAAAGAAGTTTTTGCAAACCATCGATAACGTAATTAAAATTAAATAATAGTGAGTCTTAATATTAAGGGTATTATTCCTCCGCAATATTTCTTAGGAAGAGGAAGCCTTTCAGATAATTCGTGTACACACTAAGTTATAATGTTCACAACAAAACATCCATAATTAAATAATAAAATTTTTCATAACAAAATTTCCTTTTTTCCAAAAAGTTTTACCAGCTTTCCAGTGATCATGCTCGATTTTCATGAAATCTGCATTATACCAGATTAGTTGTCGACAACCATCGTATGCTATTGAACAATCATCGTCACCAATTCCGTAACCTTCCTAACAGTGAAAAATGTCAGAACTTTTAACCTAGCCGACTAGTTCTAATCACATAATTACTTGACAACCCTTCAACGAAAACCAGTGTATTGGTTACATTTTAGAAAGAACATACGTGATTTGAAAAACGACTCTGCTTCGTAGCAAAGCCAATTTGCATAACACCGGGAGTTAGAATTAATGCTTCATAAAACCAAATCCCATGTGTAGCTTCAAAAGTACACCGAACTGATTCAAATGATGAAACATCACATCGTGCCTACAAAAACAATCATATAAATTGGAAACTAATTGGTTCTAATCATGCTGGAAAATGAAAAAATATAAGCTATCACTATTTCCTGTCTAACAATTAAAACTTTATGCATTTGCATCCACATCAGAAATGTTCGTAATAGCATTCAGCCATTATGAACATTTGCAGTAAGTCACTATGAAGTAAACAGTAGTTACCTCTAAGCCGTTAGGACCAATTTTCAGATATTCACTGACATCCTTATGATTTAACATAGCATTGATGTCATCAACATTCATAATCATATATGAGGGAATACGGTTCTCGATCACAACTATAAATTTCGATGATCGTAAAGTTAGCACTACGACAACAATTTTTGTCTGTCATAAATTTCTATCGCGATCTGATAGATATATTTTCATGTTTTATTTCAAAGCGCTAATCCATTCATTTCAAACAAACAAAAGTTAAAACATGACGCTTATATGAAGTGTTTAAAATTTTTTTGATGGAGATAAAGATGCATTACGTTAAAAGTGACACAGGATGACTTCAGTCTAACTTACCTTTTCTGATGCAAAAAATTCTCGTGAGCAAAGAAGTAAAAGTATAATAAGTGTCCTCTTTTCTTCTTAATGTTTCAACAAAAATACTCACAGACATTGTCCAATGTCCACTGAGCACAAAATGCAACTTGCTGTTTCAGCCAATCATTCTCAATCCTTGGATCGTCCAGCCATGATTCTAGGACCTGCAAGAGCAAGAAAGTTGGGACCTGTAGTCATATGAGTCCATTTGAACCACCTTATTGTGTATTCTACTTTATAATCCCTGCAGAAATTATTATGTGTCCTCAAAATAAGAGATGTATATTATAAAAATAAGAGAACTCTATTAAAATGAATACCACTAAATTTTACAAATTAATCTTACTAGTAATGGATTCCGTTCCATCTGTTCCAATCGCCGACATATTGTTAATCTATTTTCGCTCGTTTGAGCGAATTTTTCCAGAGCAATCATTGAAAAAAGAATGATTTGTGGGTCGCCCGTAGGTTCCTTTAAAAGCCTTGCTTGAAAAAAATATATATAGGAAAAAGAAAAGGGAACTGGATGATATGCAAATCCTTCAACAAGTGAGAAAAAAAGAACGTATTTCACACTTTGTTGAATAATGAAAGAAAAATAAACAAATCACACCGTTTTGGTATTCAACATTATTTATGAACACTATTAAGATTGATTGCTGAACATAGGAAATACACTTCAAAAAACACAAGATACCCATAACTGTTTTACTACTTATCATATTGTCAGAAATTATAAAAGTATAGGAAAAACTTATTGGAAAACTTACAAGATTATAGATAAGGTAATTAAGGGTAGTGTTTGTACAAATCTGTATGCAGCTTGGTCCAGCTAACTTTTCAGCAAGAGACCCAAGTACAATACATATATTGCGATGGCGAGAAGATTGATCTTTATGATTTGATAAATGTGATAATTCTAAGTGCATATGACGTGTAAGTAAGCGCGTTATTGTTTCCTACAATAAATCTTATATAAAATAAGTTGGGAAGAGTGATGAAGGCGGAATTGAAGGCGTCTGTACTCACAATCTTTACAAAATTGAGAATGTAAAAATATCAAAAATCCAAAACAAAAACTTGGTTCGTATTATCTCCGTCCGTCTTCAGTGTGAATTTGCTACCTTTCGTATATATATGATACTTTGAATGCAAATAAGGATTTATTTGTATCTTCTTACACAAGTTTTTCATACAAGCTGTTGTAATTAGAAACCAGTAATGCTTCGTATTTTAAATATCAAATTGAAGTTAAGATCAACCCTTGTAGGCAGTGGACTTTCATCGAGGAAAAGAGTGATAACAGCAGGGCCAAGTGGTTCCTCAATAGGAATAACATCAATTAGGCACATGACGACCATTATCCAACCACCTTCTTTATCAGCAATCAAATTCAGTTTCAGCAATTGTGTAGGTGGCTCCTGATCACTGAAAAACTTGTTGTTTGGAAATATTCCCAAATCATTTCAACAATTCTTGAAATGGTCAGAAATTTTAATTAAATACATCTACATAACATTACCTGCCAACAAATACCATTCTTGCTGAAAAAATATCTTGCATATGCCTTCGTACAACTTGTTCAAATATTTTTAAGAGAAAAAAACGGTAACTTACTTGCTTACCAGGTACCGTATCATCTTTAAAGTTTGCCATATCAGATCTCTTACATCAGATTCAACGTCTTCAGTAGCTACGGTGCTAACTAAAACTAGAATCTTATTTCATATGAAAAGCAGCTTTTAAAAACATTCCCCAAATTGTATATCATCAATGTATGTTTGGAATGATGCAGTCTATTAAAATGGAAAAATAAACAAAAAATAACGTTACCGTCGACACTGTGAAAAGATGGTGCTCGAATTGCACGAGTTACAATTTGCGTTCGGGATGCCAGATGTCTTCGTACTTGTCGAGCTGCATCACTGCATGCATCTTCACTAATATCGTTAATATGGAAGTGCTGTCTTCCGCTTCCATTACGTCCTGAAGATGATCGTTTCCTTTTGCAAAGGCATGCCCCCATCTATTAACTACTTCAAAATTATTCCTAAAATCAAGTTTCTAGAAGTAAAAAATGTGAAAATCAAGGGCTTCAAAATGCTGACACACTTGCTTCAAGGCACATAAAGAGCACATAAAGATATGAGAAGAATAAGGGTTTGAAGAAATTAATCGCCGTAAAACTAGTATAAAAAATAGCTTTCAATTAGGAAAAATAAAACAAATTTCAGGAAATCTCATTATGGTTAGTGATTTCATTATACTGGATTGAATAGACAACGGTGAAAAAGGGAAAACAAAACTCATATAATATGTGGCCTATTTCATAACGGATTGACGGTGAACAAAATTACTACTATTTTAATGATTAAAAATAACTCAAACTTACTATCTGTCAAGCATTATGTACAGTAGAAGTAGGAAAAATCAACTCATGCATTTTTCTAACCTTCACATAATATATAAAAACTAGAATAATTTAAAAAGTTTTGCATGCTCAATGACAAAAAAATCAATTAATTAGCAGACAACACAAATAGTAGAATAGTAGAAATCCTTTTTAGCCATGAACTTTCCACATTTTAAAAATCCTTTCTTGACACATGAAAAGATTCAACATTCAAACTTTACATGAACGCTGCCAAGCTTTTAATGATTTGCATAACCAAGAAAAAATTACTATTTAAAAAAATACATGTAAAAAGAAAAAAATCTGTGCAAGCAATCTTTAACGAATAGATAATTAAAATGATGGGAAAATAGGAGAGGAAATGCAATTTTTACTAGCAAATGATAAACTGAATTTTCAAAAACTTTAAATCAAAAAACTGCCAAGTAAAGATGTTCGATTAACTAATTTATTCTCCCCGTTTTATAGAAGATGGATCTTCTTTTAAGGAATGAGAAAATTGAGAACATATTGCATCTTTTGAACTTTTACGCATCATCCAACACCTATTTGTGTATTCTATAAGACCTTTCATTGATAGCAATACTACAACTTTTACTAAAAAAAAAAAATATTTTCTCGCATGATGAGCATTGAATGCTTTCAAAATAAAGAGAACAAAAGCTTACACCAAGCTTCGGTCTAAATATCTCATTCGCTATCAAATTTAAGCGATTCAGACACTAACTAATCTAAAACCTTTTTTCTCATTGTTCTTCATATATTTCAAAAGTTCACAAATTTGGAAAGAAAAAAGCCAAAAACTCTGTCTTTCCTATATTAACTTTCTTGCATATTATCCAATGAATATTTCAGACGAGCATAAGTACATCACTGATGGGTGATAAGTACCAAAAGTTAAGAAAGAACCGAATCCGGAACGGTCCTAAATTTCTCTCTTTAAGAACAAGTTTCTTAAATTCTGTAATGATTATCACTGCAAAAATATAAATAATTTCAACCTGACAAATCTAATACCTTGACAAATACATCATTTAAAAATACGTAATTGGTTTTTGTGGATTAGAAATTGTGCTGTTTGGAAATGAAGGCATACAATGTTATTATAATTTTCTACTGATCAGAGGTCACATCTCAAGCTAGATCAACTGTATTATCTCATAAAACATGATGTACTGAACTAGTACATCCAACACATCAAGAGAACTGTTCTCACTATAAATTTAGACAGATTAGGCAATCTCAATTCTAAACACCATTCCCTAAAAGAAGTGAATTCATACCAAGACCCATGATAACTATGGTTACTTTTATTTGAGCGTCATTTTCACAAGTAGTTAAAGATTTATTGATTTAAGAATATATTAAAAAAGTGAAAGCGGGAAGAAAGCAACAAGATGAAACACTGAACTTGTAGTACATATCGCCAATTAATTAACTGATAAAGTGAGGGAAGTGGAAGAAGAAGAGATTGTATCTCCAAAGCAAATATTTTATCAGTCACTGAAGTCACTAAGGTGAGTACGTAAGTCTCAAAAAGTACACTAACCCCTCACACCACAAAAATCGCTAAAAATGGCATGCAGAAATATACGTTAAGGAAAGTGAATCCGTCTATTATTCCAGAAACTGTTTCGTTACTCGTTGTCAGCATGATAAGTTTCAGTTTAAGTAGGTTTTCTTTCCTTTTTCCGGAGGAAGTATTTCCTTATAAAGCGCAACACAGAAAATTACATTAGAGAAAGCGTGACCCATCTATTAGCCAAGAGAGGAGCCTGATCATCCAGCTAAAAAATCTAAACAAAACAAATACAACAAAAAAAAAAATATAAGAAATTATCCATAATAACCTGATAACTATTAAGCCAAATAAAACTCAATAAGATAAAAATAGGACCTAACTTTAAATTAACCCCAAATAACTTATTTGGGGTTAATTTAAAGTCTCAATTTACTGTAGATTTTACCTAACGAATATGCTGATGGGTCACGGATTGGTACTGTATTAGACGCATTAAGTAAGCAACTCTACGTTAAAAATTTGGAATTTTTGGAAAAAATCTCATCACATTAAAATTATATTTTGGATTTGGAAAACAAATTGAAGACATTTTGATATCATACTTATAAGTGTAATCTGTCCTCAACTTATATTTTTTTATGTTAGGAAATCTAATTGAATATCAATTGAATTGAATAATTTTCGGTAAACAGAATGATGAAAGAACTTTACTGCAGTATGACAATAACCATTCTATATTTCAAGAAAAACTGTCTGTACAGAAAAAAGCAGCAATTATAACAGATTTCAGATGCGAAGAAAAACTAAATTCGTACAAGGATATTTATGTTTTAGTTAATCAGTTGGTGACATCCGTTTGCTTATTTGAAATTCTTGTGGTAATTCTAATACTGTGTGACTAATAATCATCATTGTTCCTTTTACAGAGATCAGAATAGATAATTCCAGCCTAAGGCTTTTTATAATGACTGGATAGTTTGAATTAGATGAAACTAGATCACAAATAAACGCCATAAATTTAAAAAATATTTCATATCATACGTTATTGCACATTATTGCACATTTTACAAGACATGAGTATGCATCAAAGTTATAAACATTGAAATCAATATCAAAGCCAAGAATGATGGAAGCTCATGAAGTTAGCTAAACAAAATCAAATAATAACTAAATTTTTTTCTGACAGATCTGGGAGAATGTGATCAAATTCAGCTATCGGCCTTACTTTTCCGATTTCCTTACTGTTGCGTCTTTTGAGTTTCTAGATTTTTATTTTTACTCCAAGCTAACTAGAATTTTTTTCTTCGGAATTTCAGAATGGAATATACTTCCTAGGTGGATTATGATTACTATGGATTATGATTAACAGTGTCAGAACTTATGGGAGAGCAATTCAATAAACAGTGAGAGAGAAATGCAGTAATGAAAACAGTAAACAAATATAATAATTATGAAAACTGGAACAAGAAAATTCAAGACAACATTCTATTGAGTAAGTGAATGAAAGACATTTTTTTCATAGAAAGAAGTTGAAGTTGTAAACAAACTCCCAAATATAAAAAAAATTTCTTTAAATGTTAATAAAGTCTATACATTTCTTTACATTTCCTTAAATGTTGATAAATTCTATACACTAGCAAGTATCCACAGAGAGTAAATAAATACTGCTTATAAGAACTGGTTCTAATCTTTTTACTTTTGTTTGCTAATCTGCCTCCTTTCCGCAACTCTTTTTACTTCTTATAAAAGGATCGGTATATTCAACGAATTTAAATAATTGATGAATAAGCGCAAGTTTTAGTTCAACCATCAAGTTGCACAACATCAACAAAATCATCCTCATTCTTTTTCGTTATATTTATATCGTGAACTGCATCTGATTCATTTTTCGGATTCGTTTTATCTTCTGGCGGCTCTGGAAGGCTGTCTGTTCTCTGGGTTCTGCTTTCTGCTGAGGGAACTGGTGGAAAAAATGCATTACGTCGTTGGCGATAATGTTGAATAGCTTTGATAACACCCTCAGAAATCTGGTAACTAGGTGATAATGAGCTAACATCAGACACCTTAGAATTTGTGTTGGACTCTTCCGGGACGTGTAGTGAGGCAGGATTCATGAAACAAAGGTTTTTAAAAATACTGTTAGAATTGAAGTTTGAAATTACCGTCACTGAATTACACGAAATATTGTTAATGTTAGCAGGGAATAAAGAATTGAGTTCTTGGACAGTCTTTTTTTGCTGATTCCCGTGAATTTCTGGATAGGAAATGAAACCTGTAACTGGTATAATCTCCTCCGGAATTGAAGTTACTTGCTTAAAAGCCGAGGGACCAGGCGATATCCATTCTGATAGCAATGTAGGAGCCAATGCTAGCGCTCGCATCGAAAACTGAAATCGAGAATGTGGGAGATTTCTGTGAGTTATAAAATTCTGAAATTTCCCAAAAATCAATTCATTACGGTAATTAATAACTATCGAGGAATTCTATAATACTTTATCAAGTGTTTAATAGTTTATCAAATCGAAATGCATTTGGATCACATTAGAGGAATATTTTTTTGACCAAACACAACCGACATTCAAATGGTTATAAAAAGTTTGGATAAATTAATCTCTCAAGTATAGCTTTTTGCGGATATTACTTTAATATTTTTTCAAACAGATCGTTACAGTATGAGCTGAAAATTTTTGTGGTCTACATCTGAAGATAGTTGCAAGGTTTTGAGAGTAAATTTATTACATTCGAGTGTGGACAAATTTTAATCTTCTAAAATTAAAAAGTGTATCGTTTCTTTTCTTCCTTGATTTCGTCTTACGAGTTCGAAAATTAGGAAAAGTCTAATAAAGGAAAAAGTTCCGTGTGATTGAAAATTATAGATTTATGGATAAAAATCTTTTTTTTTTTTTTTTGATTTTTAAAACATACAACTAGCTGCAAATGATAAAAAAAAATGTTTTAATGTTTTTGTATCTAAAGCATTTGCTTTTTGTTACCGTAATTTCTTCAACAGATAACCTAATAACTCTTCTACTTGAATCGAAAGCAAAAATCAGTACGGTATATTATGTTTTGTTCTATTGTGTCAATTACTTCTTAAATATCAGTTAGAACTGATTAATTCACTGAACCCACAGCATTAAGAGAGTAAAACAGTAAATCTTACAAGATGTCAGTATTGACAAATAAGTTGGCTAATTTTTGCGAGTTCCCAGTAATTTAAGAAAACGTTTTACGAAGAAAATCTTCAAAAATCATATGGCTTAAACTAAACAGACAAATGGTGGATAAAGTGAATTTTATTTGTATGTGTCTGATATGTAATAATACTGCAAATAGAATAGGTGCAACTCTGACTGGATTTTCTAAGAAATGAATTCGCCATAATTCAAGTGAATTCCTGATATCTTTTTTAATGCTTCTGTTCTTGCAAATTTTCTTGTAAATTCTTATACCAGAATTATTTTTGGTTTGAAATATCTTTATAATAAATAAATTACTAGTGGATCGAATGCAGCCTGTTGTTTCACTACTGATAATACTGCTTCCAAATCAAAAAATTTTGATGTCGTTGTTACCTGGAATAATTCATGCTATGATGAGCATGCAAAATTTCGGTTAAAACATGAAGCGGAAAAACTTAAGGAGTAATTAAATTGGAATTTAGAAAGGAACAGAAACTATATATGAATACCTGCTGTGTCATAGCGGTACTGTCGGCATTCACTTTCATTTGAGTCTCAGCGGTATTTGCAGTGGTTCCATCTACACCTTGTCTCAGAAGTGATGGACCTGTGGTATGCATGCGCATATGATTTTCTATAATAGACATTTTCTTTGCAGTCCAGTTACAAAATATGCAATTATAGATTATTTCTAAAAAGGTCAGAAAGGTTAGAAATGATTTCAAGTCTAAAGCGACATCAATTCCATCGGTAATATAATAAAAATGATGCGAGAATCAAATCCTCTAAAATTGTTACTTCAATATTTGCCATTTTCTTGTACTATTAGTTACTTTTAATGAGGGTAAACATGCTTTTGTGTGTAAGTGCAGATGCTTATGCTAAAAAATTAAAAGCTGGTAAAGCAGTATTGATTAATTCCCTCTTGTAGCATCTCAAGCAATTATAATACAGCAATATTTCCAGACCCTTCACATACCAGTTTGATTATGGTTGTGTCTATAAGCTGATACTGCTGGCAAAGATAAATTTTGCGCTATGATTGATGAAGTAATTGCCGGACTTTTACCAATTAGTTCTTGAGCAGCTTGTTTAGCAGCTTCATCAAGGAGTGCAAATGATGGCTTTAAATCTGAAAGTGTTTCGCAGATCTGTTTGAAAAGTTTGAAATATTTGAAAAACAAAGAAGAAAATATTCGTCATAGGTTAATTTGGCAATATAAGATTCATCGAAAAAGAAACAATGAACTTACTAAAATTATTTTTTACAATGTACGGAGGAGCAATATTAATTTTGAGATCATCTCTTTTGCATGTTGTCTTTTCAATGAAATGTTTCATAGTTGTGTGAGCATCCATGAAAGAGTTACCACATGAGTGGCATTCGTACGGCAATGCATTATGCGCATTCTTCAGATGGCTCATCAAAACAAGTAGCGAGTCCTAAAATCAGAAAAGCACGGGATCCTAAGCTAAAAATTATTACAGTGATGTGTTTGGAAGATTCTTGAAGTTAACAACCTGTTCAAACAAGCAAATAACGCATCGATACATAATCGGCAATCGAAGTGTTTTAGGCTTTCTGCATCTTAGCATAATATCTTTATCATTTTTCAAATCTGTGAGTATCTGTAATAGCTTTAAGTAAATGACGGCAATGCAGCAGTGAAATATCAAGACGGTGTGGGAGAAAGCATTTGTGTGTAGATTAAAGTAACAAACAGAATCTCTCGATCGCTTCAATGAACATAAAATCTTGGCATGTAGGATAAGCATTGCTAACTGTTGCATTGCGATAATGCTTTAAATTTAAGTAATGATTAACAGTGGGAGACATTTACTTCTGCACAATTCCGCTTTTTTCCATTTGATTCATTTGTACTGGTTGTCATATTGAAAGTTGAAGTGCTATTATGAAATGTTTTGCTTCGGCTATACTTTGAAACCACTCGTATTCCATGCGTTTCTACAAACAAATAGTTTAATCTGTCTCTTCTAATCCTTTTTCTGTATGTTTTGTTAAAGCTTAATAGAAAGATATGCCAGCCATCACTTATGTGCTGGGATATCTCCATGCAGCACAAATTTGATTCAAATTTTGTGAATGATAGCTATGTGCAGAATAGGTTAAGTGAAAGCTCTATCAAATAAATATGAGGCATTAGTCTTCAAGGTGGTACACAAGGCTCAATTTGTTCGCGAGCTATAGCTAGAATGAAGTTACAAAAAAAAAGGAAATTGGTTTAGCATACTAGCAACATGTCTAACGAGATCAGCTTTCCATTTGCTTGTCCGGGAGCAGTATTTACAACGAAATGGGCGTTCGTTAGTATGAACGCGCTTATGTCTGATCATTTCCGAAACCCATTTCCCCTGGTAACCACAAACGGAACAAGTCCTTGTTGACACGTCCGGATCTATTCCGATACGCTGTAATAGTTCATGAAATTATTTCTATTTGGAAAAAAGTCGGATACTTTCATTTTTGGATCTATGTTTAAATTATGCAAAATTATTGCTGTAAACAAGAAATCTTCATTTCCTGATCATCGCATGGCGCTTCAATTGCCTCAGCTTCGGTCAGATAACGCTTATAGAGGCTATCCCTGGCGCCCACATCATCAGCACGTTTGGCGACCAAACCATCCAAAGTGTTTGCTGGATTCACTATCTCACCTCGACGACGTCTTCGAGCTTGATGATGGCCTGGAAATTCCGTCATCTGAAATATGTACTCATTTTATGAAATAATTTTTTTTTAAAAAAAAGAACTGATTAGTTTAAGATTGCCTGAAAGGTATCTGAAGTTTAAGACAAAAATTTTGGATTTTCATATTGCAAAAATAAAATTTAAAATTTAAATTTAATAATTCTGCAAACAATTCTTAACTCACCATACGGAAAGAATTGGAAGTAGTAGGCGATAATGCAAATTTACCGAGATGTTTTCGGTGATGTAATGTGTCCTGCAAAAAAGAAGCAAATCGCACTTTTTATTACTTTAAAGGTGATAATATACTTGCGTAGAAATAATGTGGTTATTCCCTGCAATATGCTATAAAACACTGGAGTTACTTTTTACCTAATTTGATTCACATATAAATTCGCATCCGAACTTTTTCTATAAGGGGATTTTAGTCGATCTTGTCTTCATCGCGACTTTGATAAATTTAAAAAACTTGGATTTTCCAAAAATTTTGCATTAGTCAAAAATAAATTTAACAATTATCTACTCAATTGTTCAAGTTTTAAAGTTTCAAACTAAGGAAGCGAATATACAGGTGTTGAAAATAAGTTATTAATCTGATGTGAAGTCCTACCAGATTTTGTAGCATCGAATCGTCCAGAATAGAATGGTCGATTCAACTGAATGTCAAATTAAGGCGCCTAAATTCAAAATTAAACACTTATTTAAGTTTTCTGAAGAGCTGAACACCAGATTCAAATGAAAGGTTGAAAAGCATAAAAAATCTAATACATTTAACTTTTAATCTCTCTAAAAGCAACGAATCATTCCTTTTTAAAGAACTGATTGAATTACTTCCTCTTCATTCATTAGAACGGAATTGAGAACAGTTGAAATTTCAGTAAATTCTAAACCGATGACCTTCAATTGCTCTAAATCATGGCAGATCGTTGTTACCAGGAAATTAAAATCCATCGAAAATATTTTTATTCGTTCAAATGTGCGGTAGGAATAATAGGCAACAAAAAGGCGGATCTATAAAAATCAAACCCCTTGGGACTTGTTCATCGAAGTTCGATTTCATAAAAATTCGATTTTTCGCACCAATTTGAAAAAAGTTTGGTGAAACTAAACTGATGGATTTGCCCATCGTCGATTAATGAAAATGTCTAATTTTCTCCAAATTGACAGATTACTTTTTTAAAGAGACATTTAGGAAATCGTAAAACTATTAGCAATGGAATTTCAAAAACGGAAAAAAGAATTGAGAATGTGGCGACAAATCCTTTACCAGTAAACAAATGAAGCGATAATTGGAGAATAAATCAAGTTCGGAATTTTTGAATTATTTTACTTACAGAATCCAACATCATACTGAATAATTTTAGAAAATAAACTTTACGGAGTAGAAAAGGAATAGAAAATAAACTTCTAGAAAATAATAACGCTTTTGAATTTATGAATTAGAAAAATGATAGCATCAAATTCATAAAATGTTCGTACTACTCGATCAAAAATATGTGAGAAGGAACCGAATTGAATCGTTTGCATAAGTTTTATGGAAAGAAAATTAATTACTTAATTATCGATCTAACCAACTTATTTGAATTAGTTACATGAACATGTTTTGAACAATTGAACAACATCAAAAAAAGAAGTTTGATTAAATATAAAAATTTTGCAACACAAATACAATGGAAAATCTCAATAGAACGAAGGAAGGGAAATTTTAGCCCATAAAAACTTGATCTTTGCATCATCAGTCTTCTTTGCTCTTCGCATAAGTCACTTTCGGATTTTGTAATAAAAATTTAAAAACACTTCGCATTTTTGCGAACCGATTTTTTGATATAACAGAAAAGTCAAAAAAACTTTTTCCTGTTCTGACCTTATATCAATAAAACCCGCTTTTTTGTATTTCATTTGAAAGTCAGATTTCTGGTTTTTCAAATTATTGTTGGCAAAAACCAAATTAATTTTTTTCTGTTTATTACATCTATTTTCCCAATAAATTCGGCCTTTCATAGTTCACTATTGTGGTAACATTTGAAACTTACAATTAAGCAACGCCTGCAGAGTTTTTTATGTTAAATATTGGCAGGTGCAGATTTTCATGAAAAAAAGAAAGCTATTAGCAAAGAAAAATTGCGAAGATTGCCGTAAATGTTAATAAGTAAGGAATAATTGAAAAAAAAAAAATATGCAGAAAATTCCGTCTGCACTCAACACCTAGCTGGATAGCTGACAAAATACTTAGATCCTATCCTAAGCACAAAAATTTTAATGACAACATCATGCCACATTCTCTTATTTCTTTTTCTTCTCAAATCTTTCGCGCATTTTGTCAAAAAGCGATTTGAATGTCAAATAAGAAACGTAGGAGTAAATGATAATAGGAAAGATACTGAGATAACAAATAAAAGCATATATTTCAAGAAAATGTAATCGGTGTTGACAACTGCTTCGGCAAGTGGCCGCTATTCTCGACAGCCCAAACAAAAAAAAAAACTGCAAAATGTTGACGCAATATTAATGGTAAGGCGACAACTACTTCCACTGAAGCACAATCAAATTTGTCACATTAATAACAATGCCATTTCTCATATTCACAAAAGACAACTTTTTCAAAAAATTCCTCAATGTCATTGGAGTAATTGGTCTCTTTAATGAAAATAGTCACGTTAAAAAAATTTTCTTTAACTGTTGACAGCAACTTATTGTTTTGCAAAAGCCGATTTAAGCAATAAAACTACCCTCACTAAGAGCTAAGAGGTGAACTGGAGTAGAGATGATGTGCAATTAGCAGCTATCGGGTATCTTAAACTTCAACTAGTTGAGATCAGCTTAGATTTACATGTAAGGTTAATTTTTGACTGAAGAAAACATTATTCATCTTTAATGAATGCAAATTATCACATGTTGTTACAACCTTTCCTAGCTAATATTATAAGCAACTGTCTGAATCAGATACGTTAGCCTATGCAAGAATTAGTAGTGGTCGAAGAAGTGACCATCAACTGAAGAATTTCTATATTACTGTATTCATTGAAGCTCTGGAAATGTTTTAAGCACGGTAAGGTAACCTCCCATTCCGTACATCATCGATGGCTCAAGCTGTTTACCTAATGTAGAAAACCAGTATTTTCGAAATCTCGGAAGCATTTCAATGGATTGTACCAGTGTGTGCCGAATGTCTCGGTTAGTAAGTTCCTGGTCGAAATGAACTAAACTAAACTAAACCAAGCTGAACTAAATGCTACCAGTGGAAATCCAACCAGTTTTTCAAAATTTTCAACAGCAACAAAAAAGAGGGTGGGGCATCGTTGCCTTTTGTGCATTCAAAAAATTGTGTGGACTTCAGCAAACAATGCCCACAGAATTTCAAAAATATCACCAAATCTTTCTCTAATCATTGTTTCATCATTGAGAAGAGAGAGGAGAGGAAAGGAAGCATTTATGCATGCATGTGCATTCTCATTTCAACGTGTTGTCCACAAATTCGTGAATTAAGTGTTCTACTCATGGGTTGCATATTCTACCCACGGGTGTATGCATGGGCTGGATGGATACAAAACTATCCATGGTTGGATATGCAAACTTGCTCAAAATTAACAAGAAAGTATTATAAAGTGAATTCCTTCCGTGTGCAAATAATAATTATAACTCTGCTACAGACAATGGGAAAATCCGCCTGTTGTAGTCCTGTTTAGTTTCAAAGCAAAAATAATATGTTTTTGTGTGGTGGTGACCAAAACTTTTTTTCATTCCCTTTGCGCCCACTCTCTACCTCTCTTCCTCTCTCTCTCCCTATCGATATTTCGTGCGTATAACACTCGATGAAATACCAGAGGAAAAAACGTTTTCAGTTGTCACAATAAGCAGTTGAGCAACGCGGAAGTAAAACTGTTGCTCAAACAGCTCAATTTTAACTCGGGAACTGATTGTATTCTGGAAAATAAATTTGCAAAGAACTTCGCTCAATTCAGGGTAAAAATTTCTATTATGGAATATTATGCCAAATTGACAAATCGACTATTTAATTTTCTTTATTACTTTTCGTCTAGAAAGGATCAGGGACTATTAGTTGTTTCTCAGCATGATTAAAATCATACTTTTGCTATAAATTTTCAAACTCTTTGAATCTCAATATCTTTGAATAATAATAAAAGATATTTATCAAAGTGAAAGTAAATGCAAGGTGACAATGGCACGGGTTGTTCTTCAGTACTACTGCATCAAAGGTAAGCTTCAGAGGAGATTTAAATAAATAAATAAATAAGAAACAATCATTAAATTGTCAAAGAAGTCAAAAAGAAGAATAAAGAGAACAAATGTGACACTGATAATTCAATGCAATTAAATGAGAAATTTTTTCACAAAAAGCATCATCTCATCTGATAGTGACAACGATGGCATAATCATCGATGACAGTAATGAGATGTGCGAAGATGGAGATGAAGCTGATAGTATTAATTGCTGAAGTTCACCATCCAGTTTCCATTAGTCATTATCGCATTGTTCTTTTTTATTCTTTGAACTTAATTATATTATTTTTCTGATTCGTTAAATTCAAAAGCATCACGTATTTGCTAGTAACATGCTTCATTCTTTTTTAATTTGAAATTATCAAATGTGATAATGACTTTATCACATTTGATAATTTCAATCAGTAAGTAAGCGGAAAATTTGAGGACGATTATCTTTTAGATCCGTTATATATTTAGGCCATTATTTGTGATTGTTTTTTTTTAAATACAACTGCAATTCTAATACCGTAATATAGTGCTTCCTTTGTATGCAAACTCTGCTTCATTCAAGAAAAAACTTAAATATTAGCACACTGTAACCATTTGGTATTGTATTTGTAGGAGACAGAAGGAAGTCACATGCTGGAACTTTGCATCGCATACTTTTCTTCATTCATACCTTAGATTTTATCATCATCGTCATCAAATCTTGATTAAAAAAAGGAAAAATATCCTTATTACAGATTCTAAATATCCATCTGTCTCTCTTGCCCAATAATTCACTTCAGATTCACTCTTAATATTGACGGTGTTTATCCAGCCTTTTTTTCAAGAATCAGTTTCAAGCAGAACATAATTATGTTTTGATGTATGCAAACTTTGAGATAGAGTAAAAGTTCTCCACGGATACGATGCCAAGGAGATTTGTCTTTTAGAAACTATCGAATTGGTAAAAAAATCATTTCGAAATATTCCAATAAATGCTTGAATGAATTAAGAGTTACTAAAAGATTGCTTCAGAAATTCTTAGTTGAATTATTTTAACTCTTACTTGAAGAAAAAGAACTTATCGATGTTCTGGAAATCACAGTAGAATGAAATTAGGTTGGTATATATCATCGTTTATCAAATCGTTCGTAGCAAAAGACAAGAAATCGAAAGCATAAAGTAAAATGTTCTACTAAACGATGAATAAAACCAAAGGCACTAATACATTTTGCAGAGACACTTAAACAATTACCGAAAAAAACAAAGCAAATATTAAGCTAGCTTTATTTACGAGAATAGAACAGGTAAGACTCACTCTGTTTCAGGCCATTTTCTTTGTATATTATCGTGACCCTAAGATCAGATACTTCCTCGTTTGTCTTTCTCATGTCTGTGACAGTCTGTACGGGAATGTACTCGTCTGTACCTGACCTCTGATTCCAGCAGTGGAGTGGGAGACCCGTACCTGGTTATCATATTGGAACTGAGCGGTACCTTTTCTTCATTTGCTTCCGTGTTTAGTGAAACACATTTGTATTGTTTACATAATCATTGTCATAAAACCATTGTATATGCATGCACTTGAAATGATCAGGCAAACTGCAATAAGAACAGATAGTTCTTTACATGTCATTATATAATATAATATACACTTACTTCAATTGGCATTGTTGACGTTGAATTTTTATTTTTATGAATGGCAGAAAAAGTCAAATAAGTGGCAGCAACCGTTTCCTGGCATTGTCAAGATCATGACTTTATTAGTATGCAAACATCTTTTCATCTTAACAAGTATCACTTATAATTATGTTGACACAATATTCATCTTATTATCAGGTAAGAGGTCCAGTATATCCACTGTTTTACTTCCATTCAACCACCAAAATAAAATTTGATTAATTAAATAGATGAAACAAATAGCAGATATGAATAACGACTGGTCTATAAGCCAATATGGCGTTGCTCAAGTGCATTAAATCGTGCCAATAGTACTGCACAAATATAGCTCCTGTATTAATTCAAATTAAAATCTAAGAAACTTGACTACCCTTTGACCTTATTAAAAAGGCATGAGGAATAGCAACACAGTTTAATGTATTAGGAATAAATTATTTGCATTGCATGATAAGTTAAGGGTAGTTGATGCCCAGAATTTTTCAATAAGTCAAAACTTATGAGATACACAACTTTCTGCAAAATTCACTCTGTAAACTAACGTCTAAAGGAAATTTTCATTACACCCATCATTTCTTCACTATCTTTGTAACTTTGGGTATGACAGGTTTATGAATTGTTGGAAAATTGGATTAAATGATTTCTTTAAATAAAATGGAATCAAATCAAAGTCAAGTTAAATGTTTGGGTAAAACAAACAACATATAAGATAAAATGAGAGAGGAGTAATAAAAGCGTGCTATTCATATTTTACGGGTTTCAGAATACATCGCAGTTGAATACATCATAAATATTACTATTTGTAATGAATTAATAGAGAATATTGTATCAACAAAGTCTATTGTACATGAATTTTTTTCTTCCTACTATAAAATTTAGAATATAATTTTAAGAATATTTTTGGATTCAATCAGTGTTGTCAATAAAAAAACAGTTTTCTCCAGAGAAAGCATTCTATTCTCTGGTCGTTAAACTGAAAACAAAATTATCAAACTTCTAAGGAAATTGAAAACAAGGAGAGATCTGAAATAAGTTTACTCAACAACCCTAGACTCCAGCCAACTTTACGGTTACTCAAAAACTAACTGATGTAAATAAGTAAAATCTAAAAACCAAAGACATCACAAGCTGAATGATTTTAGGATATTCGCCAACAAATACTACATAGATATATTTGACATAGATCAAAATTCTAATGCTCACATCAGTATGACGTGTTTCGATGATTTTTCCAATCAGCGAATTTACCGTAAAGGTTTATACATTATTTTATTCAGATTCTTTTTTAATCCAACTCTCCAAATAAACGCTAACGGGTCGACGTTGCTATGTGAATGGCCTATTGGCTAGTTATTAAAATCAATAAATTCATTGAAATGCGTAAATTTGCAAGTATTTTCCTTTTCTCGTACTCACCTGCTATCGATGCAATATCAAGGTAACCATGACAATATCGTTTTTTCCTATGAGATGACCTCCTAAGAGCATCACTGTTTTATTGGCGATGACCAAAACAACTTGTGTTTAGAATGTGAGGCACCGTGTAATTATGCTTAATAACCACTGTAAACCGGACTGGAAGTTTATTGGCAAGTTGCATTTGCTTCAGTTGTACTTTTGAAATTTGTTCGATGATTTAGTAAGATGTTTGCTTTTTTACTGCTCAATTTCAGCTTTTCATTACTTTAAAGAAATAACGAAAAGTTTTGATCGTTGACCAATTAGATAAACTCTTAATGTTTTCAGATGAAATAAGTTTAAATCTTTTGGAAGAAGGTATTGGTAGTTACGATATTCTCCAAAGAGCATTACCATCCGTTGTAATGAGTAAAATTGATGAAACGGTAAAAATTAATTTGAAAAAAATTTTTATATGTTTTTAAAAGATCGAAAAAAGTTTCAAAACACTTGCTTAAAGCAAAGTTTTTTGGAACTCAAATTTGATTCTAAAATTTTAGTCAATCTACCTTTTTGCAATAAATTTTACAAACAGGTTAACAGGGAAAGAGCAATATATCATAAACGAATAATTTCAAATGAAATTAAAATAAAATAGAAAACTGGTTTTTGTGTCAACCATAATATTGTGTGTTAGTGATTGTTTTAAAAAAATTTTCGTTAAGGACGACGATTGTACTATTGAAAGATTATTAAAAATATATCGAATAGCTCAGTTGCAAATTGAATACATTTTGGTAAGTTCAAATATTTTAATAATTTTATCATTTCATGTGAGTTTATCATTTTGTATTTAATAATTTTATCATTTCATGTGAGTTTATCATTTTGTATTTAATAATTTTATCATTTCATGTGAGTTTATCATTTTGTATTTAATAATTTTATCATTTCGTATTTCGAATGGAAAAAAAGAACTGCGGTATGTTTAAAAAATGCAATATTCGAAAGCAAATATGTATGGAATTACTGTCAGCAGGCAGCTTGAGGACCTGACCAGTTTATTTGACTATCCATATTTGCCTTTTCTAAATTTCTGGTCGTCATACTTTTTCATTAATTAGAATTGAACTGCAGATAACTTGTTTGACATGATGCGGTAATTGATAAAGCTAGACTAGTTCTATGATTAACACAATGATATTCTCAGTAATTAATATGGAATGTATTGTAAGCTTCATTTGCACTTAGCGCAACATTAGTGTAACAATTGCGCTGAAGCGAACACAACATCTGAGTCAAACTCTGTTCGATGAACAATTTAAATGGCAATGGCAGTATTCTTTTGATTGGTTCAACATTTGAACCTTTTTTTATTGCATAGATCTTTGTTACCTGACCTTTATTCTTTCATTAATTGCGTTTTTTTTTTTTTTCAGCGTACGTATGCAGTGGTCTTATAAAACATAGAGAAAGCTAAAAGTTTCAGGTTGTAGAAAATTAGATTCAGTTAACTTTTGTGTTATTGTATTTTCAGAAAACACAAGCGGAACTTGTGAAGGAAGTGGAAGAGTTACAAAATCAGCTGAAGTTTATAAGTACAGAGAATTCAAAATTACGAAAGGAAATTGTCAATGGACCGGAGACAATAAATTCCTTGTTCAAGGTTATTATTCAGTTTTTTTCTGAAGCACATTTTCTGCTTTATAAAAGCTTCATATTGTAGAAGTTTCAGGGATTTCCTAAAATTTAATTTATCGTAACCCGAAACTAATTCTAATTTTTTAAGAAAAAAATTTTATTTCCAAAACTCATTTCTAGTGCGATCGTTGCAACAAACTGTTTTTGCATAGTACATTCCTATACGATCACATGAAACGGAGACACAAGGACGAGAAACAAGACGATAGTAAATGACAGAGTTTCTTATGAAACAAACTTATCGGGAAGAGATTCCGTTACATATCTGATAAAATTTTCGTGATCACAACGACTTCTGCATCATTTTCTGAAGTCTTGTAATCAGAAGACAATTTTCTTGATGACAATAAACACTTTCTAATACTTCTGTCATCGTTGCTTTTTTGATTTCAAAACGATTCACAATAATGTTACACGTATTTTACATTTTTTCATCTATGTTTGCATAGCTTCACTGTTCTTATGTAAAGTGTTTCATTAACATTTAGAAATTTTATCAGTTATTGTCATAACTGCACTGCCGTAGTATTTCAAAAGTCTGTGCATTCTTAGAAATACACTTGAGATTCCGATGAAATTCACTGGTGACACATGAGCTAAAACATTTTACGCAACCTGGTACTCAGTCAATTCAGCTGGTTTTGTTTTCCTTATGGCTTATCAATACTTAGATAGATTTGCGATCATTATGAATTGCGCTATATTTCACAAATAACGGACTGTGGCAGCGTTGTAATAGCCGGTTTTCGATCCACTGATACTGCATCAGTTAGATTTATAGCGGGAAATTTTGCAATATATCGCAGATAGATTTTATTTAACACATCGAACTAGTGTAATTAATACTTTGCTAACGTTGTCGTGCTAAGAATACCAGAATTCAAGGTGAAAAAGGACAGAACTTTACAGTAATGAATGGCTCCACACAATATCACAACTTCCTTAATTTCTACAAATTTTCAGATTCCTTCCAGTCTTTCTCCTTCTTTCGACGATGAGTTCGGTCAGGTACTATTGTTTCTGAACTCTTCGAGCTTTTACAACTGGAAGTTATCAACTTTTTTCGATGATAACAGTTCATAGTTGAAAAAAATGACCTGTGTACCATCCTATGCATTATGGCTTATTTGCGAACTTCAAAGTTAAGTATTCTGCAATAAGTGACATTTTTGAATTAAAAAGATATGAGACGTAAACAATTGCCAAATTGTTTACCGATTGAACTGTTGATGGTATTCCAGAACAGTGACATTAGACAGTGAATTGAGACCTTCGATTTGATGTACTTTCCGCAACTCACATGGTGAACCTTTATTCGAATGCACATAACTTTGCTGTCTACAAAATAGTAAAGATGAAAAATGGATGATTTATGGCGTTTTAGAGATTTTATCTCTGAACTTAAAGGTATCCGCTCTTTCTTCAGCATTTATCAGGTGATTCCAAAATCCGATCTGGTAATTACCATGCTTGGAAATTACTTAAATGTTGCCATTCATCAAGAGAAATTTTTAAAAGCATATTTTATGGAGATCTCCTCGCCTGCTAAGAACGACGGCAGGTTGTGCGCGAAGCAGTCGTGGACTTTCTTCATTGGCATCGTACTTTTCACTGTTTACGCACTGCTTTCCACACTTTATAGTGCGAGGAGAACGATCTACGAATACTCGACTTGCATGGAAAATTGACTGACTCTCGTGATGTGGTGTAATTCGAGAATTTTGCAACGATTTCTAAAAGCTTTGAAAATTTTTGAAAAAAATTGCAGTTTTGATCAGTTTCGTAGCATTATGCTTTAAAAAATATCTAAGAATTAGCACAACGAACTTTAGAATTTCTAAGTCTCATGTATGGAGACGTCGGTATTTTTGAAGATAACGGTATAGCAATTGGTTTGGCATACAGCAACGATGACTGATTAACCGGAAAACGTGTCGGTGATTGATCCCTTTGCATCGTTATTGGAGAATGGATATCAACACAACTCGTGGTCAGAGATGGGCGGTGAATCTGGAATTAATTGCTGCTTTCGTTTTCAGTTCTTAATTTTTATGGCTGTAAAATAATAAATTATCTTAACAACTCAACACAACTCAGGAAAATAGATCAAGTAATAAGAGTTTGAAATAAGAATTAATTAGAAATCTATCTTTGAATATCATATCTATGTTACAGTCCAAGTTTTGCTAGGTCACATCTGTGAAATAACATCAATAAAAAACTGCTAAAATACCCAATATTCTCGAAAAAGTTTTCTTAGTACTTTACCTGAACACTTTCTAACTTTCCAATCGTAAAAAATTTTCGATGAATTGGTGGCGGAGTGATCTGTGAGAATGAAAGCGAATCAATAACAGTGGTATTTTCATCCAGATAATTGAAACACATTGACTTTGATCTTGGCCAGTTCTTGCAATGTTTTGTTCCATTGTAACGCAATGCTGTAGTACTTTCTATTGCCGTAGCCTAAAAAAATATGGAAAAAAATCAAAATAAAGGTGAAAATGCGTGGTTTAGTAGAGTTAACCCTATGATAATTTGAAATAATAAGCTCCGATATGGGTAAGAACATACAGAACGACAAATAAAAACTGTTTTATTTAAAATGAAATAAAACTTAGCAAGGAAATTGATAAATAAACTGATTAAAGAATATATAAAAATTCACCACAACTTGTGGGTTTTCATCATTTTCAATTTCAGCGGTGATCACATTCTGTTCAATTTTCTTTTGTTGATCTTCCAGAGAAAATTTTTGATTTGTATTAGAAGATATTGGTGATTGACTGCTGCAAATACACCGGAAATCACATCTATTGGAATATATGCAAATGCGTTCACTTATCAAAAGTTATCTTCAGTTTTATTTTTAGTCCAAAATAATATAATTTTTGAGTTTTTGAATATCTTTTATGTTTGTTGCAGGCAAAATTTAGAATATCCGCGGTGGACAGAAGTGTTTTTGTATTTCTATTGGTACCTAAAGTCAGAAGACAGTGAAACACATCCGGAATCCATGCTAACAGACGATCGATGACTTACACAACAGCTCACCGGACTGTCGCATCGTAAATCATTCAACTTGATCTGAACATAAAAATTTGTTGATTACTCATTCACAAGATACTATATGTTCGAGTAATGATTCAGCGATTTATTTTTTTTTGATCTTCGGGTCTTGAAATTCATTCTGGGTATAATTTTTGATCATCTGCTACCTTACATTATTAATCGTTACGTTCCTTGATAACGCATCAAGGAACTTAAGGAAGAGTTAACAGAAGTAATCTCTCTTATTTCAGACTTAATTAATAGCATTTTTTGCTTTTGTTTTTTTGTTTTGTTTTTTTGTTTTTTTTTTTTTTGAGCTTTACAACCAATTTTTTGTCCTTTCTCTTTTATAATTTAATACAAATGGTGGGACATTCCTAACTTCTATTTCACACAAAGCTACAATAAGTTGACATCCCGCAAAAGATAACAGTCTTTGAAGAAATAAAAGAAATTTAAGGAGATGACCCTGCAGTATTATATCATATAATTTCATTATCAAATAATTCAGTTATGAAATATGACACCCTTCGTGCACTGTTTCTAGTTTATCATCAGATCAGACCAACTGATCACTTCCATGACCACTATAAAATTGCTACAATATAAATGAGGTCAGTATCACAAGAATGGGAAATTCCGAGTAATATATATAGGGTACAGAAAGATTTAAAATATAAATTTATTTAGTGATAATGTCATAGCATTATTGTCATACTATCATATCAAAACAGATAGACTATAATCAAAGCTGAACAAATACACAGACAGCCAAGAAAAAGTGAACAATGAATTAATATTGATATCATTAGATAATTAAAAGATAGTCTTTTCCGTGATCAAAGTGAATGAGGTCAATAAATAGAATCTCCCGAGAAATGCCACAAAACTCTTGAAATACGGAGTCTTTTGTAAAATTGGTATGAAATAAATTCATTAATGTCTTGCTTTACAAAGTCCTGAGCGAAGTAAAGAATTTAGAATTTAAATGTCTGCAATTATATTATCAGTTCTTTTCGACGTTATGAATAAATGACAAAGGACACTAACAATGAATCTGAGAAAAGATATTTTCCAAGTTCTTATCTTTTAATCAACGGCCCATTACATCCTATTGTCTCATTTTTCTAGAATCTTTTGAGTGAAAGACTAAAAAATCAAAAGTAGTGCTAACCTCAGTTTGAACATTTAAAGCTGATGATTGTTTATGCTTTTCGGAACCATCGCTTGATTGCTCTCCATTAATTCTATGCGGTAAGCGAATACGCATTTCCTGAAGAGAGAAAAAAGAACAATTAAATTTCATTTAAACAATTAAAATTAATTTAAATACGTGCACCATGATCAGATGATAACGGATGTTTTAACGGATGTTAATTTATCCTGAAAAATTTTTACTTTTGGAACAATTTTCCCTAAATTTACAGTGGAATTTAAAGTTAAAAAATTTTGAAATAGTTTCATGCCAATATCTCCTGTCCTCTTTCTATTTCTTAACATGACAGCGCTTATAGCAAATGCGGTTGAAGACAAATAATTTCCTGTAAAATTTAGTCTAATGAAGAATGTTAAATTACAATTACTTCTTTATCCAGAATTTTGGACCAGTTTTCCCTAAACACAGTTAGTTTTAATCACAATATAATTTACGTCAATATAATTATCTGTTATCTGCAATGGCCAAAGATCTGGTTCACCGAATGTAAAATATAATTTCTTATCTTGAAACCAAATCATATTTATCACAAATTAAGTTTATTTCCTTTATTAATGTTATATCTACTAAAATTCATAGGTTCCATTCTTTCACTTTTTTAAAGAATTATTCAGAGATGAAAATTCGAATTCGTATCAAGTACTTGAATCAAAGATCAAAAACAACAGAACAATACTAACCTGCATCAATTTTTGGTGTTTGCTGCGAAGCGCTTCCAGCTGCAACATTCCTTGTCGGGATGCTTCCAATCGTTGTTGAATTCGGAAATCTAGATCATCCCGTTCGGGTGCTATCAATGAATCTACACTGTTACTCGATGTATCACCAAAACCGAAAGTTCCATTTGTTAATTCATGTCCTGAACTTCTAGTTGATGGCGGTACAGTTTGACGTAGTGCTGAGCAGCTTATCGACATTCAGTGGCTCAATTTTTTAGATTCGAATCAAGCAATCTTCAAATATGATATCATCTTGTTGGAAGTAGGACTTGCGCACTTTTTTAGAAAACGCACATATTCACGTTTGTTTGTTAACTTCAAATAAAAGAAGCTACCATACAAGTTATTTGAAGCTTCAGAAAGAATGAATAGTTCTAGAGAGCATATTAGAAACAATCAGTAATCCGTCCTTATGCGTCATATATTTCGAGCATACAAATTCTGAAATTAAACAACAACTAACAAAATAAGCCGATTTCCGGAAATAAATAATAATAAATTCGCATCTTCGAAGAGCTTCAAAAGAAGCTCTTTGAAGATGTGAATCAAAAGAAAAAATAAGGAATGAAAACAAATGCGTGGCTAAGATGTTTTAAAAGCGTAAAACAGTAATTTGTAAGTGTGACTTACACTACGAATAAGGTTACAATTTAAAACTCTTATTTATAAAGTAAATAGAAATTAAAAGTATTGTTTCATTTATGCGTATCATAAAATGAACCCAAATTAAATGTTTATGAAACCTCTAACAACTCAATTAAAGGTAAGTAGCGCCCGCTAAAAAACTAATCTGATAACAGATAAAGATTACAAATTGATAACTTTCATTTGAAAATAAAATCGTCACAAATTTAAATTCGAAATAAATGTTAAGGGACTATCATTTTTATTATCTTGTTTTTTTTTTTTTTTTTTTACTTTGAAATGTTACTTCAAAACTTTTCATTTAACAGAAAAATACCTCTCGCGCTTATTGACATTTTTTCATAACATTATTATTATTATTATTGCTAATAACTTTAGTTATCGTAAGGATAACAAACCTGATATAGTCCATGGAACACTGTGTACATGATGAAAATTAGAGGTGCTAATTTCAGCTTCAGAAAATTTTCTAGCTTTGATTAGAGAGAAAAACCAATGTTTATCTCTTTATCAACAGTTTCTCGATATTTTTATCAGGAACAGTTATTAAAATCAAATATATCTTAAAGCAAATTCCAAAGTAACAGGCAGCAGAAAGTGGAAAGAAATACCTAAGATCCATGATAAAAGCACATAGAAAGAAATCTTAGCATAAAAGGCAGAAAAAGTTCTCAAAATTGTCTTGAGAATCAGTAGAAGGAAAAAAAAAGTCTATTTGAAAGTAACAAATTAAATATATGATAAATAATGTAGAATTAGACTTATATCAAAAGACTGGTCAATTAAAAAGACTTCGAGATGAAAATTTTTTTTTGGTAAGATTTCGAAAATGTAAAAATATTTGTTATACTGCAGAAAATTACTAAAGAAAAAGCAAGGAATGAGAACAAGAAAGAAATACAAAAATCTTGATAGTATTTAAAGTTATATTTTTTAGTAAAAGAAAATTTGTGATTAAATGAAAGATTAAAAACATTTTATATTCCGAAATGAAATGCTATTTAAAATGTCTTATAGTCCCAAAATGAAGCGTAACTGCATTCGATACTTTTTATTTTCTTGCATTTGTGTCTTCCACAAATTAACAAAATACAACGATATATCTGCTGATAAGTACTATCTGATAAAATAATTTGTTATCAATTCATCTAGTCCCAATAAAAATCAGCCAGTTCCATTTTCTATTTTTTTTTCTTCAATGAAAGGAAAAATTGAGGAATTTTGGTATGTTGTTATCATAACAATTAAAGTCAAAAACGATTTGAGAGTGAGAGACAGAACGCGAATTGTTAGTGTCGTAACAGTCATTTGCGTCAGAATCTGCGTCAGCCTATCCAGAAATGAGCTAAGGCATGCCCTGTTTACCGCATTTGAAAACATATGACGAAAATAGTATCAACATCTCCAATCTGTAACAAATGTGAAAATTTCTATCTTGGTATGTGCATGTGTATGTGTATGCATGTGCATGTGCATATGTATGTATGTATGTGCATGTGTATGTGCGTGTGTGTGTATATGCATGTGTATGTGTATGTGCATGCATGTAATAATTTAGAACAGATCTCAACGGGGTGGCACCATCTCTTCAACATTCCTTCTGGGACATGAAGGTCGCCTGTCTACCGATATAACCAATAACTTCTAAACTGCATTCTAAATTACGCCTTTATAATGAATGTTATATTTTCCTTTGTTGAAATTATTCGGAATTTTCAAATTTAAGATAAACAAAAGCAAAGACACTAGTATCTTTTCAGAAAATGCTTTCTAAAAAGCGTTGTTTGATTTGAATCTCCAAGAATTTCCTGGCAAAATTTTTGGAAAGATCTTGAAAAATTCGTTTTCTTCACAGTGACTACAACTAAAATTTTAAATTTCTTCATTCCAACCGTTCGTTCTTTTTTATTAACTGTCTCGTAAAGTTGAAAATTCCCGATCAGAATTTTCTGGAAATGAAAATAGTACTATAGACTGATGGATGAATAAAGGACTTCATTATTATAACTAATTAGCCAGTGAATTTACTTTAGCAATAGATATTGTGCATGGTGAAAGTTAATAAAGAGATTTTCATAACTGGCTGAAAATTTAATTAAATCCACAGAATTTTGTTAAAAACCCAAAAATTATATGACTAGTTTTTATTTCGTTTCGTTTTTTATTTTTTTAATAAAATTTTACAGAACGAGTAAAATCATTTCCCATCTGAAAATGTTCTCTTTTTTGCCAGTACATTTTCCAACTTTAATGATCCATCAGTTTCTGGTCTAATTAAACTTTAAAACAAAGTGCAAACAAGTCACAGTCACTCTTTTATAGATCTTGCATGAAACCTTCACTTTCACTTCATTTATGTTTTACACTAAAATGAGAGGAAATAAGAAAGTGAAAACTTATGCTCCAACTGTTCTCCGATAGAAAGAAATAAAGATGGATAGATAGTTTAATGGTTTAACTCTCTACGTTTTAAAAGGAAGATGAGTCTAACAAATACTTCCCAAAATATTTTGTGGATGATGACTTCTTTAGAAGTCCTGCAAGATATACTTACCTGAGAAATGATAGAATAAATTCCACATAGAAATAAGGGAAAAGTTGGTGCTAAGAAGTGCGATTTAAGCAAAAGAAGGGCCGCTTGCATTCTTTTCTCTCTATTCCGCACACAGCGCGATCTGTATTGCACTGCTCGTTGCATGCAATAAAATATTGCATTTGAAGGGGCGGTGGGAACTTAAGAATCGGTGTGAGATTGCTAGTTTTCTAAGTCGTAAACTTGGCGGAGATGTCACTCAGGTCAAGGTAACGGTTTTCTATATTCTCTACTTCTCTTCATAATTCCTACTTTGTCGCAGTGTTATCACCGCTGCAAATGCTATCGCTTCTGTAGCATTGTTCCTTCGTATTTCATTTTTCGTTGATGTTTCTATTTATCAATTTCGTTTTTTAATGAATGAGAATTACATAAAGATAACAACATATATTTCAGATATGAAAATGGGCGATTCGGTAGGTCTCATCTATGCAGGCATTATCATAGTTGGCGGTTTCGTTGGTTACTTGAAAGCAGGTAATTTTAATACCTTTCCGATTAGTATTATATCATTATGGCTATTAACAAACATTAATTGATTATTCCTCAGGTCTTTATGATTGCTACGTTTATTTAGCAACTTCAGTAACAGTGGAGGGGAAATTTGGTTTTAAGAAGGAGTAAGTTTTTTGGTTCCATTCAGGCAGTACCGCATCGCTGGCAGCTGGACTTGTTTTTGGAGGTATTGCAGGTTTTGGTGCTCAATTCAACAACAACTCCATGCTTTTAGGTAGGTCTTGCTTAACCTTCATTAGTCCCACTTAGAAACTCGAATTGTCAACATCAAGATTAGAGGGATTTTATAGGAAGCACAGAAAGTTTAAATAGCTAGTCATTTCTAAACAAAAGGCCTTTCACTGAAGAATTGTTTTGCTTTACTAGGTTGAGATCCATTCTTCAGTTTAGTAATTTTCTTTTATTATCCAACTTGAGACCATTATCATAAAGAAAATATTTACGAGACGAAATAAATTGACCGAAGATACATATATCATGGTGGTCTACTCATTAGTTACCAACTTAGTTACGTGAATTTTTAGGCATTGCATTTTAACAGTTACCAAGTACAACCGCTATTTTTATATCTTATTACACGATTTATTTTATTACTTCTGTACTTTTAATAATCTATTTTACAGCCGTTAGTTCTGGCCTTACACTGATAATGGGCGCTCGTTTCATCCAGTCTGGTAAAGTTATGCCTTCTGGAATAGTTGCAATTTTGAGGTGTGTTTCTACGCCCTTTATCTATGAATTTAACTGAGGATAAATTCATAAAAAATTACATCATAAATTCTATAAAAATTGCTTGTTTTTCTCTTCAAATAGTAATTCGAATTCGAGTTTTTTTTTTCTTTTTAAAAAAATAATTCAAGTTAACGAAAAGGCGGTTTGTTTTTAAGCCTTCATTTTAAATTTCTGAAAGACTGAAACATATTTATTTTACCAACAAGAAAAAATTCGTGCAACAAAGAAACCTGTATTTCATAATCCGAGAATTTTTGGAAGGAATTTCTAATCCTGTTGTTTGTAGAATCATTTCCAATATAAAGAGATATTTGAAAAAGTATTTTATTAGTGAGAACTCCGGTAAAGGAAACAAATCTTCGTAGTTTTATTCATTCAACTTCCGAAACGTTGGTTGCCTAATGTATGATTGTCTGATATCAGGCGGTATTGTGAAGGAAATCAATCTCTTTTCGTTGATTTATGAGGATTGAAAACACTTCAGTGATTTGTTAAATGTAACTAAGATGTAGTGGTTTCACTGGATTCAGGGAACTAATTGATTGTAAGACATCGAACAATAATTTTGACCTTCTTCCATCCAAGTTCGCTTGTTGCTTTCTAGTTCATCTAAAAAATGTACTGTGTAAAAGAACAACTAGCCCCATGAACAGTCGTTGTTATTTATATAATCAATTTTTATCACACATCACAACCAACTAGAAATGATTCG